TCATCATCATCGAGTGATCTACTCTCTACAAGTAACTCTGCAAGAGGCCTCCCTTCATCAGCATGGAGAAGGATGGAGATGTCACCGGCTCGATGGGATGCTGAACTTCTGGTTTGCGCCTGACTCGTCATTTATAACTATAGAAAATTAAGCGAGAGTAAATACATTCTGGACCATTCGACCACTCCCCAACTCTGTCAAAACCATTTGGCGATCATGCAAAATGTGATCCAGCTAGCATCTTCCAATTCCCGGATTTCGGGGTTGATGTGATTCATGGTCGGAATTGACAAAAAGGCTCTTGTATAACAAAGTATAGATGTTGGGCTATTAAAAGATAGCAAAAGACATAAGTACGAAGCCAAACTGATCCATTTCGGGTATATTCTCAAGCCTTATTTCTATCCAATTGGAACAAAATAGGCATAACACCCTAAGCGATGTAAACTACACCCATTTCGATAAGAACCGGTTTTGCGAGTCGGTTAACTCGCCTACCACAAATGAGGTAGGGTATGTCGCGAGTAATGCAGGGAGAAAGGGGGGGAGGAGGTGTGATAATAACGTGGCTACCAAAAACCCGACAGAAACCATGCATATTAATAATGTCCCGAAACCAAGTCAAATAAGAAAAGTGAAATGGCGAACTTTGCCAACAAAGAATATGTAAAAGAGTACTCCGAGGGAAATCGCATGAGAGATTTTCGTTATCAATGCCCTAAGTAGCACCTGATCAGGCCGGAGTAAAGCTACAAGAGATGGTGTGGAGGATAGGGCGCTGGCGAGGGCAACTTTCTGGTGATGCAACAATCGATTCTAAATTTTGTAAATAATTATTCTGGCTGTAAGGTTATATTACCGCTAGGTAAACTTCGCACTAATATACCGCGTTTGCCTCTTGGGACCTTCCTTAGGTACCTCATAGGTCTTATTGACAAATTACACGTACATCAATATTTTATCAGCTTTCTCTAAACGTCTCAAGCTTCGCCCTGCCGGTCATCAACGTCCATACCCACGCAGCATCCACAACTAGAATGTCGATGAAACTAAACACCAAGCTTCCACCGAAAACTAGTCTATGATACGTCCAAGCATTGCTCACATCTAGATCCTTTACTTGGCAGACTATGGCCCATGGTAAAACGTAGAGGAGGTTGCTAACCAAGCTCTGGTAGAGGTACCATTTAGGCTGTGTAGCCAGGAGAACCGTAGCAAGCTGGGTCGACATAGCATAGAATATGTAGCACCAATCAGTAGTTCGCCACATATATGCTGTGATGTCTGCAACCTCATCCGGTTGGCCTAGGTATCGAGCGAACGACTTAGCACCCCATATGGATAGAAAGATGGCAAGAGGGACCTCAACTAAGAGAGCGATAGAGAGGGAAATGAGAGCCGGTCTTATAATTCGGATGATAGTTTTGAAAGCGACACGATCAGGCCTACGCGTCGTCTTGCCAATTGAACAGCGCCATGATCCCCAATGGTGACCAATAAACGCAAGGCTCGTCGCCTCTAATGACTGAACGGGAACCATAACCAATCCCCAGCGGATGGTAGTGAATATTGTCCAAGCAGTTGCATACGTTGAACCTCGCGCCACAATGGTGCTGACCAGCCAGAGGTAAAGGGAATTCCGTATGGCGGACTCAGCGAGGGTCAGGATCCCAGGTTGTAGTAGTACAGCCAAGGCACGGAAACTCAAACAGATTTTAGTATCAGTTTCTATTCGCATCCGAGAAACTTCCCCATTGCCATTGTCAGAAAGTTCTAGCTGATGGTTTCGATGCTCTGAGTTCGTTGCCCAAAGAAAGTAGGCAAGTCCTACGAAAGCAGCCGTCATATTGCAGGCAAGCTGGATGCCAGCTTGGATATTAATTGTCGGTCGTATGTTGCCAACATGGAATCGTGAAATAATAAGCAGGTCTAGAATAATATTTATGGCAAATTTGGTCAAGCTGATAACTAGTGGAATATCGGGCTTGTCAAGAGCTCTCGTCGCCGCCGCCACAGCAGTTTCAATCGCCGAGCTTAGGGCCGAGAAAGCGCTAATCCGTATATAAGTCAAGCTCGCGGCGCGAACTTCGACAGGGACGAACCCTTCCGCAAATGTGGCGGCGCCGGCAATAAATGCAATGCTCATAATTAGCCCAAGGATGGACTGAAATAGAATGAGCGTGTAGGCTAGACTGAGGCGTTCTGTTAACGAGCGCGAGTCTTTGTCGGCAATGATGACCCAGGAGGCGCGGGGGAGGCCCTCATTTAGAACCTCAACCACTACTCCGATGTAGGTGTATACATCGGTCGTAACAACAAGCGACGAGTCGATTTCCGCAACCCATAACTTAGATAGCGTACTGTATAGAGCTGGGAGGACGAAAGCACCCAAGTTGAAGAGTAGTGCTCCGACATAATGGTTACGATGGAACCATATTCTGTTCTTTGAAGTACCAATAGGGTGATTATTACTGTTTTCACTCCAGGGCGATTGTGGTTCAACCGGATTGTCGGCTTCAGGTAGCATTATGTAGCGATGGTGAAGCTTTTGTAATATAAAAGCCGTAAACCTCCTCAATATATGAAGCTTCATTTCAGGGACATTTAATGTAAAGGGTGCTGTTTTTATGTTGTAGATTTAATAATACCTTAAGCTATCTCATAAAATGTGGTGCGCCACGTGCATCTTGTAATGTGATAGCTCATTATTCTCATTGTGTTTGTAGATATGTCGCGTAATCATGTTATCTTGCTTTTATATGCGTTAAAAGATGGATAGAATCATCATTATGCCGCTTATCACCCGCCGTCTTAAAATATTAATGCATCCCTTACTTTTACTATCACTCGTCGCACATATATAAATCTCCATAATGTAAAGATGAATTAGGTACTGAGAAATGAAAGATCCCTCATACGACTCCTGTCATGCATGTTGTATGAAATAGAAATATCGATAAGTGCGACGAATATGCATTGAGTAAGTCTATCTGGCTAGAGATGTGGTGAGAGTCGTACTTGTACTTAACAGCAGGGAATTGGGCATAGTTACCACACCAGAATGAGTAGCATTCATAGTTTCCGTACCTAGGGTCAGGAATATGACTTTGGTTCGATTTATAATTACTAGACACAATTTCGGAGTATGCGTTATCGAAGAGGCTAATCAGAACTATATTCCTTGACTCTTGTCTAATACGAGCATCGTGCTAATAAGTCAAAGCACCCTTACGGGGGCTACCCTAGTAGGGGCCACCTTAAATTTTTAAACCTTCAAAATAAGTATTTTAATTTTAATTTAACGTTATTTAATTAAATTAAATTTAATTAATTTATAATTTGTTATATTTTAATAATAATATAATCCTTTACTATTAATTTAATTAATAAAGCTTTATTTTCTAAATTAATGTTGGAATTGTTAATTATAATTATACTACTTAATTTTTAGATTTTTAATTACTCTTTTTTTTTATAATAGTTTTAATATTTACAAATGTTAAATTTAGATTAAATAATATTTTATACCATTTTTGCGGTTTTATATTTACTAATACTTTTTTTAAATATTTAACGTAGGTTTTTATTATGGCTAATTTTATAATAATTTTATTAAGGATTTTGCTAATTTTATTAAATAAAAACTTTATTGCAGGTTTAATAAACGTTATATTAATTTTAAATAGTTTTTTAATTAAAATATTAATATTTTATGAATTTAAAGGTATTATTAAAAAGATTGGGGTTATATTTTCGATAAAATTAGGTTTTTTTAGGTTAGAAATAAGATTTGGGGGGGTTAAAGTAATATTGGAAACTTTTCGGAATATAAATCGGTAATTTAATAATTTATTTTAATTCTTAAAATAGATTTCTGTAGTTTTTTAACCAACTAATATATTATATTTGGTTAAATATTTTTTTTATACTATTTAATAAGTCGTAATAAATTTCCTTTTATTGGGATTAGAGATATAATATAATTGGCATATTTTAATAAATTTATAATAATAATTTTATTTTATTAATAAAAATATATTTACGTTAATAATTTGTAAGACGTGTAATAAATATATCGAAATAAAAATAATATAAATTTTATTTATAAAATATTTCTAAAAGAATTTTATTGTGGTATGGTTATTGTGGCTGTTAAGGATTAATAATTATTATTGTTAATAATTTAATAGTTTTGTTTTTTTAAAAAGATTTTATAAAATTATTTAAATATAATATCATTATTAATCTAACTATTAAGAAACGTAATAAATTTTTAGTTTTTAAATTTAATGTTTTTATTGTTAAAAAACTACTATTATTATATGTATTTATTTGTATATATAATAAGGGGATTTAGAGATTAACTATTGTTATTAACGTATTTAATAATTGACGTTTAAGTTTTATTACTACAATTTTTAACTATAATATATTTTTTATAAATTTTACCAATAATTATTCTGTTATTCCTAATCTTTTTTATAATCTTTATTTTATTAACGTTGTATGTATGCCTAGTCGGGATATTTTTAATCCTAAAGATTTCAAATTGATTAAAAAAAATATTAATATTATTAATTGTAACTTTGTTGATTTGTTTATAATTAATTAAATAAACTTTAATTGATTTAATATTAAGATAACAAAATAAAAATCGTATATGCCAATATTTACCAAAGGTATTGGGTTGGTAATTATAAATTAATAATTTTTTTGTAATATTTTTAAATTAATATAAAAAAAGCGTATGATTAATATAATTTAACGTAATAATTTAATTAACTAATTTTTTTTTGATATTTTAATAGTTTCTAACGTTTTTTTAAATAATTATTTTATATTTTATAGTTTAATATTCGATTTGTAAGGTAATATTGTGATATAAAGTATTTTTTAAATGTTTATCGTAAGGATACGCTGTTGAGAACGTTATTTATTACTGTAATGTAATATAATTAGGTTAAGAAAATAAGTATTTTAAAATTATAAAAAAATAAAGATTTAAATAATAAATTTTATTTTTTAATTAATTAAAAACTAATAAAATTATATAATAATTTATATATAGACCTTATTACAAACGCGTTGCGTTTTTGAGGTGGCCCCCACTAGGGTGGCCCCCGTAAGGGTGCTTTGACTTAACAGAAGGAAAGTTGGCTATCAAGCTGAGAATCTTCGCCTGTTTGGCCCTACATGATGTTAGCTACTAAGTACAAATAAAGTATTCCGAGAAACTTGGTTAAAATCACCTGTAGTGTCCATTCGACAGTGCCGTTTTTTTGAAGATCTTGAAAATTGAGCAGTAGTATCTTGAGACGATTAAGTATGATCCGTCTTCAGATTTGTCCACGGAATTGATATGGAAGTAACCATACGGAATAAATTGATTCTTACCAAAATCCGCAACAGGATAAAACTGCTGGACATTAGAAATGGGAATCTGGTCGACATGGTCTAAGGAGCTCCACTTAAAAAGTATCTCGTGTGTCTTCACATCCAACTCGTAGAATAAGCTGTCAGTTACCCAACTATCTTGCGGACCACCAACATAACTCAGACAGTATTTGGTAACATTGCATAATGTTTCCAGGATGGTATGTTGGTCTGTGATCTGGGATTCGTGCATATTGAGATAGGATGTAATCTGGTTAGGGTCGAGCTCCGGTATACCGGTCTGCCCTCAAATGTTTGGGTCTTGCAAGCACTGTAGTCGCCATATCCGCTTTGCCAGATAAGTCAATTGTCATTGTACATAATAGAAAGGCTGTAGTGGTGCGCGTACTCTCCATTATGGTTGAAAAATATGTGTCCAGGAGACATAGGACCGGATTTGATGATATTCAATAATGGACTACATGATATCTATTAAGTACCTACCTACCCGTTTCATATGTCAATATTGTCATGAATGCCTTTCTAAGATCTTCTCACTTTGGCGAAACTCAATGAGGTATTCATTAGAGGATGTGTAGTATATTAGAAGGTGAATCAGATCAAGATTTACTTACGGTTCCGCCGAACTAGATTTATAAGTTTGCCACGGCCACGTATAATTCTGCGCAGAGATAAAAATGGCTTGGTGAGAGCATACCACAAAAGATATAGCAAAAAACGGAAGACATATTTTGGATTGCTTTATTACTTAAATGATGCTAATGTAGGTAGTTTTCAAGGTGGGTAACTGTCAATAACTATGCTATATTATCTTGAGCGACTTCGGATGATCATAGCTGAAGTGGTTCAGACGACGACTTTAGTATGGTATGTATCAATAGTTCGACCTATTCAAGCGCCCGAAACGATGTAAGCTAAGGAAACTTTTTTCTAATGTAGGTTGCGGGGATAAAGTCGGAGATGTGGGATCTTGAGGATCTAATCAGCGGATCTGATAAGATTAATCAAGATCAGTAGCCAATTAGCGCCGCCGACCCCGGTAGTAACAAGGGGTTCTGATAAAAATTATGTGAAAGTTTAAAAATGCAACAACTTACCTTGGGTAGTTTAAGTACTGTAGAATCATGTGGTCAAAGGATGTTGTATTGTAAAGATTCTTCTACTCTAATTCTATAATTCTAACTGGTGGGAATCTTATATATGCTTTTATCCAATTACACCTTCTTACAGTAGGTACTTAACCCAAGACAAAGATGGGATATGAGTGATTAACCTCCTCATCATATTAAAAGACACCCAGTCGTACAGTATCACGCACATATTTGGGCCAGAAGAGCAGATTGCTATGCTTCTTGGGTAAATACTTAAACTAAGGAAACGGCCAGTGATTAAGGATTGATCCAAGATACTTCCCAATAGGAAAGTGTGACGAACCTATATTTAGGTACGTTAAAGTATAGTGCTGGTGGTGTCTTGATTTTAGGTAGACAGTAACAATACGGGTCAAGGTGGTAAAATAACTAATACTGAATCGTTCGCCAGGAAGGCTTGGAGTCCTTCCTCTGAGTATGGGTTAGATATCAGACTTATATTGACAACTGTAGAATGAACGACTAAATTCACAAGGAGATCTTTCCTTCTTATATTCTGTCCCTTTTCTGGTATCATGATCTAGTTGATCTAAGTGATCTCCCGAGGTTTATCCGTGGCCGTCCTCCCACGTCCATTGGCCTTCCGGAACGGCCCTAGTCTTCGCCGATTCGTGACAAAAAGCTTCCCCTTTATTTTAAGTATTTTTGAACATTTACAGCTTTTTATAAAAGACGTACCTTTTGAAGGATTTTATAAGGGTTGGAATACCCTTTTATAGGCGTTCAAAATCCGGTACACTATCCTTAGTCGTACCCGGTTCCTTGATTGAAGCGCGGCGCCCTCTGGGTGCAAGGAAGCGAAAGCCAGCATGAATACCTAGGTACCTTACATTCTAAAAGTATCCTTTGTTGTGGATGGACTATTTACAGATAACAAGTTTTGAAAGACCAAGGAACTGTGGGGGATTGCGTAATTACTAGCTATACTGAAAATTATTGGGCCTTGCCCAGTAATTATCAACTTAACCTAATCAACATCAATCTACCCTTTCAGAATGTAGTATGAGTAAAATTATTAGCACATGCGATTGTTGATCACTAGGTAGGTATGTTTACCCAGAGGTTCCTAGAGAAGAATCATAACGACGCCTGAAAGCCTAAAAGAAGGTTTGTCATTTTCGGTCAGAGTCGGGTTAAGTGATAAAGGCGGAAGCCTTGAAATATAATTCGTTACTATCGAAATTACGTACAGTCAAATCTCGCCCATCATATGAAATTTCTTAGTGATAGATCGGTCTAGGCACCTGTCGTGCAACTATCCCAGAAGATTCTACTGGAATAAATGGTGAGGGGGTTTAGGATAGAAACGTCAGCCTACCTAATCATGTGCGTTAGGTACGTAATATAACATATGATATTCATGACAGACACTTTAGGAGGTTTACACTATCGCCGAAGGTCCTAGTACGAAGAACATGCAGCTATATCAGCGGTATAGCTTCTGATATATCTATATCTCTCTACACGACAGCGGACGACTTTTGTTGAATAGTATTGTTCGTACGAATTAAATATTCATGAATTAGATTCACTCCCCATAAAACCCACAAATAACTTCCATCTTTGGATTTTCCCTTTCATCATGGAATCCCCATCTACTGTTTTCGATCGACAAGTGGTCATGGATTGGCTGACTTCTAGGACGACAGAATTGCATGAGGCCGAAGAGACTAATCATCCGTGGCAAGTACAGAGTCTTGAGCCTTTTCACCAACCACTGCTTAGGTTCTGGGATGAATTCTCAGGAAGCCCACTAGTGAGTGGACGGTTTAATGAAGGCAAGAGCACCAGATCAGCGCCTTGATGATTATACATTGCGGAAATACTATCTAGAGAGTCATCTCAAGCGTAATGGGTGGGATAATCCAACAACACACATACTGACACCATATATATCATTTACCACCCGCCCAGGCGAGGTGGATGTAGTTGCAGAGGAAAGACCTCATGCCCGAAATAGGAGAGTCACTGCTATTGACCCTAATATACGAATCAAGAACGGATTACCCGTTATTGACGTTGAAGCCGAGATAAAGCACTATAGGATTAAACCTCTGTATGCGAAATCTGAGGGATATGCCAAGGGTCATTGCATGTTTTTGTGGCAGGTCACAAAAGATGAGATTGTGGGCAGTCGGAAGTGGACCGATCTAGAAGAAGGTGACAAAAATTGGTATAATAATATCATCATGCCTGCTTATAGGAAGTTCGTTGTAAACACCACTATTACGCCCTTGGAAGCTTCCTTTGAAGAGTTACCAGGTAGGTTCATTATACTAAGATAATATATTTACAAGCTAACCAGGTATATAAGTTATTTTTAGTACTACTGACTTGGAGGACACTGGTTCATCGAGTGCGAAGCAGTGAAACGGCCCGTGTAGTACCAAGAACAGGGTAAATACCACGACGGATCAGGCGGTGATTTCCCCCACGGGTGATTCGAAAGGAGGTACCAGAGTATATGTATTGGAGCAAAATACTTTCTACAGTTTCATACGGTCTCTTGTATTTTAATAACACTTCTTGCGATATAATGGCCTGGTGGTGCCGAGCTCTATCCAATGCCTTCGTGGTTCCGTACATAAGTGATAGAAAAATTGCCCTTCCTTATCCTTTCGCTACTTTGTATGTTCTTTATGCTTAGGTAGATAGATGGTACTTATTAAAATACAATGCTCTCAGATACTATCATAATAGAATGAATTCAAATCCAATATAATTTTGGTACATCTTAGCAACCTAGTTTTCTACTTAAGTTTTCTAAAAAAGAAGTTAACTACGAAGAAATATATGGATTGATTCTCAAGCCTAATATATAATAGAAACATCTGGTAGAATTACAGGTTGATAAAATAGAAGGGTGGTCATAAACAACAACAAGGTGGGTATCATTCCCTATCTTTAATCCGGATATTGCTCAGTACCTAGCATTAGCCTTTATGCCATATTTTCTTTCCCGTGCAGGAGTTTTTCTTTCGTGTATTCCCTTAGGGTCCCAATAAATATCAGATGACTGCTAGGAAATTGCGATGATAGCCCTTGGTAAGCTGAATAAGAAGAATTTATAGTTTACCGTCAAGGAATGTCTTCTATCTTAACTAACATCCCCTGGCCAAATCTGTAGACGCTAGAGGCTGGCTTGTCTCAGCCGCCGCCGCCGTTGCTTCGTCTACGATACTCGGCCCCAAGTCAGGCGGCCTTTGCCCTTTTGCATCACAGAAGCTTGCTCCATATTCTTCGTTGGCATGGATGTCTTCGTCGGGCATTATAATCGTCGCGGGGGCTGCCTCGGTTGGCTTTTTTTGAAACCTCTTCGGGACGAATGTCTTATACATTGCTTTTCGAAAAGTTCGTGTAGTTCCGAAAACAATGAATACCTAGTAGTTTGAACGTTAGGGTGTAACCACATAAATAGAGAAGCTCACTGAACCCCGGAGTTTGACGTGTATAGCAGGCAGATAATATCGACGGCTAGGAAATTAAGTGTAACTTTGGGTATGACCTACAAGTAGACTTGTTGATACACCTGGCATAAAGAGTAAGAAATCATTTTTGGCCCTCTCCTTTGATAAATCCGCGGATTCGCCTAGTTTTTCCATCGTGTGGTTTGACAATTGTGACACCTCTAGCAGAATTGTGAACAGCTGAAAGACCCCTAAGACTGCAAACGCGATAGTGAAGCGTAATAATAGCCAGCGGTCGTATATGCTCTGACGATGATCTCCACGATCCAGCACGTTGATAATTTCTCCGCCCGCCTCTTGCGATCGCCTCGAAAATAAGTAATGGGCGTTCCATGAAACAAGTCGACGTCGAGTGTAAATGTATTTAATAAGGATTGCTATTAACAATATACTGCCAATAGTTAGGCTGATCATTACTAATGTCGTGTTATCTTAACTAGTCCTTTACTAGTAGCGGTGACGAATACAACAGGGGCGCATACTATTGAAGTTGGCAAGTATTAAGAATCCCCTATGTGAACTCTGGACTATATTCAACCGTAGGAGGCACAATAGAAGTCCAGGGAAGATGACTGCGACGACTTTGGCTAGTTGACTCGTTCTATATTTGATACGTCTAAAGGTCGTCAAATTGGTAAATTTGAAGACGGTACGCGTAAGTGAAATGGCCCAGAAAAGCGTAAGTATTGCTTCTGCATTGTATGTATAGTATTCTTGCTCTGCAATTAGCGATACATTAGTTATCACTCTAGGTGTTTGATACTCACGTATATAGAAGAGGACAAGGTCAAGCCCAACGGAAGGTCCCGCGATAGCAATTTCAGGGCTACCGAGATGCGAAATGGCATATTTATACTGTTCAATTTTGACATCCCTCCACCAGATGAAGGTATGAAGCTGCTGAATAATGCTAGCAGTGGTTCCCAAAAGCGTAAAGTACGAAAGTAGTGCGACATCTACACGTAATAACAGTTAGTTGTCCTTCTTCCTGAAGCTAACTTTAGATCACGCAAAACGTACAGCTATCCCTCTCGTGATGTGCCCATACCAGCCATATCATGATAAAACTAGTCGCCAAACACAGGAGGGAGTATAATAGAACCACGATAGCAGTACCAACTACCTCATGGAGTAGTTGGACTACCATGTCGAGCTGATAGGTCGTAGTTGAGGCATTGAAGTCGTCGAAATAAACTCAGTGTTCGAAGCGACAGGATAAAACACTAGAGAGTTGTAAAAAGAAACAAGCTTTGCTACCTAAGACCTTCCAGTCTGTTATTCATTAAATCAATGTGACGGCTCAGTACTGCCGCCGGTTCTAGACGCCAAGAAGCCGGTACTATCACCGTTACAACCCTTATCGGGTATGTTGCCGAGATAATCCATGTTAAGTTGCTCGCCTAGATCTGCGTGGGGGTGCCACAACTACCCCGGAGGTTAGAGCCTATGGAGCAGAGAAAGACCAATGTGAATTGGAGATTCCGAGAGAGAAGTGTTCACATAGCCAATGACATGAGCGAAGCTCTATGCCGGTAACATTAGGATCATCTACCGAGAACTCGACGATGATGAAACATAACCCCACTCCGTGAATTGTGACTGATTTTTTAAGAATTAACCTTGAAGGAGGATGATAATATCTTCAATTTTCTTGCTTTATATATAAGCAAAATAACAACGTGAAGACTATCATCATGCTAAGACGACAGTTATGACAGTGCAGCAGTGGCTTACTACAGTTTCTGCTTTCTGCTTCGAACGTCGTTACATTTGTGCCTTGAATGAAAGCCAATCATCCACTAGGGTAAGTGACCAGGTTTTCGTAACCAGTTGCAGTGATCACCGAAAGGATTAACCCTCGTGCAAGATCCAGTTGGATGGACACTGGAATCACCAGATCAACTTATCATAGCTTCTCATTCGCACGAACGCATTTGTATGGACAAGGGCCGCGGTATATATGATTGTAAGACGAGAAGATGGTATTTTTGAGCCAACTTTTAACGCAATACTAGTGAAATCATCTGCCTTATAGACTTTTAGGTCCAAATATTGGATAGTAGTTATTATGTTGAGTTTAGTTGTATCAATTATTCGAATCCAAAGCCTACTATCTTCGCTTAGAGGAGCCTAAGAGTGGGTGTAAACGTAAATAGGACCTTTACTAAGCTAACTTATGCATCCGGTATATTTCTACTTGGCGCTGGCGTACTCACTTGAAGACCTATAAAAAAAAGGTACGATGCAGGTGGTATGTATGTTAATCAGGTAGTTACATATAGGTTTCAACATACTGCATGATCTAAGTAACGGGTTTGTCTCCAGACCGCGGACCACTTTCCATTTCCAGTAGTAAGGCATTATTCCCCATATATATAATACATATACTAATAACTGGGAATTAAAGAAGTATTTATCGCACTACGTATGCCCATTTTGGGCTCTCAAGACATACCTGTGAAAACTCGTAAACACTTTTTATGCGGTAGTATTTGTTACGCAGTGTCACATCGGGAGGCTTGGTACCTACTTCTTGTGGTGGATCTCTTCTCAACTAGACACTATCAACTTAGTATAATAGTCTAAATGACACAATAGCAAGAGAGTAAGTGTCTCAAACTCTCGTGGCTCTTATTGCAGATAAAGAACTATAATATGGAGAGTTGATTCATGTTATGTAAATACCTACCTAATGTATTAAAAATCGTCACCGAACTAGCCATATAGATGGCTAATAGTAAAATTGAACTAGACGATATGTATACAATGGCCCCTAGATAGAAAAACGCATAACACTATAAGAATAAGAAATAAAACTTAACTTTAATTGAGATCATACTTCGTTGCGAAACTTGATATATATTCTATTTGCGTGGTGGTATCGTGTCTACTGAGGTACAGAAAGACAATTTTCTTAACACCTTCCTCTTCCGGATGCCAATATCGAAGAGCGCGTAGCTAACCCTCATCCCGATCGAGGATGATGACGTCCGCAAGCCTAATCCACTATACGGTCCGTTACATTCCGTAGCCGCCTTGCATAAACATAACAGCCAGCGGGTCGGAATGTAGCTCTAAGGACATCACATATTTTCCTTTAACGCGGAGGTATGTATAATAGAGAATGTCCGGGCCAATAACAAGCTGTACCCTTCAGTACCTAATGCATGACACGCAGCGGAGTTACGAAAATGAGTTTTTACTTGAAAGCATGCGGGGTGAATCAGCAATTAGATAACATGCGAATAGAGAATTCGTGTACCTTAATAACGTGCCTCATTATAACATAGAACTCAAACGCCTATTATGATGAACTAATTTCCTAGTGAACCTATAATTGCGCAATAATTCGATAAGTACCTAATCTATAAGTTAACCTTTTAAGAACATCTTTGCGTAAGTTTTCTAAGAGTTTTGACCATGAAAAGTTAGAGATACAACCGATATCATAATTCCTCCCATGTCACTCAAGTCTAGAGACATCAATCTATAGTCCTGGCAATTTTGACAACGTTGGCCCACTCCTGTGGTCTGTAGCGGCCACCTTCGTAAGCTCCATTTACATACGTCTCTGCCTCCTTTGCCCAAGCCAAAAGCTGCTCTTCCGCGCCCCACTCACCCATCGCCATAAGGCCGACCGGTAGCTTGCCATCACCTTGCTCAGGGTCGACGTAACCAACGGGCGCACTGACCGCGGGGCAGCCTGTCGAATTCGCCAGCCAGATATACATCATGTTGCGGATTGTTACATTGCCGTCGCTAAATCCGTACGCCTGGTCGCCAGGGTGGATCAACCATCCAGCTTCGGGTGCCGTCGGCGTGATTATCAACATACCCGGATGCTTCTTCCATAAAAATGCGAGATGCTCCATGAGTAACCCTCTCAATTGACCATATTTGATCATATCAGTGCCCGACGTGCACGCGCCGACGGCCATTAGAAGCTGATTGCAGTTGTTGAGACCTGTGAGCGGACGCGCTGGGTCTACAGCGTGTGAATTGTGGTGGTCAATGCCCTCGGTAAGCGCCCATGCGCTGTGAGCATACTGGGCCTCTTGTACATAGGGGATACTAATATCAACAACTTCGTAACCCAGTTTATCCGTAAAATGTGCAATTGCTTTCCTAGTGACGTTAAGGACACCAGGAGAAGCTTGGTCGAACCAGTCACGATAAATGCCAATTGTTTTCTTCGCAGAAGGGCTCGGCGGAATTGACAACGCGAAAGAGCCCTGTATTGGATCTTCGGGGTTAGGCGCCGTCACTAATACATTCACAGTTAGTATATGGGTTTCATTAAGCTTTGGGATATAGATTCCTAGTGTGATAGATATTTGCGATGGGAGGTAGTTTATATTAACTGAGGAATAGGTGGGATATACTCACTAATACGATACGCAATAGCTAAGTCATTTGCTGTCGCTGCTAAGGGGCCTATGACACAGATAGAGGACTTCATTGTGTAAGCACGATGCAAGGTAGGTTTCAATCCGTACGCGCCGTTGAATGAGGCCGGAATGCGGACACTCCCTCCTGCATCGGTACCAATAGAGATAGGGACTAACCCGGAGGAGATGGCCGACCCTCCGCCAGATGACGAGCCGCCTGGATAGTACAATGGGTTGTTCCAATTTATGGGCGTCCCCCATCGCGGATTGCACCCACTAACATCTGAACCGAGCTCGTGCATTACCTGCTTGCCAATGACGATAGCACCGGCAGCTTCTAGTTGTGCGACTGGCCAGATTGTGCTCGTCGCCGGTTTAAAGAAGGGATCGGACGGATCGAAAGGCCGCCCCATATGGGATATATATCCTTCGACATCCGTGTCATCCTTGACTCCTATCGGTACTCCATCGAGAACACTTAAAGGCTGGCCAGCAGCATAACGTTCCGTCGACTTCTTAGCTGCTTCCAGTACAAGATCTTCTCTTGTAACAGACCAGGCCGACTCATACTTGGCCGGGGGATCCTGGCCTCTGGTTATGAGCGGGATTAGGGCTTTTGCTACTTGCAGTGGTGTCAATTTCCCGGATTTGAAGAGCTCATGATAATCAGCAGCGGAATAAAAACGGCCGGCTAGATCATCCGGCTGTCGTTCATAAAGATCGGGCGTGATTTCGGCCTTGCTCTGAACGACGCCATCGGCTATAAGCGGTGTGACAATGGGCTGCTCAGCTTATCAATTACTTGACATTTGAATCAGAATACATGGTGATTGCATACTTGAAGACGCCAGTCGTACTCATTTAGACGTGGTATATCTTTGACGCAACCAAACTTGGCATTTCCCCAGGTAGCCTTAGCCACGGACGGAAAATATGTGACACTGATTTTTATATGAGCAATTGGCTATATATCAATGGGGCAGATAATACTGCTTACAGTTTGGCCGCGATAACCAAAGACCAGCCTCTAAGGGGAGGATTCTTATCCTGTGCTGGCACGTATGCTGTTTTGGGGCCTTCCCTAGCAAGCGGGTATCCTGAGAATCGCTGTGTCGACGCCATTGCGATAATAAATCAATATAGCCCTTCTTACTTCTTACTAGACACGTTGTATGTTATTAAGTTACTACCCTAGGTGGCTTCGGGGCAAGGTGACTTGAGGTGAACAGATGGCACCTCGGCACCGGTAAAATGTCGCTAAATATATTGCACGGACTTAAAGTGGTAGAGTGGTTGTAGTACCTCATACCTCATACCTCGGTCCGCTTAAGCAGAAAGCCACATTTGAAGCCACAACACAACGACCCCCTGTCGACTACCAGGTATATCCCCGGAGGCCATTCCAAAACATGCTCGAGAAAAATCCAAACTTATTCTACCCTAAGTATTATAGTTGGAAATGACATATGAAACCCTTCTTTGAGGGATATATTGCTAATAGAAAACGAGCCGGAATTATCCATCCCTATATTCACTTCTCTATTCCATCCATACAGTCATGATTTACCTCCATCCTAGGATTAACAATGCCGGGCGGAACTCCGGTAGGCGTCTCCATTGTTGGAGAATCCAAGGATGATCTGGGGCGATAGGAGAAGTTGTTGGAAATGATGCTGTAGCTTCTCCCTCGGCGTATCCAACTTGCAATAGATGCTCGTGGTACCGACATATTTCTTCTAGTATGATCTTATCTAGGCTTGACCTAAGGATAAGTTCAACATCTTGACGTCGAGGAAAGACTGGTGACATTTCTTGAAAACGTGCCCATGTCTTATAGCCATCTATTTTCCTCTGGTCTTCATCGCTGCATAAGTCAAGGACTGTCCCCTTGCCCTTATCTTGTTCCGTCATATCCGGTCGAAACTTGGGCCAATACGCGGTCTCAATCTGCTCGACAATGAGATATATTATCTTGACGCTATGAAACCGTCGACCTTCGATGAGATCTTTGATGATAACTTTGATCTCGCCCTCAAAGTCTCCAGCGTTAATTACCAATCTCTCTGCTGCAGAAAAGAAGGGCTCTGGGTTCGACAACGGGTAAGGATAGCCGCTGTGTAGCTCAAGTATATCACGAGACCCTATAAACCAAGTAGTTGTGTGGATGTCTTCTGCAGTCGGGAAGCCACGCACAACTGAGTGGTTCACAGCAACTTCTCGTGACTCTTGGCAAACATGGGCAACTACAGGCGGTAGAAGACGCCAGTTCTCCCAAGGTACATTCTTGGCAAAGAGTTGGATGCGACCTCTGGGGAGAGCATGAACCCAGATCAGGCGTCTTATCTCTGTAGGTAGTCGAGGAAATTGTGGGAAGGATTGGTAGTTTGACATTTGCTGTACTCGTCTTGGGGTCTTGCTGGTTCAGTTTAGGGGCTAAGTTGTGGGCAGGCTAAAAGCTGGACGCTTCGAGTAAGCTTTTTTTCGACCCAAACTGAATATCCGTGCTACTCTCGTCATAAAATTCGGTATGGCCGTTACAGATTCGGGGCTCAACCATAACTGCTAGGATGCACGGCTTCTTAAATTAGTATTTTATAGTTTCCGACATCCGAAGAGCAAGAGTTAATACCAGAGTCAAGTAAGATAGTATGTGCCAGGAGGACGGGGGTTTGAGAACCTGGAAATCCATCAGGGGCCTTGAATCTCGATATATGAACATATATAAACACAGCATGCGAGGATTGGGGCAGCATTGGACTGTCGTGATTGTACAACGATGGTTTCCATTGCGTAAGGCTGCCTGGCCAAACTGGGACGGATTGAAATTTGTGGATCCAGTGAAGGACATTGGAGTTGACGTGATTAGTTGGGCTGATCGCATCATTCTCTTATTACTGGTGGTTCTCTAATGTTTGATGCCGCAATTCCACACAACTTGATGATATATATAGGTATACATCTAGTTTGGCATTGTGATAACCTGTGGATGTTCAACCATGATTCCTCCGAGAACCAGTGTTTTATGATGACCTATTTATCTAGCAATATCTCGCCATCTCCAATAATGATCCCCTCCGCTTAAACGATCTTCATTCGCGTTATTCGGCATCTACTTAATTTTATTGAGCATATTTCATCTCTAAGTTGTTGCTGTCATGGTCGCTTTGTTTCCTCTTGGAACTAGTCTGATAGAGATAAAATGTGCATAAGGAAAAATATCCCGCCGACTTGAAGCTGATAGTATAGAACTCGTGATATTCGCAGGTATCCTAATATATCCTTCGGGAGACAATATATTACCCATATGCTGGCGTATGAGTGCTCCTACGATATTGGTTCATGCATGGCGACAAAGGGTATCAAATGACCGATGTAAAAGAGTCAGCCTATACAATTCCCATACGAGGGGACATTCTTCCGATGCCCACTCGTTTTTATGATCGACCTTCCTCGGCCTTCTTGACTTTCCGTTCGGCCCATTTCAATGCTTCGCCGGTACCAAAATACAGCACCGTCCAGAAGAAACCTGCCCTAAGCAAAGCTTTCTCCACAACTTGAGGCGGCGTGTTCATGAATCTCCTCTCAACGACTAAATGCCATGATGATTCTAAGACGAAGCCCGTAGAACATATGCGGCCAAGTTGATCCTTGCCAGTGGTATTGTGGATGCGTTCGGCTAGTTGAAGCGAGAATGGTTTAGATGAAGCCATCTTTTGTATTTTTGTATTTTTGTATTCTTTTTATCGACACGCTAAACGTGATGTGTAATCTGCATAGTGCTACTAGAGGAGAAATTTTGTGCAAGTTTATGAGTAGTGCACGGTCCAGAAGCACGTTTGCGATAAGTGCTTGACGCTAATAAAAGTGGAGATAGTGCCATTAACACCGCCGCACTTTGTAGCCCCTTAGATGAAGGAAGTACTTAGGTTAACCTTTCATCCGAGCCATTTAAGGTCTCTTTTAGTAATCTTATGAGTGTAGTCCCTGGGCGCTGTAACTAGTAGATAAGAGGAGACTACATCTTAAACATCCTCAATAAACTAGTTAATAGAAGTATTTGTCATAAAAACATCAAATTATAAAGTATACCAGTTTGGAATATCATCAAGTCAGCAAGCCCTTACCTGCCTCACCCCTATTTTATACCTGCAGAATCTTACACGATGCTTGTAGTAGTCTAGATAAAATCCAGTATTCAGCTGCCACCAGATGAGGACAAGATTAAGTACGGAATGACGGCTGTAACAATATCACGGTGTCTGTATCGTATCATAAAGTCCAGGTCTAAGTTTACTCTTTTGTGTTATGTGAAAACCTATGGTAACAGCGGTTGCTGCTCAGCATCGTTCTCAACCACAGGACGATCGCCCTCCCTAAACCTATATCTCTTGTTAAATTGATAATCCAGTAACTTCAACTTTCATTAACTCACATTGTGTATCCCACAAACGAAACAAGCCAGAAAGAACCGAGATAAGTTAAGCACCATTCGAGTATGCCCGAGGACTTGAAATAACCGTCGTACATAAGAATTACGAATGCTAGTCCGCAACCAAACTGACAGATCACTAGAGCTGTGTTGAAGATGCACCTTTGGTCACGTTAACGTCACAGCTTTTTCAAATTCGAGATTTCCCCCCTGATTAAACGTACCATTTCCTCAAGCCCATAAACACTACAGGACCCCAAATTTGATCCCACCACACAGCAGTGGTAGTGACTGCACTCGCAAAAAGGCCTCCAAATGTACCCATGAGGAGGTGTCGATGTCGTACATGCGCATCGTCTGTATCAAAAATACTGAGGTTTATTAAGCTAACAGCAGCAGTAATGCCGGCAATCTGCGCAATTAAGCTCACGGTCTGCCGCCACGGGGCGTCGTCTGTCAGTCCGTAGAAATTAGGCGAATAGCGTACATGATGTACCGAGAACATGGTCCCAAGAAACGCAATTCCGGTAGCTGCACACCCAATAATAAACACGGGCTTAAACTGATGGGCAGCAATGTCGCTAATAAATGGGACATATGGGTTCACCTGTCCGGGGTATTGGGGACGGCCGATAGCCAGCCATCTCACCAGTAAAATAGTGAGCGTCAAAAACCAAGATAAACCAGCAAGAAGAGGGAAGAGCCAGAGACGCCGAGTGGAAAAGAAATCTCGGAATGTGCGATACCAAATCCCTGCCATGTTGCATTCATGGAGTAAAATGAAATGAACAGTCTCTGGTCTACGGATGAATGCTTCCAATCGCCGGCTCCTAGTGGAAAGAGTCGAATTAAATTAAGATTAAGACTACGATTTCTATCTTGAGATAAAGGTTACCTACACGCCTGCGCGCCTCTACGTACCTAGGTTAGTCGAAAGCCCATACGTCATAAGTCTCGGGCTGTCCCGAAGTGGGGCTGAGAGAAGCGGGGATGACATTGCTCGGGTCGGCGTCTCAAAAGTAGGTACCTAGGTACCTACCTAACCTAGACGCTACCTATATAATCTAGCTTACCCAATATACGAATTCTTCACATTCAAAGCGCCTTCAATAAACCTTCATGTTTAACAGCCCAAGTTCCATCCTTGGGAAAACCCGGGGCATCCTTCGTGGACCCGTTCCAACCAGCAATCATGTACGCGACTGCATTATTATTCGTTAATAACCGTAACGACTTCGACGAGACTATGTAAAGTGCTCACCTGCATAAAGGAATCCTGCATTACCAGGCATAAACGGAGGAGGGGTGCCACCTATATACAACTATTAGAATGATAGGATGGCATCTCGTTTATTGTAGATAAAGCCTACCATCACCTCCTCACACAGCAAATCCTGCGTCATCGAATATCCAATAGTTATACGCCGTCATGTGATAGATAGCACGCTCTGGATTCCCAATTCTAGCAGAGTTGATCGCCAGTACGGGTCGGCCCCACCCACGGATCTTGTCATCGGTCCATACTTCCCAAATCTTATCCGCCGTCTTCAGTGCAACGTCAGGGTCAACTGCTGGTGTATCGGGAAGAATACCCTGAAGCATAATGAGGCTTCGAGGGTCTCCGTTAAGTTTAGGATTTTCCCACCAAGAACTATTTAGACCCTCATAGACAGCGTACAGGCCACCAGCTTGGGGTGGGCGAGCTAGATTCTCCGCGACGGTTGTCCATTTCTCAGGAATGCGCTGGCCTAGCCTCCTCTTCCATTCGCGCGCAACGTCTAGCCCATACCTCCAATATGCAATCTAGGTAGTGAATATGAGTTATACTGTGTACGATGCCGTAAGAGCTGGTAGGTGTGCCACTTACTTCATAAGCTAGGTTCAGCGTTTCGGCTGGTGGCGTGTTTTCTGTCACTCCGTAACTAGGCGGGCCAAGGTCATAGCGTCCCGAGCTCTCATTTTTCCAAGCATAGGAAGCCATGTAATCGGCAGCGGCGCTTACGACGGCATCCCATCTTTTCAACGTCTCTCGTCTAGGAGAAGCTTGGTATGCTAATTCTGCCATGTACATGGAATGAGGCTAGAAGAGACGGTAGTGTTAAAGAGATGTTATTAAAATAATAATTCCAACGTACCTGCTGCCATAAAAGTAGACCGTTGATACCACCCGGCGAGCTAACTCCAGTGTCGGCTTCAGTCATCTTTGGCCACCTAGTCAGCATCCTATTAGTTGTTCACCATATATATTCCGGGGAGTTCGGAATCAAATCACCTAGCCCCTTCCCACCCCATTGACTTTGCTCTCGCCATCGACGAAGGTAACAGAGTCTCGTACAATCCAGGAAAGATATTATCAAAATACTTCTGTCGGCCCCACGTCAACCAATGGGCATTATGCCAAACAACCATTTCCATGTGAAATTTTCCTACGGAAATTTAGCTCTAGGGCAAATACGTTAGAATGAGCACCGGCGACACATACCATACCACCCGTTATTCATCAATCCACTTTCTTGCGGTGACTGGCCTGTCGCTGCGCTGTTCACTCGAACATGATATTGTGATAAGATAATACGTCGCTGGAGCTCGTCCGCTTTCGGATTCGAAGAAGATGTCAAATCAACGAAACCGCCTTCCTCCCAGTACCGATTCCACTCTCTAGGGTTTCTTTCTTGGATACTCGATGGAAGTGCAGCTGTCTGTTTATTTGGAGAAAAATGTGCAGTAAAGTCTATAGTATTCGATCGATCGCAAGTCTTAGATGATGCTGAGAGAGTATAGCGGTGGGCGATGAGAGTATTTGATCCAGGCGGTTCGACTCTGGAGAGGTTAAGTGGACTTCCGACAGACCATCGTAAGTTAACAAAATAATTCGTCTCTTGTAGCTCATGATAGATATGTGCCTCGTCCACTTTAAAGCTTTTGATAATAGAAGTAGTATGGTTAAGAGGGAAGTCATATACACCGGCGAAAACTTCATACTTATACTTCGTAGTGTGTATTGGCGGATAGGGGAAGTCAAGCTCAATTTCTAGGTCACCCGAGGCTATAAGCTGTGATTCGATACGGAAAGCTACCGCATCAGACCCGAAGTCTCCCTGGGTAACAACTTTGACGCTCTCTCCGAAAATATCAAACGTAGATGTTATAACTCCGTTCCATAGGTTGAGTTCCTGAACCTCGTTCGTGATTTGAGAAGCTGCCAAAGTAGCTCCCTGGTACCTGAGGCCAATACGACCTAGGTTAATTCGATTGGGATTAGAAATGAGCCACTGCGAAACTTCTGGAAGATTAGAGTCGGGGATATCATAAGAGACATTTCTACCGTGCGTGATCATTGCTACGCCATGGTAATCACTAACTCTTTCCCTGTATATACATTAGAAACCTAAGATAGAAAAGGGGTTAGATGGGTAAGGTACTTCTCTGTCGGTAGAGAATCATTATGCCACGCCCAACTAGACAGTGTGTTAAAAGGTAGGATGGTCTTGGTACTATTATCAGCATTGCATCCCTTGAAATTAATAGGAGAATTCCGTTACCTGCATCCCCGTGTTGTCAACATTGAATGCGAAATTACCATTTCCCACTTGTAAAGGGGTAGTATTATTATCGACCAGCCTCTCTCTCTTAACATTGTACTTGCTAACAATATCCTGCCTTTATTTGAGGTAAGATTAGATCAAGTAAACTTAAAATGGTATGTCACTCTTCTGCTTAAGCCACACATACCTGTTGATCTTTCCAAAGGCCAGATCTGACAGCAATACGAGACCAAGAAGCAAAAAGACCATAGCTCTTCACGAAACAGAAGACAAGCTGATTATAACACAGCGACGTCAACTGATGCTAGGAACGATCTGAATTTATTCGATTGTACATTGTTTATTAAACGAAAGGCCGGGATAAATGCCCCCGAATTTCACCATTTCCTCAGAGGGAACTCTTATCTTCGGAAACTAATGAATCAAAGAGACCTTCCCCCACGAATAAACGGACCGGCTTTGTGGGGGAAATGGAGAAATTCTCTGGCCTCTCCACAATCTGTAAAAGCCAGGATTCTACCCCTGGTTCACCCCATGGGGGCGTATTTATATAGATGGAAGCCATACCTCGCTTAGCCACTTGCATATTTGATGGGTTAATTTGAAGAGCTTTGCAAATTAGTCACTTTCATTAAACGTGTATCCAATATAGTAGGACGACTGATAGAAATTTGAGGGACTAGTTAGGAATGATATCTTCAACATTCACCTAGTTAGGTACGGAGTAATAACTACTAACTTAATAAAAGGTAATATATGCTATTATCTATAACCTACCGGAGAGGTACTTAAAACGATCATTTGGAAATCACGAGGTTAAAAGGTCCCTTTTATCAAGCCTATCGCTAGGTAGGTAAATTATACTAGAGCGAGTTCTACGGGCAAGGTACTGGTACCAAACCTTTTAGTCTTAAAGTCTGATTTTGGACTCAGTAAAAATTAGTTCTTAGGCGGCTATATTCGAGATAATTGTAATTCTATCGACTAACCTTACAAAGCTGGTAGCCTATCCATACGCTTTCTCGGGGGCTAGCCAGAACTTGGTCTTCTATATAATCAATTAATATTGCTAATATGCTCAAAGGTACTAGAGCCTAATTTAGTGATATAAATAAAGCGGTTGTGCTATAGCGATTCTAATAGTTACTAATGAGCTGATGCTCGGACGGATTTCTCCTTTGAGACACTTGATGCCCTTCGCATGCCAGCGTTCGGGCAATCGCTCGACCTGGTCGACTCCCAGACCCAGATACTCAAAGCAGGGAAACAAATTGAAACAAAAGGACCATATGTACCTACCTACATACCACTGTTCAATACATAAACGAGTTTGACGAAATACAAGCGGGGCTCTGGCCAGCATTAACTCGATGGTGGATAGAGACCGAGAACTCGACCAGATCCTTCTCGACGCCTTTTCACGTTTCAAAGTAGTACATGATGATTCAAGTGATAGCGAGGAGCACGACACGTGTGCTATAGGGGCGGGCTTCGAGGTTGCTTTGGTAAGTTCTTGACAAGAACATATGCTCGTACTGAGATGGTCAGGTATATTTCGTGAGGGCTGGCTTGACTGAATACATACAAGGAATCGATTAGTAATGATAGATATACATATCATGATTGTATTGATTGTGATGAGCTTCAAGTTTTTACCCGTCCCTCTAGAGTTCAACAGTTTCCAGGTCACCAAGTTACTTCGATCCCCTCAACAATGTTTCGTGAAGCTCAAGGCTGTATGAAATTTCATAACGAACTGAATCAAACCCGCCGTTCTCAAAGGATTGTATTAATATCCCAGTAAATAGAGCGCAATGAAACACGCCGTACTATTATACAATGTACTAAGATCTTATGACATCCATACCAGAGTACTTTCATTCTCGACCCCAAGTAAAAATCGTCAAATTACCTAGAAACCTGGTAGCTGTTTGTGTGGTGGATTTATATATTTTGAACTTAGTATCTCAACAGTGAATCCTTCATTTCCTTGAGACGTTTAACTATCTCGGGTGTCTTACTCATCATGGTTATCAAATCTTCAATTGGAAAGCTATCCCAGAGCCGGTTGGTAGCTTTCACAATGTCGTCGTGCCTTGACATAGGTTTAGAATTTAAGTTGTTATTATCAGCATCGTCATGTCCACTAAATGGACCCCATGCATTCTCAACAGGATTAAGGCTTCGGCGATCGGAAGCCTTTTTCAAGGTGGTATAAATGCCACCGAGGATGCCTCCGGCTTGGACAACACCGCCGACAGTGGCAACTCCATAGCCACCCATCGCAGCACTCTGATTATCAAATGAACTTTAGCTATCTCTGAACTGGGGGGTTTCAGGATTTACAGACAGATCTTATGGTTGGAGGAATCTCAAGACACTAACCTGCAGTATAGCGAACAGACTTCCTGCAGCTACGTTCGCAGTCTGGGCACCAGCCGCTATCGAGCCTAACGAAAAATACAGGTTAGCTAAGTTGCTCTTCCAATTAAACTAAAAGGTGAGAAGAATTAATATAGAAATATACCTGCTGCAATACCGCTTGCTCCAAATCCGAAAGCACCTAAAACCGGGCCGGCGATAGCCATCGGTGCTGCGATCGCAATACCAGCGGTTGCGTAGGCAGCAGTTTTCTTTGGGTTCTGTCGGATCCAGCTCCGATATCCTTCCCAAGAATCGGCCATTGTGTTCAATATAAATATCCTCTATTTATTGTTCGTAACGTGATGCCGCTGTGGATATTCGTAATCTCGGATTGAGTGCAGTCTGAGTGTTTGTAGCGGGGAGGTTAATATAGTTGCGAAATAGAGATAGAGGTCCGTTCTTATATGCAACTCTGTGTTGGCTTGGAGACGGTTCTAGTAAAGGGAACCAGAAATGTTGGAACAAGGGGGAAAGTCGGGGTTTAATCACCAGGCTGTGATGGCCAGGTTGTTAGGCCTAAGAAAGGTCAGGCCATACAGCAATTACAGCCTGCAGTAAGCCGTGGTTGTGCATTTCGGCATATTGATATTACTGGCTCATTTCTTACACTGTGAGGATCGGATCGAAAAGAAAGTCCTCCATTTGTAACTGTTATGGGATTGAATTTCTGACATGTCAAACTTCAACGCTAGTCATGAGAGGAGAACTCTTTGGTTGATAGGCAGCTATGATCGAGTAAGTTCTAACCCATCAAACAGAACATTTACGATGTGTAGCTTTTTTTTTTAAAAAAAAAGATTAATGTGTCGCACTGAAACGTTTCTATCAAATTATTAAAATGCAAACGCAACTCAAGTGAAAGAATACCATACATAGCAATTTCAAGTTTCATAGCCCTCCTCCGTACGCACTGTTGACCCCATACCGAAGTGTCTAAGACCAGGGAAAATATGATTAATCATTTATGCATAAACGCATAATATTTATCCTCTCAGACTTGTGATAACTTCCTCTGCTCCCCTCTGTCCTGAGCGAACAGCACCATCCATGTATCCTTTCCATACCACGGCAGTCCCTGTGCCGACGAGGTGAATATTTCCGACGGGCGCCCGCAGTACATCCGAACCAAGTGATGTTAACACCCCGGGGCCCATTACAGGTGATGGAGCACCAAGAAAGTAACATACTTCTCAAATAATTTCCATATTTCGGACTGGTTACTGTCGTTCACCCACGTAGCTCCGGCATCATTTATACCAACTTGTTTAGAGCTGGATTTGATGCTTAATGTCTTGCCACTAACCCTGTCGGTAGCCTCTAAGACTAAGCACGTAAAACCAGCTGCCTAGATATTCACCAGTAACTTTAAACGTACAGTAAAAATCCACTAAACGTACAGCACATCCACTTTCACGTGAGATAGCCCGATATGCCACCACCTACCTAATTTGTATTGGGATTAGCATTGCTCCCTAACAAATTCGTAGTTTTACCTGATCGTATTGTAATATCTGTATTCAATTGAATATAAAATTTAAATTGAAGCTATTACCACCTTTTCGATGAGTTAGCAAATAACAGCCTTGGTAACGGCCCCAACACAGCCGCCTTAACAACAGTATATACAACAGTATACGATCCCCTCATCCCTAGCGCTAGCGCCAGCGAGGCCTAATATCGCATCCAGCCTCCACGGGTTATAGGGCTTACAGGGCTATTAATAGTGGTCTCCAGGGCCTTCCCAACAGCCTCAACAGCCCCAGCAGCCTGTAATTCAACGGCAACAGGCGCCTATTATCCCTTCTCAACGACCTGCAGGGCAGCAAAATCAGTGGCCAAGTCAATATAACCAATCAAATCAACAGCCTTAGCCTCCGTATTATTACCTTAATTGAGTATATAAACCTATAGCCTGTATATACGTATTAGATTTAATTATAAATATATTAATTTTTATTTATTTAAATTTTATATTCAATTAAATACAGATATTACAATACGATTAGGTAAAACTACGAATTTGTTAGGGAGCAATGTTAATCCCAATACAAATTAGGTAGGTGGTGGCATATCGGGCTATCTCACGTGAAAGTGGATGTGCTGTACGTTTAGTGGATTTTTACTATACGTTTAAAGTTACTGGATATTCACTGCTGCTTGGAGGCTACTGAGGCTAGCTCTAATAATTACTACATCTGCCGTAATATAATTCATCTTAGAAGGGCCGATTATATCAAAGGTCATCGTGATAACTAGGACTAGGGTCTGTGGACTTTTGAAAATAGTTAGTACTAGGCAGCCAATTCAAGTTTAAGGCTATGGTTTCAAATACATCCGAAATTGTTAAAGTATCCCCCCCAGCACTTTAATGTGTTTTAATAAGGACGAATAAATAGTCTCCCGTCACAGACACCATGCGGGATCCTCGGAGGCCGCCAGTGGGGCCGGACTCCGTTGAAGCAGAGAACACCACAAATCTCATTACTTGTTATTTGGAAAAATCATGCATTTTCTTCAGGAATTAATTATGGTTCAGTGCCACGAAGTAATTGCTGCCTAGTCCAAGTTCTTATATAATTCTTACACCCTGTGATAGATATCTCCTCTGCCAGTTGACCTTCTACTCGCATATCCCCAAGTACCTAAGGTTAGTCCTCATCTGGAATTATAACATAAATTCACCATTCTTAGTCTCTCTGACTTAGTATAATGTTAAAACTAGAGCTTCCACCTTGTACACCTAAGTTTAGTACTTTATATCTTGAGTTGGGTCCAATATTACAATTTCTTATTCATTATTACATGTATTCCCCTTTCCTAGTATTTCAATGCTGGTATTCTTGGCTTCTGCCGAGGATCGGCGACGGTGTACTAGAAGCCAACCTTCATACGATTTCTCATCTTTAGTTAACACTAGCAGCTGAGAGACGAGAAATATATCGTTACGTTATATTTAAAGGATCACACGTAGTTGAGGTTTAGGAGATGTTCTAGTAATGAACACAATGCATGATATGACACTAGGGCTCATATCATATATAGATCCACAGTTACGGTAGATATAGTGTAGTATTTAGATAAAGCTTGATAAATAAACACATTTATAGGTAGGAAAGTTTGTATATCGTTTGCATGTAGAGTTGTTCCTTTTTTTATGAAAAGAAAAGCTACCTATCGAGTTGGACTGCTAGTATCCTTGCAATGGTATAGCCAGGGATATCACCAAGCTCAACTATCCGAATAGATACAGTTCCATTTTAAGATTGACGCTGCTGTAATTATAATTTTATGTACATTTTATTTACCTACCTACATGTATATAAACATGAGTGAAAGTCGCATCACAAATTCAGACGGTTGGGCGCCGACATCCTCCTCAAACTTATGAAAGAGTTGTTCGGCTTTCCAAGTAGGCTCACCTGAGTTAAGTATCAGAATATACTGTAGGTGTGAGCGCTGTGTATCCATGTACACTTTCCTGTGTTTTTCGGCCAATTCCAGTTCCAATTCCATGCTACCGGGTTTGCAGTAGCCACTAGGCACGTAATTCAGCGAGAATGATACAGAATGCTAGGGCAGAGAAGGAAATCAAATCTGAAAATACAGATGAAAGGTAGGTAGCAGAGATAATCTAAATCTTGCGTTCTTTATACGTAGCACTCCTGCTTCTCTTTTATATTTACGCACCTGTAGAACATCAGAAGACAAGTTCTTTCATTTTGTTTTTCATCAGTGACTTTGTAAATTCCTGTTAGTTAAAAAGGTAATTGGGGTAACTATCGAATTAACAAACTAACTCTTATAAGACCTAATCACAACACAAGGGCGTACAATAAGGGGGTTGGATTGAGACAGGTAAATCTTCGAAGCTGGACACTTCCTATATTGCGTACTATGCGCCCGCGTCTATGAACGTATGTCTTACTAGCGGGTCTATCTAGAATATAAATTGCCTACTATCTTATACTCATAATATAAAATTAGAAAATTTAAAATAGCAAACATTAGTTGAACAATTGAATTGGATCTTGAGAACCCAGAAGAAGTTTCGCTGAAACGACGCAGGCCTGATTTGAACAGACGCTCCCGAAAAGAAGAATATTTCTCTGGAAAGTGTTAAAAAATTACTGTACAGTTGACACAAAGGGGAAGAAGACTAACAGTCTTGCGCGTTAGATAACTCTGCCACTGCGCTATCTGATGCTGGCAATGCTGGTGATAGCATCGTGAGTTACGTTGTGCTATAGGCATTTCTGGAATTTCCTCGTTGCACTATGTGACTTAGCGTAGAGAGTAGACTCGGCGGCCAAGTTTCACATTCGCTAGCATAAGAGAGCATAAGGAGGAGAAATACTGATAATAGTAGTCCATAAAGATGACAACGGAAGGCTATAGAGATTAGAGAACTGGCTATTATGAAAAGCCCATATATATAAAGGTGCTTAGGAGGTAAATATACCTATCTTGGTGTGTTTTTCTTTGCTCGGTGTCAGTCAGCAATGACACCAGTTTTGTTCATTATGGAGAGCTCCTATCATTGTAGGGTTTATCAAACTATAACGACTTTACAAGTATATATTACGCCGGCATAAAACTTCCATTATAGGAAATATTTTCACGTATTGATACTTTGCCAATTCATCTGAAAAAGAAAAGACTCGATAAGAAATAATCTGGGTTGATTTGAGCTATTAATGGCAATTTCAACTTCATTCATACTACCTAAAGGTACGTAAATAGCTTAGTGCCACTTTAATAGCGCATCGATAGCGTAATTAAAGGATGATGACCGACTAGATATAAGAAAAATTGATAGAGTTGAAAATAGAAGTATGATTAAAGTACCTGTGGATGGAAGTTGGTTGAATGTCCATCTTCCTCAGCCCCGCCTACTCAATATTTATTGATAAGATAAGAACTTCAATACGCTATGTAAGTGGCGGGGGCTTGGCGGACCCTGTTTTCTTTGTTTGTTGGCTGGTATTAACGTAGTATTAATGTACTATGATGAAAGATGCTCCGCAATTGACTTCAACATAGCTTCAAGATTAATATGAAATATGGATGTGGACATTCCTCATTCGCGAAGCTCACAGCTAGCGTCTGTAGTTTCTCAGAATTAGAAGATATGCTATAATTTATTGGTAAAATGTTGAATATTATTTGCTTGGCTGCGCCGAGAAGTAGGCGGGTTACCCCACCTTGACTTCCCGGACAGCTCCTGAGGATTGGAGGGTTGGAGGGGTAGATGGAAGCGTTGAAGCTTGCCGGCTTATTACGTAGATGCATCCTGAGAAAGAGCTGTACATACCTATACCTTAGGTACCTACCTAGATGGCGTCCATTGCTCCGCGAAGTACCCGGGACGGCAAATGCGCCACTAGTAGAAAGCCAAAGGAGCCAAAGAAGCCACCTAAAAAGATGGAAGCTTTGGCCAGAATGTTTCAGGGCATGATACGATTTTACTTCGAAATAACTCGGGTAGTTGCTCTCCATAATAAATCTCGACCGTCTGCGTCACCGTGGATCAAGTCTGGCCGAAAAAAGACCCCTCCATAGCCCTTATAGCCCCCCCCCCCTCTTCTTCTTTCTTCAACATTTTGTCGTCACTGTTTTAATTCCCTCAGACATCTTACCAAATTCACATCAGATACTAATACCTTCATCGACACTTTTATCTCTCGCCGTAGCATACCTCACTACCTATACCTTATTACCTTCCTTCTAACTCATCATTTATCACGTCGCCTTAGATTCACGATGGGTTTGATTGACAAACTAAATCTTAAGCCTGGTGTCATCTACGGCCAGGATGTCTACAAGGTAACTAAACTAATTTGGTACACCTACCTCATATGGCTAACAGATGCTTCCATTAGTTGTTCCAGTACGCCAAAGAGAACGAGTTCGCTCTCCCCGCCGTCAATGTGACCTCGTCCTCTACTGTCGTTGCTGTCCTTGAGGCCGCTAAGGAGTCGAAATCACCTGTTGTTATTCAGGTTTCCAATGGAGGTGCAGCTTTCTTTGCTGGCAAGTCCATCCCGAACACAAACCAAGAAGCCTCCGTTGCTGGTGCCATTGCCGCCGCCCACTTTGTCCGCGCAATTGCCCCTGTTTACGGTGTCCCCGTTGTCCTACACAGTGACCACTGTGCCAAGAAGCTACTGCCTTGGCTGGATGGCATGATTGATGCCGATGAGGCATGGTTTAAGGAGCACGGCACACCTCTATTCAGCAGCCACATGATCGATCTATCGGAAGAAGACGTCAAGTACAACATTGAGACAACAGCCAAATACTTAAAGCGATCTCAACCCTTGAACCTATGGTTGGAAATGGAAGTCGGCTTAACGGGTGGCGAGGAGGACGGTGTCAACAACGAAGATGTCGACAACAACTCTCTCTACACGCAGCCCGAGGATATCCTTGCCATCTATGAGGCACTTAGTCCCATCTCTAACTTATTCAGCATTGCTGCTGGCTTCGGCAATGTCCACGGTGTCTACCAGCCGGGCAACGTAAAGCTCCACCCCGAACTCCTCGGCAAGCACCAGGCCCATGTTGCCCAAAAGCTCGGCGACGGCCAGGCTAAGCCAGTCTTCTTCGTCTTCCACGGCGGCTCTGGCTCAAGCAAGGCAGAGTTCCTCGAGGCTATCTCCCACGGTGTTGTCAAGGTCAACCTCGACACCGATCTCCAGTGGGCCTACCTCGTCGGTCACCGAGACTACATCCTAAACAACATCGACTACCTAAGAACTCAGGTCGGCAACCCCGAGGGTCCCCACAAGCCGAACAAGAAGAAGTACGACCCCCGTGTGTGGGTAAGGGAAGGTGAGAAGACGATGAAGGCCCGTGTCATCGAGGCACTTGAGGATTTCCGCACAGCCGGCAAGCTATAAATAAATTAATTAAATAGGGGCGTTGTTAGACGAGATTACCACGAAGAGGGTTCTAAAATAGTCAAAATTCGATATAGCCTGTCCTGAACTTTTCCACCTCGATTTTAAGGATTGATTTGATCACTACAACCTATTTGCACAGTGAATTTGATAACGTTGGTTATTTCATAGACTGTATTTGTCTCCCGCGTGTGCTTGCCGTCGATAACGTGGGATACCTAATATTTCAGACGTGAATAACCGAGGCCCGGAATCGTCCACAGACGATAGCCAAGGATCGGGATCGGGTGAGAGATCCCGTCAAGCAAACACATCAGAATGGGAATATTAGGCGATTGTATCCGCTCGTAACAGACTAACCTAGGACATTAATTATAGGCTATACTCTACATTTGTGTCATGTGGCCGAATATCCAACACGACTCATTCAGGAGTATAGGATCTGCTTTGGAAGAGTGTTGGTACCGCATCACATTATCATATACACGATTCAATGCATAAATCCTTTAGCTACATGCATTACAATACCTAGTGCCCGTGTCAGCCATCCTAATGTTTAAGTACTGTCGAATGCGGGGTTTCCCCGTACTCCAAAATAGTGCATTCGCATTCACCGTCGCAGTATACGGACCGTATCTTCAAAAATCGCTAGCATTGTTACTAAGGTGTTTTCGTAGGAATGATGAAAAGAGACGTAGCACACCTATGTAGCACATAATCGGGGAATACAAGTACATTGTGAGTCGCTACCTATCAACTATTTTATTTGCTTATTGAATACTACCTACCTACATATGTTGGTTCCAATTGTTGACGCGGCTGCGAGCCGGGGTCAGGAAGCCAAGGGTGTTCTAGAGGTGAAGAATCCTTTTCACAGGTACCGATGTACCCTACCCATACCTAATGCGCTCCTTCCCAAGATTTCTATTTTGAAGCTCATGTCATTAGCGAATAGAGTTTAAATACGAATAGGTATGTTGGTTGGTTGGTTGGTTGGTTGGTTGGTTTCGGCGATTAGAGGTTGCATGCGCCTTAGCCGTGTCCGTCTGCCGTACAGTGTTTGATTTCTGGAAGGTCTTATGATCAACTAGTTCAACCTACAACTCAGCGCTCTGACCGTACATAATCCGGACTACACCCGTCTCTATCACTACTTTCGTAGAACCCGAGTCTGACAACCGATGATGCTTACAGGTATTATTCGAGGAGTGTCAGAAAGGTCAGATCTCCGCATTACACTTTTAGAATATACTACAAAGCCAATACTAAATAGCCGTTAAGAGTCCTATAAGAGGCGTGAAGAAGAACCAATGTAATTGAAAAGAGATGAGTTTGACTCTCGCGTTTTCAACACATTTTCGACACCGAGTTGCCTTTGCGCTATAAACCGCCAAGATGTCAATCATCGACCAGATCCCATTGCCTTGGGCATTGACCCTTGGATGCTTTGCTATTGTAGTCTATTACATCCGCTCATACTTAGCGACGAACAGTCACCTTCGAGATATTCCTGCGCCTTTCCCAGCTCAATTCACCAATCTATGGCTCCTCTACGCCTGTAGGCGGGGAAGGCGTTATCTCGTCGTGGATAAGGTCCATAAGAAATTAGGTCCCGTCGTTCGTATCCAGCCAAACCACGTGAGCATTGCCGATGACGAGGCTATCCAGGTCATCTACGGCCACGGAAACGGGTTCCTCAAGTCCGAATTCTACGACGCCTTTGTGTCGATCCGGCGCGGTCTATTCAATACTCGAGACCGCGCCGAGCATACTCGCAAGAGGAAGCTAGTCTCAAGCACATTCGCTCCGAAGGCCATATCTCAGTTTGAGCCGTACATTTATGAGAATCTCGAGATGTTTGTGAAGAGATGGGACGAGCTGATCGAAAGCTCACCAAAGGGGGATAAAACAGCCTATGTGGATTGCCTAAAATGGTTCAACTACGTTGCCTTCGACACCATTGGGGATCTAGCATTTGGCGCCCCCTTCGGTATGCTGAAAGCAGGAGCAGATATTGCCGAAGTTCGCACAGCTGTCGACTCGCCGCCCATCTATGCGCCGGCGGTTGAAATACTCAACCGCCGCGGTGAAGTGTCTGCTACTCTCGGCTGCTTCCCACAGCTAAAGCCATACGCCAAATGGCTCCCCGATTCGTTCTTTAGCAAAGGTCTCGCAGCTGTGGAGAACTTGGCCGGTATCGCTATTGCGCGCGTAAAAGATCGTCTGGAGAACCCACCGGATATCAACCGCAGAGATCTTCTTGCCTTGCTGCAAGAAGGGCGTGACGAGAAAGGCGAACCATTGGGCTTTGAGGAACTAACAGCAGAAGCACTAACGCAGCTGATTGCAGGGTCAGACACGACCTCCAATTCGTCCTGTGCTCTTCTTTATCATGTTGCACGGACTCCAGGTGTCTTAGAAAAGCTGCAGGCAGAACTCGATGCAGCAATCCCAAGTGACAACGTTACCGTGCCTTCGTACGACACGATCAGAAATTTACCATACCTCCAGATGGTCATCAACGAAACGTTGCGTATTCACTGCACATCTGGGATCGGTCTACCACGAGAGATCCCATCCGATTCTGAGGGAGTGCACATCCGCGGGTACTACTTCCCTCCTGGTACAGTGCTTAGCGTGCCAACATATACCATGCACCACTCGCGGGAGATATGGGGCGAGGATGCAGATGAGTTTCGCCCCGAGAGGTGGGAAGACACAACGACGCGCCAGAAGAACGCATTTATACCATTTAGCACAGGTCCTAGAGCCTGTGTTGGCCGAAACGTAGCCGAGATGGAGATGAAGATGATCGTGGCGACTTGGGCGCGGCGATATAAAGTGTTTCTGTGTCAGGACGAGATGGAGACTCGCGAGGGGTTCTTAAGGAAGCCACTAGCATTGGATATTGGACTAAAGCGAAGAGTTTAGGATAAGATAACATTGATCTAATTGGTAGTTTTATCAAACAAAGCAACGAAATTTCATACAAGGTTATAACTGAAATACTTCATATTGATTATCATTTTCCTATCATTTCAATATACCACTAAAAAATAAGCTGCGAGAAAGAAAAAAAAAAGGGCCACTCTACCCACCTTGTGTGTCCATACACCCCAAGAACAGCCTGACGATTAAAATCCTACATCATCACGTCTATACTATTTTAACAAATAGAGTAAAATAAGAAGCTATAAGAGTTCCAAATGAGATTAACTCTCCCAGGTGCAAGAGAAATATCAATACCTAGGTATGTTTATGCCAAGTGTGCTGTGGTTCAAGGTAAGGCTTGAGAAGCGTACCCCTATTGTTACTAGCAATCTGCTTATGATCCCTTTCAGACTGGTAATCGTGACATCGATATTGTATATTGTATAGGTACTTATGAAACATGCTTTATGATTCCTATAGTTACTTTATATCGTCTACTCCTTTCTATAGGCTATTGAGCCGATTTCGTAATGTAAGAGTACCTCGGAGGTAGGTATGTACCTACTTACAACGCATGATTACGTTTTCCCGAATAAAACAAGAACCATTATGACCTTTGCTCATAGTTCGGATTTTCCCTTCTTTATGTACATTTAAGATACCTCTATATTCCTTAGAGAAATTCAAGCTGGGAATTATGCTGAAGGATAAAAGCACCTCGAGCCTTCGGAGAAGGAATAGTAGACATAAATATATTACAGAAAACGCAATATGAGATAAATCTATTGATAGTACAACTAAGAGGCATAATTTATAACTCTCATTGAGAGATAACCTCGTATTTGTGGTTCAATTGGACAGCACCCTCAACCTGCTTTATCCACGGTGGTCGTCTCTCAACATAAGCCTCAAGAGCAGGGGGTTTATCCAGAATGCTTTGGTCATCCAACACACCGGCACGAATACCTATATTATCTTTGTTTATCTCTGCCCCGCCGCTTCGAAACAGAGCTGTGCCACATGTTGCGCAAAAATGAGTTATAATTTCCTATATCGAGTGGCAGGATTAAGTTATGAACTCCGGATATATCTTGTTTTATACTCACATTTCCGTGATCTGACACCTTCGTATACGTCTTTGGCTCGCCCTTAGTTACCGAGAAGCTCGTTTTCAACACCTGGAAAACCTGGCCGTTTGCCATTTTACGGCAGTCATGACAATAGCATATTGCCTTTGACTATCAGTATATATCGAATAGGTAATACCTTCAAGGCAGCTCACCTGATATACTGGATCACCTTCATAGGCGATCTTAATTTCTCCGCATAGACAGCTACCTGTTGGCATAGTGATAGAAGAGTAATTAGTATAGGTAAGAAGATAGATGAGGCCTGAGTAATAGGGAGTGTTAAGTCAGGTTTGGAAAGTGTAAATATCTAAGGTATTCCGTGCAAGCTTCTTATACACCCAGAGTGGATAATCACACTATCACCGTTAGATCAGCGTATACTAAATTCTGACAAAGCATTCGAAAGTAGGGACTCAACGAGGGATTTTATGGATCCGGCGGTGTGCAAGGAGCTGCATATCAACCCCCGAATCTTGCATCCGTGCCTTTAAGCTTATGAATTCAGGTATTCTACATAACGGTTGAGGTGGGTTAGATCACCAACATAATACCCGGTCCCAACCGTGCAGCTCAGGTTTCTTGTTGGAGCCATGACCGGAGTGTTCTAAGACATTCTACTAATTCTTCCGTATTATTCGCGAGAGCGAACGTGTATAAATCGGGGCGAACGATAACAAATTTTGTACCTAGGCCTAGCCGACGTAGATAGTTAGACGGGCTGTATCCCGGTTTGACAGAGATGCCTAAGTTGACGAGTCGGCGAGTAGGTGTAGGAAAATATACCTCAACACCATCAGTATCAAATGAGGTATCGGGAGAGAAAACCCGAAGAGATATTTCCGACAAGACTGATGGGTTTGGGTCAACTGCTCTGAGAACTTCTCGAGCCTCCATCACTGCATCTTCATACTGGCCTCTTGCTATTATCAGTAACGTCATCACGGTTTTAGTATTCCTTATCAACTCATCCGATAACATGGGAGACTGGTGACTTGATTCCACATAAATCTGGGCTAGGCGTTTCCCTCCATGAAATTTCTTCAGAATGAAGCCATCGTCAACGTACTGATATCCTTTGGTCTCAGACGCAGCTATAGGATCTGGCATGCTAAAGAAAGTAGAAATGCTTCTCAAGAGCCAGACTACCGTGCGTATCAGCCAGAAGTAAACATCATCACCTTTGTTGCATAACCTGCCATTTAGGCTCGTGATTTTCGTGGCGTCGTCAACACCATAGCGGCGTTCCCGTGCCCAACCCCCCAGAAGGTTATCGCGAAGCGATCTGTCGCTCTTAGGTAGGAGCTGGAGTAGCGAGATGCGCCAAGCAAGCTGATGGGCATCGCGAAACCCGCTTGCGATACCCTGACCCCCAAATGGCGGGAACACGTGGGCGGCGTCGCCAATCAAAATAATGCGGTCGTGATACCATTTATTGACAACCTTGTGCGTAAATAGATATGGGCGGCACCGGATAATGCTGATACAATCGCGCGGGTACGTGACATCGCCACAGGGGAACAGCATGTTTGAGCTATCCTTCGTACGTGTGATCATGGGCTTGATGTTCGCCCATAAGAGCTTCTCAGCATCCATGGAATCGTTCCAGTCATTCTGCTCGAGCTCGTGGCGCCACAACCGCTCCGTGTGAGGGCCAAACCTCCCCGCGGCAGTCGCTCTTCCTGGTGGGCTACAGAAATGCCAACCTTTCGGCCAGAAAAGGTCGTATACTGCTTCAGGGCTGAATCCAAGTTCCCAGAGGGGGAAGTCAGGATGTGTCTCTGGAGTTGGTAGCTTGAGTTTTAGGTTCGCCGCAATCCACGTTCCATCATAACGGTACGAACCCTCAACTTGCTTGATTCCGGCTGACTCCTCGAGGAATATTTTTCTCACAACGCCTTTCTTTCCGTCGGCTCCAACGACGAAGGAGCCTAAAATCTTACGACGAACTCCTTTCTCGTCTTCGTATTCAATAACAGGACGGTCGCCCTCCTGTCTCATATCTAACACCTCACACTGACATCGTAGATTACAAAACGGCGACTCGGCAACCTTTCGTCGCATTGCACCCTCTTTTATTATATTAGATCGTTCACCTCCACGTGAAAAGCAGTTTAGTAATCTTACCTAGTTTTGGTTGAGTATGAAGCACAGCGTTGGGAAGTACTTGCCAGAACCCGTCACTCCCGATATCCATCACATAGAAGGGGTCATTTGCAAATGAAGTCCGATGAAAGTTGATGATGGATAGCTCTTGAGGATATTATCAGATATGTAGTTTCAATGGGCTTGTGGCATGAGAACGTACCGTGTCCAATATCCTCCAGGATGTCGCCGAGGCCAAGATTCCACAAGATGCGAACAGCATCATTAGTGAGATAAACACCCCTTGGGTCTTGTGTAATCTCGGATTCCTTCTCTAAAATAACAGACTATGAGGATTGTCAGCAATGATTATTCTGTTATCCGATAGAAAATACTGAGACTTACATGAACATTGAATTTAGCTAATGAGAGTGCTAAAGCTAGACCAGATGGGCCAGCACCCACGATGACAACTTCTGTTTCTTCCATACTTGAGTGAAGGCATTATAGAAAATGAAAATGAAATCAAAGTAGGGATTGCACACCATTTATAACCGAAGTATATTTCGTTGTCGAGTTGGTGGATCCTGGGTGACACGTCGTATAGGCGCCAAATACAAATAGAATATGCGAGATTCGCTATTCCAGGGATCCCTCACTAAACATTCTCGTTAGGGCATCCTACTTTATGGCCTCGTCGTCACTCTTAAGTTGGTACGGCAGTAATTCAGTTCCTCCGACCCAAAGTTGGAGATCCTCCGCGGAGGAACTTCAGACTACACCGCTCAGATCGGTATATCCTTCCAATCAACAACTTAGCAATCAATCAATATCTTCATAAAGCTGAAGCGATTTAATGAATTGGATGCAAGTTTGAAATTTCAAGATATTTACTACAATTCACTTTTGTTTAATAAGTCCTGTAATGAATGGGAGGGCGGCTCAACAGAATGAGACTTCTCTTTCTAAGCTATCTCCCACGAAAAGCTACCATATTAACCTAGATACTTCAAGGAAAGGATTTTAAATGGAATATATTATACGCATATAACTACCCGGCCTATACATTTTCAGTTGAAGTACATTAGACTATGATATATCAACAAGTGTGATGAATACCTGATAGGTATAGACTAAACTATCGAAGCGTTTGAGGAGTTTCTGGTTATATATAGCATAGTGTTATTTATTACAAATCTTCACGTTATATTTGCTTGAATAAGTTAATGTTATTAAATGTTAGATTGGTAGAATGAAGAACCAACATTGAAAAGGGGGTGAATAGGGGGGAATTTCGTGGGACGTAATTAGCCACATTATCTCAGCCACAGAAAATGAGAAGCGGAATTGCGACAGTACAGAGGAGCTCGATATCCTCAACAGAAACATCAACTTATTCATAAGTTTAGGATAGCAGATGGTTCCCCGTAAACCCATGTATTTATCTTGACGACGGTTGATATCGATAAAAACATACGTTTAATATGCCCGTCAATAGTCGTGTCTGCGACCGATGCATCAAGTTTGTTGTTACTGTAATTGATTGTCACGATAAGAACAAGGGGTGCTAACATGATCTTAGGAAAAAAGTCAAGTGTGAAGCGGACAATTCATATCATAATTCCTGCTTATACGCTGACGCTATAAGTTCTAGGTGACCTACGACGTCCTCATTGCTCTCGTTGCTTAGAATCTAGCTATTCGTGTACGTATTCGACACGGAAGCGAAAGCCGGGTCCTCCACGAGGGTTTCGGCCGAGGACTCGCAATAGTTCAGCATCGAATCCGCCGGTCATCAGCCCACCAAATCATCAGGCAAATAGCGACGAATCAACATCTGTGACGTATTTCCAGCAGAGTGATCAACTTGAAACCCCCGTATTCAACAATGATGTTTCAGTACATTTCGCACCATGCATTGATCGTGTCGGTCCGAGCTTCTTACCGTATGTGGCTATGGCTGTACCTGCGTTAGGGTTGCCTAGCTTCCCAGGCTATTACTTGGACTCTTCGCAGGAAAAAGACATGTTGGTTTCAGCCCCTATACAGCTCACCAAGACCTTTTTTAACCCTAAGAAGTTTACTGCGGTTTTTCGACGACATACATCCCGCTATCCCACTGTTTCAGAAAAGCAGATTTCTTAAGTCGTACGATGAAGGTACAGCTTGTTATGATCTAGTCGTAATAATTAATGCAATCACGACCAAACTCCTAGGACCAGTTGAGTTTTGGAGTTCTGAGGATGTAGACGCGTGTATAAACTCACTACTCGGGTCGACAGCTTATGAAAGCGATTCATTAGGCTCTCAGACTAGTCTAGATCATCTTAGGCAAGAATGCCTCCTCGCCTATTACAACTTTCATCAGTTTCCCGGGCCATCAGCCGGGATGAGAATAAGCCGATTAACGCGCAAGGCTTATACCTTGGGGCTCAATCAAATAGAGAATCCCGACTTGTGTTCAGCCTTTAATCACGGGTTAGTAACAGAAGATGAGATTGAAGATTGGAGATACATATGGTGGTGTATCTACCGTCTCGATTCATATTCAAATATTGCTTTGGGTACCCCTTTTATGGTCGACGTGGAAAGTATCAACAGCGCTCTCGTCAGGAGGTCATTATCTGATGAGGTGGTTTCACACTCGCCCAAACTATTCTTAACTGACGACATAGACCAACTCTGGAGAACTTTGCAAGATGTTGTGTTAAATTATTGTGGGCGAGAGTTGAATATTCACATTCTTACCACCGCAATGTTGCGCTATGCTGGAAGCGTCTTAACGCTTAGGGCCACGAGAAAATGTGTCGACTCTAAAACTGCTGTTCTAGGAGATGCTCTTACTTCAGTTCTCCTCGTATTGCCCCCTGGATATCTTAATCCAAAGCGCAACGTACTAGCGGCCGAATCTGATATTCACCATTGCATCCGGGTTACCAACATATTGCATCTGCACATGACGCGCCTTGTCGCCTCCTTACCCTCGAACCTATATGCCAACGAGGCTCAATGGTTAGACTGCTGGCAACGAAGCCTTGAAACTTGCCAGGATATCGTCTCGGTTGTTGATGAATGGGATAATCAGTTCTGGTCTCGTGTTGATCCCGCACTATGTCTCATTATATTCAAGGCTCTCTGGGTCACGAACCTACACCGCAGATGTATTGCCGATGCAAGGTCGTCGTTGATATCCTGCCTGGCTCATTCCGAGAGTACTCTCATACTATTCTTAGAAAGATTCTCGAAAATATGGATGCTACCCAAAGTTTTGCTTCGTAAGTATGAGGTGCTTTTGAGTTTCTAGTATTTCTTACTAATATTAAACAGGGCTATTCAAACACTTAGCAAGCAATGATCTACTAACATATGCCGATGTAGACCGGTTAATGAATCGGTTCAAAATGCCCCTTCATCCAAAAACACGACTGCGGACGTGCTCGATAGAACCTAAAGAAACGGGGATATCTGGAGGAGTTAATACAACTACCGCCTTTACGAATCTATAACCTCTCATTTGACATATAAGACCCAGTGATTCGGGGGGTTCATAGGATCGCATGAAGTCTATCTAGATAATATCAAAACCAATCAGGTAATGTTTCTTGCGGCTATTGGAAATGACATCTATGTTAGTTATGATGCGTTTTTACTAGTTTGCTTCGCATGAAATTGTAACACGCCGCAAGTCTTAATGTTCGCGGTAGGGTTTCGCTTAAATCTACGTATCAAGTTCTGGCCTTTCCTACTTTATCTGGTTAACAGGTAGGTGAGAACTTTAGTCAGTAGAACTATTTAACTTATCCTACTTAACTTCAAGCTCCCTAGTCGTACCGAGTATTACATTTAGGTATCTTATATCGATGTAGGTACCTGTTACGTTGCTCCACTGCTACTAGCATCGGCTCTTACGATTTTGACATAGAATGGGATGATTGTAATAATATAATCAAGCGACAATATAATCGTATGACTCGCAGCTTCAGAAATTTACATTACTCATAACGAACACGCAGGCTATCTAGGTAGGTACCAATGACCAAAAAATAACTCTTTAAAATCAAAGCGTGGGTATCTCATAAGTAAATCGCTCTAGCATTTAAAAAAAAAAATCATCCTTGAAGTTCAGCAGGATGCTGTCTAGGGGCATTGCCTGGGTATGCGCCGGAAGTCAATACATCTTTTTGTCCTCCGTCTAGCTCAGCACTCCTTCCTACTGCCTCCATCTCACTTGGCTCTACTGGCTTATAATAGCCATGAAATTGCGCATCGGCGGCACCGTGGTAGGGTTGTGGTGTCGGGGGGAATGTTTGCGGGGATTGAGAATAAGGCTCCATGCTGTCGGCCGCTTGCGTTCTACTGTTCCTCGATCGTCTAAAGAACAATATTCCTAAAACGAGGGCAATGATACCCACACCTCCCAATCCCACTCCTACACCAACACCGATCTTACCGCTGTCTGTCAGGCCAGAAGACTGAGTCCCGAACGTGCTCTCGGGGGTCTGAGTTGTCACCGTGGAGCTCGTCGCTAATATTTCAGTATTGATTAGTCAAATGCAAAATAATCGAGGAAAAAATATAACTAACAGGTGGAAGTCGTAACAGGTGCGGAGGCGGATGTTGATATATGGGAGATAGTCGACGACAAAGTGGTAGTTTGTAGACCATCGATCAAAAAAGCCGCGCTCAAAAATCCACCTCCTTGTTGGTCTTCAGTTGTGCCAGACGCATTGACCACGCGAAATGCGTATATCTCGGAAGAATTCGTTGAGTCGGTTGACACTTTCCATTCGTACCATGTTTGCCCTACGTTGGCTATGCATTTGTTTAGTTAATCTCATAGGGCTGAACGGGAAATTGTTGGGCTAGGTATGCGACTTACATGCGAGTTGTACAGGTGAGTTGAAGCTCCAGCCAACGATCAACCAAAGATTCGAAGTTTCGTATGTTGTATCCCAACTAACGTTCATCGTTGCTCCCAATCTGTATGTTGATTGGGATCCTCTCGGCTCTGAGAACGCGCCATCAGTGTACTGGAGCGCCGGCTCGCCTGGTCCGGGGAGATCTTGTGCAAGAACGGCGGAGCTCAAGAAACTGAGCGATATGAACGCAGAGAGCGGCCCAAACCACATGGCCGTCTTTCGGAAATACCCAACGATTACTAGATGATATAAAAACAACGCAGCAATAGTAAGAAAAGTGAGATGCCCCAGAAAAGCGTGAGAGAGTTATGGTCTCTAGTATAACCTAGTGGTCAAAGCCAGGAACTGCACCACTGGGCTTACTATTTGGCTTTTGGTATTCATACTTCCAAGGATTGTAAATTAGTATGTTTAGCTTATTTCATGCTGGCCTGTAATAAGCAGCCCTATGGAGTCCAAGGAACTCAGCCGCAAGTTCACTAAAGATATTCGAGTGAATAACGTACATAAATGTACATGTCGCGACCACAAGAATTTCGCCGGTATCATGATCCTGGGGAGGAGTGCATTGGTGCATTAGACCCTAGTCCTACTTGTATAATACATACCTAGAATTAGGTACATAATAATACACATAACAATACACCGTAACTATGTCTTTATAAGCGCTCTGCTATGATGTATTACTCCCTTGCATTAGTTCCAAGGCGAAGCACGGGCTAAGCCAACTAATCCTCAGATAGCGTTGGTGGCTAATACCGCCAAGGCCAAGTCGTTATGGTACAGGTTGCCCATGGATCCGTACCAATCCCACTTAATAGACATGGATGTTCTACGCTGGGCAGGATTGGTCTTTCGATTATTTGCTTAATGATCTACAGAGTACATACTTTTCTTTAGAGATACATACATACATCATACATACACTACGTACGCTGCTTTGTTTTAGGGAGACTTCCTCTTATTTTAGAACCGTCGAAAATTCTGAACGTGGTTTGCTGGCGTGTCCTTGGGTTGAATGGAGCTAGCTCTATTACTTCTAACTCAGTCCGTTTGGTATTATTTCTCTTTCAACTATACAACATCTTAGTTTGTATGATGTTTTCTATTTTCCCGTCATCCTTCACACGCTCGGGATATCGAGTGCTTGCGGCGATTTTGGTTTTTCTAATACTCCAGCAGTATCTTTCTTTTCGCAGGCCGGTTTCTGTAAGCCAGAAATATCCTAACCAACAAGAAGACGTTGCGTCAACATGCGACTCGCTTGAAGCACTCGATGATCTTTTCGTAATTCTCAGGACAGGGGCTTCTGAGGCCCCTAAAAAACTTCCCGTTCATTTTTCGACTACCCTACGCTGCGTTCCTCACTACGCCATCTATTCCGATTACGAGGAGGATATTGAAGGACATCATGTCTACAATGCTTTAGATGAGATCAACCCGGATATTGTATCTACGCATGCCGATTTCGAATATTACCGCCGTCTACAAGAGAAGGGCAGAGAAGCTTTTTCATCCGAAGAATTAGAGCAATGGAGCTCCGCTAAAAATACAAATGGTGGACGGGATACTCCTGGTTGGAGGTTGGATAAGTGGAAGTTCCTCCCGCTAGCGGAAAAGGCCCTTCGCGAGCGACCCGATGCGAAGTGGTATATCTTCATCGAGTCCGATACTTATATGCTCTGGCAAACCCTACTAGAATGGCTTGCCCATTTTGATCCTTCTAAGCCACACTACCTGGGCATGCAGATGCAAATTGGCGACGTCGTCTTCGCCTATGGTGGTGGGGGTTTCGCAATTTCTAACCCGGCGTTGAATATGGTTGTGGCACGTCACAGAGAAAACCTCAAGTTCTACGACGACCTGACTGGCGCTCACTGGGCTGGCGACTGTATCTTAGGCAAAGCCCTAGCCGATTCAGGTGTAAATTTGCTCTGGTCCTTCCCGAATCTAGCTGGTGACCAGCCCGCTGATATGAATTTCAACTCATCGTTTGGTGGATCGAATAAGACACCCTGGTGTTACTACGCTGCAAGCTATCACCATCTTCCACCTGCGGAATATCAAAAATTAGCCAAGTTCGAACAAACTTGGAATCGGGAAGTAAGCTTAAACTTAGTTGGTAATTAGATCGGCTCGTGCTAACATTAGAGTTCCCGGTAGAACATGTCTCGCCTACGTCACGGAGACGTATTTAAATATTATGTTTTGCCTCACCTATCGCCAAACCTTAGTGATTGGGATAATCTATCAGATGTTGACCAGGGTTCGGTTGCTTCTTTCGACGAATGTCGCAACACCTGTGAGAAGCAATCTGATTGCGTACAGTTCTCGTTTACAGACCAGTCCTGTAAAACGTCAACGGCCCTTATTCTGGGACATCAGATCTCTAAAGACACTACCCCGCGAGTGATGTCAGGGTGGGTAATGGAAAGAGTTAAGGACTACATTGAACGGATGGATACATATTGTGACCATCAAAGTTGGATATTACCCTGAAGACGATTCAGGATAACGCGTCGTTAGTATACTAACTTTCCTCGCGACATAGAGCATCGGAATCTCGTATATAACCACGTTGGTCGATTAGGCCACCTTGCGAGATTCCAGCTAACAGATTAGAGTGTGCAATCCTTATGAGGGTTCGTCACGTCGATTATCCATAGCTCTATAAGCGCCTGTCACTCGGAATGTGTAAGGCAAGCAGTTACTATATGAGCCCTTAGACTAGTGGTTCATTTAGAGGTATATTTGCTGTAAATAAGACGGCATATATGGTTTCCAGCGGTGCATAGTAGATGGATATTTATATTTATATAGCAAAGTAGTCATATATGAATCCAACCTGAAAGATCTGATAAATAGAGGTAGTAATTTTGGAATGCATATGAAAATGAGGTGCATTTGACTGCAATACTCATAACAAGACGATCTCATACCTAATAAGATGGGGATTGAAGTTCGTAAAAGCCCAAGGAACTTTACATGACATATTTCGTGGGATTTGATTTGATTCTGATAGTTCCAGCGTCCAAATTTGGTTCGTAAACCCAGACAAGACGATAACATGAGCATCTCAGTCAGGTTCCATGACTATTTTTAGTGGTATAAAGAGATCTCGGACTAACAGTCTTTTAAATTAATGACTCAGGCCGACCAGGTGGCAGTCTAATATAAACTTCTCCGTATAGGTATGGGGTCGGACCTTTAGTCTGGCACGTCGATCATCCCGCCAAAAGTAAGCGTCAAGATAGATACATGTGTAGCGTCTCCTTATTTCTACATAGCTCCTCAAGAGGTGATCTTTGACACAAGACTAGCGACCGATGCCGTCCAGCTCCCTTCCGACGTGGACACCGACATTTTCAAAGACGCCTCTGGAGCTCCAATGTAGGTGTAGCGTAAAGAGTCTAAAGCCGCCCCGGATACATGTACAATCTTCTCTTCACCCGGGACGAGATCGAACCCATTATCGCTTAGTTTTACGTCCCGGGTCTCTTCGAAAACAAATCCCTTTACTGGGCGAGCAGAGAGTATGCCGACTTTGTTGGTAGATAAGGCTTTGAATTTTATGTTTCGATCGGAGAAGTCCAAGTACTTCAGTGGCTGTGGCCACGCGGTATCGGTCGCAATCAGTTGGCCATCTTCTTTGACGATAGCGTGGATTATATAGGGATCGTATTTCGCTGGGTTGAATGGCTGCGTAGTATTAGCTAACCGAGATTCTAGCATAGGGGTAGCATGATCTTGAAAGATCTCTGTTGTGCTGTTTGGCTGCGCCGATACGGTATCAAGTTTTACAGGGGACTGAATATCCTGTCCTGTCCGAACCGAGATGAATCGTAGGGTTATTTCGATCTGGGCTGTTTCTTGTCGATTGCTTACTACCCAGAGATCGAATTTAGAGTCTCGAGAGGGCAAAGTGGGATCGGCGTGGCCTGTTGTCCATTCGTGATACGTTCGAGACACACCCACAGCCAGTGGCTTCAAGGCGTTCGCAATTGCGTAGAAAGCTGGCTTCTTGACGAGATAGTAGTCAACTACAGCCCAGCTCATTGTCGGCCAGCAGTCGTTCAATTGCCATACCAACACACCCCCACACTTACGCGCTCCGGGTTTGCCCCATTCTCGACGCCATGTCTTGTAGGCGAAGTACATGGTTTCCGCTTGAACAATTTGCGTGAGGTGGGTATATGACGGAAGGTCATATTTCACCAAGAAATTCTCTGCAACGTATGTTATCATACGGCGCTCATGGTCAATAGCTTTATTGCGAAAGTCCATCATCATGGATCCTGGGTGCTGTTGTTGTGTGTCTTTAATCATGTCACGAATTGTTTCGAGATGCGGGTAAGCCTCCATCCCGAACTCGCTGATAAATCGGCCAGAAAGTAGATGAGTCTCCTGATATCTATTCATCGCACCATGCCATACTTCATATTGTTAGTGCGGGGGAGAATGATACTGGTCGAATATCCATGACTTACTATTCCATTGATGAATGTCTCCTACTGTCTTATCGGTAGTGTGCTTTCCATCTCCCCAGGGGCTACTTGGGTGATAGATCATGAATGGGTCCTCTTCCTTAACGATCTTTGGCAGTAGGTACTCGTATGTGTACCTGGCCGGGAAACTAGACTTCAACCATGATTGAGGATCTTTATCCCCTTCATAATCGTAGTGAAGATGGTAGCGCTCCTGGACCTGGTAGTCCTCATTATTTCCGGCCCATATCACTAAAGAGGGATGAGACCTCAGCCGGCGAAGATTTTGTCGTGCTTCTTGCTCAATAGATTCCAAGTAGGAGGGATATGTTGGATAACTGGCACATGCGAATTGGAAGTCGTGCCATACAAGGACTCCGAGCTCGTCGCAAGCGTCAAAAAGGGTATCATCCTCATAAATTCCACCTATAATCGCTAGTCAGTGGCTTTATGCTAGATGAAATATTCTAATATTTTATCTTACCGCCCCAGATTCTAAGCATATGCTGGTTCCCCTCCACCATGAGCTTCATCCAGTCGCGGTATCGTTGTGCCGGGATTTGAGAGAGAAAACTGTCTGCGGGGATCCAACACGATCCACCACCGAACACGTCGATTCCGTTAATGCGGAAGTAAAAGGACTTGCCAAACTCGTCCTTTTCCTGGACCAATTCGCTTCGCCGGAAACCAATAAGTTTGGTTTTTTCGTTGCCCGCAATGGTTGCCTTCAGCTCGTAACGGACTTGCTGACCGTAACCAAATGGATACCACAACTCTGGGTTGTCGATCTGGAACTCTGTTTCAGCAAGCCTATCGGAGTCAATGGTGCATTCTTTTTCCCAAACAGTCGTCCCTCCGAAAGATACTGAAAATACGATTGACTTTTGACTTGCACCAGCAACTTTGGCAAGGATGCGACCTGAACATCTTTTCAGGTCTTCACTAACTTCGTAATGGGTCCAAACGTCATCAATTCTTGAGACGTATTGTTCTAGGTAAATTGGCCGCCAGGGCCCAGCCGTCATTAGTATCGGTCCCCAATCCCAGCCCCAATTATATTGAGCCTTTCTCACAGGAACACGACCGACTTCTGTTTGCCGTACGTAGAACGTGTGCTCATGGCTGTGCTCTTCTACCAGCTGCCGGCCCCGTAACAAAGCCGAGTCAAATTTGATTTCGAGAATATTGTCATCCTTAAGGAGGTTGGAAATCTCTACTCGATGAGACAAGAACATATTATCTGACTTCAAGATCTCACTTCCATTCAACAGTACTGTTGCAAAGGTATCAAGACCCTCGAAGACAACATCCGTGATGAGCGATCCATCAACTACAGGACGCGGGGGCCTCTGAAATTGGACCTTGTATGTCCAGTCCTTCTCAGCAATCCATTGTACAGCTAGTTCGTTGAGATCGTTGAATGGGTCTGGGATCCTACCAATGAATAAGCATTTTCTCTCATACTAAGAGTAATGATACTGTAAAGGGAAGAGGATTGTCCTTACTTGTTGTTGGCTAGTAAGTCTATATGAACCTGACTTGGAACTTTTTGCACTGGGAGCCAGTCATCTGAGGAACTGTTGCTTTGCTGAAAAGTCCACCCCTGATCTAGAATGTGCTTGGTGGGAGTCATGGTGGGTGGAAGTAGAATCAAATTGACTAGATGACACCTAGAATGTCAAACCCTTTTTTCAAATTGAAATTGATCATTTCAGACCTATAGAAGATCCTCCTTTTAAACGAGGTTGTACGGATACCCGATGAGTTCAGAGTACAAGTGTTCAGAATACAAACGAGGTCCATAAGGGTTGTTATTTATGACATCCCTGTCATGTTGCAAGACGGCATTAGGACCCTCCTCAGAGGACAATTCAAATATCCGTATTAGGATACAGAGACCGAGACATATCAAGGCTTAATTTGATAGCTCGTAACTACCAACCACGTAGAGTAATAGATATGTGCCTATAAAAGGTAACTACCTCCTATGGTATGTGGAAGGTTGATATGTAGTGGGAATGCTGTTTCTGGTATACGGAAATTCAATCATTCGTGCGGGGCGACCGGGGAGATTATCTGTTTGTAGCGATACCTCTGTCGTTGCATAATTAATCTTCATCTAAGAAGATCTATTAAATTAAAAGCTTGTGTTATGCAGGGCTTTCACTCCACATCGTTGTCCAGTTCCTCCGGTGAATCTCACCTGATCACACCAAGCCTCCTTCGATGAAGCTCTCTTCGATAAACGAGTGGTCACAAATAAGTGACCATGTCCCATTGCGTTGATGTTCCACAATTTCAGTAGCCATCAGAAAACGAGCCCATCACCACCGACACCAACTCGCCTTAATAAGTCGTGCTCAGAATGCACGAGGTACGTGATACCAAGGGCTGCCCTTTTGACTCGGTTACTAAGACTTGACTGGCTACCTATACTAGGCGGAAGGTTAAGTGTGATGGTGGCCACCCATGTAGGCAAGTAGCCGTATCGCATGTCTCACGGATTGTATATTGATACGTATCATAGCTCTTGTACATATTACAAGGTCTCACACCTATGTAACTATCGGCAGCGGAATAAAAGGAATGCTGTCAGTAGAAGGTAATCATTCCAACACCTACCTTTACTCTAAACAGAGTGTACCTCGTTTTTAAATCCTCCGAATTATATGTATAACTTACACGACTGGACTTAGTACCCTTGAGGAGGTGTCAGAGCGATTAAGGTCACGAACAGAGATTCTTGAACGACTGTTTCCTGACGCGTCCGTAGATGAACTCATTGGTAAGAGTCGTGATGAGTTGCTAGAAATTATTCGCCTAAATTTAGTATCCAAAGGAGCATTGGTGGACTTAGTTAGCCGGCCTGCTGAATATGCCGAAGCGGCTGATGATTCCGCCCAAGTCTCTGAAAACGGCGAGCCTGCGGCCGATCGGCAATGGGATGAGTCAAGTCACCAGCCGCCTGTGCTGCAGGCCGCCGATGATATTAACGCTATCAATCTCGCAACCGATAAACATCGTCGCTCTTATTTAGGAGTGACTTCAATCAGCGCCATTCTCCGAGCAGTTTTCCGGTTTTGTCCCTCGGCAAAGCATCGTGTTGCTGAGCAAGCCAAGAGATGGTCCGAGAATCCTATTCAGCCCCAACTTCAACCTGTACCATTTATGAGCGGGGACTTGAGTACCCATCTCCTCAAAGAGCAACGATGTATCGATTTCTATTTCGAGCATATCCACCCAATCGTTCCTATGCTAGATGAAGAAGATTTCCGGAATTCTTACTCCTTGAGACAGCGCAGAGATCCTGGCTGGCTCGGTCTGCTGAACATGGTGATAACTCTTGGCTCTATAGCCTCTGGAAGCGATACCCTTCATGAGCAATACTACGAACAGGCTCGCAACTTTTTAGATCTCGATAGCTTCGGCACCGGCAATCTAGAAAGTTTGCAGGCTCTCTGTTTGCTTGGGGGACTCTACTTGCATTATCGAAATGCCCCGAATATGGCCTATGCTGTCCTTGGTGCTGCACACCGCGTCGCCATCGCTCTAGGTTTACATAGAGAGTCCAGACATCGAAATACCACCACGATAAAAGTTCAAGAGAATACGAAGCTAAGCCGGGCCGAAACTAGACGTAGGACGTGGTGGAGTTTATTCTGCCTTGATACTTGGGCAAGTATGACACTGGGCCGTCCAACCTGTGGTAGATGGGAGGGTACGACGATGGACACTTTATTTCCGAGTCTTTTAACTGAAAATGATCATATGGCAATGTCATTATCTGCTAGTCTCCAGTTCTGCCTATCATGCAACCGCATACAGAATCGCTTTGCACGGTTCAGTCGTCTTACGATCACCGAGGCAATCTCTTATGATGAAGAGTTGCAAACGTGGTACGCCTCCATACCTCTAGTCCTTCGATCACCGACAAACTCGCCATCGCGTCTCACAATTGCACGCGAATTCAGTATGTAGCATTCAGAGTTTTCTTCCCCCCTTTTTGTCCCACATCAGGAGACAAAGCTCCGTGATCGAGTTGGTAGAGATTCGTTACGAAGATCGTTAAAAGAAACATGCACTGACTTCTATTCTGATAGTGCGGAACCGCTACCTTAATATACGTTTAATCCTGATGCGATCTCTAATATTGTATCTTGCGCATAGCCGCATTCAAAAGGCTCAGCTTAGCACCGAAGAACGTCAGATTATTGATACTTGCCGAACCGTTGCGGGTGAAGCTATTGATTCGATAGCACTTTACTGGACACCGAACAGAATTCACGTCTGGAACTCAGCTTGGTACCTTTTTCAAGCCTGTATGATTCCTCTACTTTTCATCGTGATTGAGCAATCGCGCCCCGATCCGAATGCCGAGTCATTGGCCTCGGCTCGCGCAAGTTTGGTCAAAGCTCTCGAAACTTTCTCGGAAATGAAGCCGTGGATGCGAGCTTCTGATAGAGGACCAGACATAGTCGCAGCGATATATGAAGCAATTACCGGCGAGGCAGAAGTTGCTGGCCGAACCCCATCTCATGATGGAGATTCGAATTTCTTCGGCTGGTATGATGAACAGCTTACTGCCGAGTTGGACTGGGGTTCGTTTCTGATGGACGATGATCTCCAAGGAGCTTTCTTCGCAGCTCAATGAAGCGATATCTAAAAGCGAACAAATATGTTATACTATACTAAATTAGGCGATTCATCGACCTACTAGATAGGTATCCAAAGACAATTTAAGGGACTTCAATATTTTATTAAATTCATGCCTTATTTGATGGCATGCGCATTCATTAACCCATTTACTAGTCCTAGTAACATCTTCACAATTTAGACTGGAGTTTCCTTTCAATATCCTCGAGACCTGAAGGCCCATCGAACAACCTTGCTGTTAAGGCACTCGTATTAATCTATTATATGGTTAGTAAAATAGTTGGAAGGGAGAGATGCGATATGACTTACGTGGCGCAGACTAAGTTCTGATACATTCTTCACACCAAGTAGCCTCATCGCCGTTTCGGTCTCGTCGGCCAAAACTATATCATATGTCAGCCATAGATATCATCCACGCACTCCCTAGCTTAGGTACTTACTCTTGAGCACTCTCACAACGCCTTCTTCTCCACCAACTGAGAGTCCGTACAGAGCCGCTCGGCCGATCCCAACACCCTTCGCTCCTAACGCCAGAGCCTTCACAACATCTGTACCTCTCTTGACACCCCCGTCAACGAGTACATCGATACAGTTAAAAACATGTGGGCAAAACTTTCGAATTTCCAACAGGACTTGGATCGGCGGAGGTGCAGTATCAAGTGCCCTGCCTCCATGATTCGAAATGATGATAGCTTTAACAGCAGGGAACAGCGTTGCGGCGTATGCATCCTCATGTGTCTGAACTCCTTTGAGGACTATCGGCAAGCTCGTATGTCTGCCTAGCCATTCCAACGTCTTTCTCCATGTTAACGCCGACTCTGTCCCCCAAGCCTGCGGCGGTGCCCCGCCAGCTACCTCCGCCATTTTGAAGCGCTCATCTGCTTCGCGTTTTCCGGGGAACGGTGCGTCCAGCGTTAGGACGATGAACTTGATCTGCGGGATTTTGCGGATTTGGGCTAGAGTCCTCTCGGTTGCTGCGAGGTCCTTGAGCACATATAGTTGCCACGCGAAGACTGCGTCAGGCCCGGCACTCACGATTGCCGGCGGTGACATCGAGGCATTCTTACTGATGATCTGAAGCGCGTTGAATTTTGAGCATGCGCGGGCTATTCCAGCTTCGCCACTCGGATGGGCCAGACGAGCCATGGCAGCTGGAGAGACATAGATTGGTAGGCCTACCCCATTGCCTAATATCGATGTCTCCAGCGAGCACTCTGTGCAGTCTACAAAGACCCGCGGTCGCAGGAGGATAGACCGGTATATCTTACCATTCGCCTCTAAGGTGAGTTGGTCGTCAGTAGCAGAGACATAATATGATATTGCTTTGGGTGATAGACGTTTCATCGCGTGCGATTCAATTTCAGATACACTCAACATCGACGCAAGAGGCGGTAACGTAGTTGATGAAGTGTCCTTCAATCCTAGGTGCGAATCATGCTTGGATTTCTGTGCCATCTTGTCCTCGGGAGCGTCGCCTGATTCAATTGTTCCTATTACTTGGTCTGGCGTCAGATACTCATCTAGAATCTCAACTGGGTGGACCGAGTCGAAGGCCGCCGAAGCGTCTTGCCCTGCATTCTTTAGCAGAATACTTCTCCCTCCAGGATGTTTTGGGACGAATGAAGTGATCTACTCAGGTCGAGTTAGCTCAACGCTCATTGAAAATTACACTCTATACTTTGATAACCTACATCGTATACCTTCCCATGTAAAACCGTCCAGCAACTCTCTTGAGTTTTATGCTCACTCACTACGGAATATTAGCAAGCCTCTAAATAAACCCTCCGGTATCGATCATCAAATACCTTCTGCCAATTTCCATCTTCGACCCATAGTCGCCTAGCTTTGCAAGCTCAAGAGAGAGGTTCGCTCAATTAGTAATTCCCCGACACGAAAATATTGCAAAATCAGAACCGCCGTAATTTGATAGATACTCGTACCTCAGCAGTGCCAACATAAGATCGTTCAACCGATTGACTCCTAATTTACACTACTATAATTTGACGCTCGTCCACAAACACTCATATTGAAATTCCTTCGCTGGTGATATTTGCTCCTAGGAATAGCTCTTAGGGGTTAATGCCACGAGTCTCGAATTATTCAAGACCCGCAATACCTCAAGCTGCAGCCAACTCTACTGACGATAATGACCTTACCGCTTGGTGGCAGTCGGTGGTTTGTTCAACCGTATTCTGTTTCAGGAAGGGGGATTTATATAAGACCGCATTGTAAATTAGAACGCTACCCCCACCAAAGAACCCTCTACCATAGGGCCTCCACGGCCTATGTAGATGCCTGGGGAATTAAATTCCCGAAGGCCAATCAAATCTAATTTGGAGTCCTAACATGACCCCAGATCGAATGGTTTCCTTTAGCTCCCCACTTCCTAAGGGCATCGCGTGGGAAATTTACAGGCTCCATGGGGAACCTGTGTTCCTGCGGCTTACCAGTGGAGTGGAGAGCCGGGGTTGATAAGCTTTCTTCGGGTTCTTCGCGTCGTATGAAGTACTCGTATAAGACGTGCTGATTCGTTTAAGTCTCAACTCTTAATGGCTCTCGTCTTGGCCAAGGGAACAAACCTTGCTGTTCGTCACCTTCTTATTCATGACGGACAAAGTTAGAGATACGTGAGCTTCTAAAGCGGCGAAGATTCGTTTGGACCATGATTCAATGGATAAAAAAGGGCAAGATAATATTAATCTCAACGATGTCGACGGGATCGAGCCTAGTCCGGAAACATATGCAGCCAGCATGGCGACAAACAAGCCGAATCCTCGAGGTCCTGGCTATATTCAGCTTTACCTTCTAGCTGGAATGGTTTTTCTTTGCTCTACTATGAATGGTTAGTATGTCTCGCATATCTCACCTAACTTCTGGGGCGGCCGGCTTCCTGAACACGTTCGTCGGTCCCATCGCCCTCAGATCGATTGGCTATTGGTTTTACGTGTTCTTCGTATTCTGGGATGCCTTCGAGATAGCGTTTATGTATTTCTTCTTCGTAGAGACTAAGGGGATGACTCTCGAGGAATTGGACGCGATTTTCGAAGCGAAGAACCCGCGGAAAGCTAGTGTTGAAGCAAAGAACATGCAGAGGAGAATCATTAAGGAAGAACGGGCGAATGACATGACAAGTGTGTAGGCAGCATACAGTAGTTTTAGAAAAAGAAACTCGCATTGCATTAACGAAGCTATTGTAGCCATAAAGTGCGGGATCCTTTGATCTAAGCCATATTGTATTAGGTTAAGTCATTACTGAATACGACTATCATACGTATACTCTGACCTACTTCTTTTGGTCATAGAATTCCTGCACCCACTCTGCCATGTTGGCAACCTGCTCATCGGCAATAGCTTTAGCACCGGGGTTGACGGCCCAGTTCTGTCCGTACAAGTCAGAGCAATGTGTACCCTGCTCCAAAACCCGAATGGGAAACTCAGGAGTGCTTTCCTTGGGACCGCCAGGGCGGAACTTGGAACTGAGCGTTGAATCACGCCATGGATCCCATTGACCGTTGGTCATCATTAAGCGGGTCACGTTGCTCTCGAACCAACCGCCAGTGTATTGATTCACATCCTTAGCAGACTTGCCCTTGGCAATACCGTACTCTAATTCAGGGAACCAAAGCGGGCATTGCGAGCGCCAGTAAGCTTTGTTAACGAGGCGTGAGACGATGCTAGGACGACCGACAGGGGCACCATCTTGCCAATATTCGAAAGGTTCGTTGCATAGCATCCAGTTCCATTGACGGTTCCCAGAGTTGCCTGGTGAAAGGTCGTGATAGATGGGGTTGGAAGCATTCAACGACTGGAAACAGTCCGTATTGTTTTCGCCTTGGAAATACCCGTAGCTTTCGCAGGTTCCGGGTAACGCGACTTCTGTGAACCATTTTGCGTAACCGTCTAGGGCCTTAGCCAAGCCAACCCCCTTAGGACCAGGCACAGAATTAGTAGAATTGGGCCAAACATTCTCGACATAATCGCAGAATCGGTAGTAAGGGGTATATCCCAAAGTCGTCGTCGAGTAAAACTGTCCTGACTGCCACGTCCACGGGCCATTCTCAAGAGCAGCGGCAAAATCAGCATCCTTCAGGTTGCCCAGCTTGAATTTGTTCTTTAGCTTAGCCTTCTCCTTAGGGCCACCGCTCAGGAGAACAGAATCGACGTAATCGATGACAGTAGTCAAATCAGAGCTGCAGTTGCTAGGCGTCGCCTCTTGAACAGGGACGAAATATTGCCAGAAATCGCCTATGGCTTCCACCACCCCACTAGTACCGTAATACGCCCAGAACGTACCAGGGTCTTTAACAGCAGTCCATCCGGCCAATGCACCGGGGTAAGATCCACCCGTGAAGATCCAAGGCGCATCCTTTGCACTGCTTTTCTTAGTCTCGTCAAAAGGTGTGTCGAAGTTATTGGCGAAATAGGTATTATCCTTGATAGAGTTCTCAAGGGTAAGATATTGGAGATTCTTGGTGGTCAAACTCTCGAAGGGAGACGATTCGCCCCAGTATCTGTGCTCAAGAATGACAACTGCACCGCCAAGCTTCTCTGCTAGAAGTCCCGTAAGGCGTTTGCTCGTAGTGTAGGACACATTGAAGTTATCAGCTGCTTGTTCGCCGGGATTGACAAAAATAATCGGCGACCCAGGTCCTTTCCAGTACTGCGTTCCATACCAATATCTCTGCTCGAAAGTGCCGAGATCAGGATTAGAATGGTCAAGCAACTGAGGGAAAGTACCCCAACCAGCGGTGCCATTGCTGGCTGCTAGGATGCTGAATTCGTCGTCAATTGGACCGATTTCCATACCAGCTTTGTTTTTCATAAAACCGGCCGAGGCCCCAGCTGCCAGCAATAACTGGACTACACACACAGGAGACTTCATCTTGGCAATGTGAATGTGGTGTGGTTCCAGGCACCTGCGGAGGTGAGCTGTAAAGATCTCTCTTCTCTTCCCTCTCTCCAAAGACCGCGGAAGTAACTCACATTTTATATTGCCTCGCCCCTGGTTAGCTACATGATCCACCTACCCACTGCAGCTTATCTTCTAGCAAGCTGGCAAGCTGGCAAGCCGGCAAGCCAGCACCATCGCGTGCTCGATCATCCTAACGACCTTCCCTTTTTCGTTAGCGATGCGCCTGCAGAGTACCACCAACAAGGATGTTAACTATCCTTCCGCTTTAGGGAAGGGGGAAAGCCGTACCTGAACTAATACGAGAACATGGAGCGCAAATAAGCTTTCATTGGAGAGATGATAAGATGGTTCTAAAAGCAAAATAGATCCGCGATTGATATAATTGGATGTAAAGGACCTACCTACCTATGCATATCAGAATCCAGCATCTCACAATGAAAAAGGTAATTTCCGCTACTCTATCGTAACAATCAATAGAAAAGGAGCAATCAACCCAATCCCCGCAACGTTCCATACCCTCGGGACCCTACTATCTCACTATATTCAATTTTAAGATATAATATCAAGTTATTTGTATTACTTCAAGCTCTTTGCTTCTCAGCGAAAAACAATTCATTGTTTCTTAGCATACACGTACAACTCCATTGAACATCGTATCATACATAAGTTAATAATATGGATATATATAGAGGCATTCCTGCTAAAAAGTTATTCCAGTGTAGCTATTTGTAATTTCATCACATTTCACAACATCAATTAAGATGGCGATCATGACCCAACAATCGGTACCAACCGCACCAATAGCCCCCGAGAACTCCACAGAATGCTCGGTGCGTGGTTGCCAGAAGCAAGTATGGGGTAATGACATTTTATGTCAAGACCACGGAGTTGGGGCGGCTGGGGCAAAAAGGAGGTATTATTATCGGCGAAAAGCTACCGGCATTTGTAGCAAATGTTTTAATCCAGCCGCAGAAGGGCATGTAGAGTGTGAAGAACATCTCTCTCTTCGTAAGCCTCGTGGACGGGAAACGCAAAAGAAAAAGTATGATGGCCGCAGAGCTGCAGGTATTTGTGTCAGTTGTCCAAACCCAACTGCAGAAGGGCGTGTACGATGTGAGAAGCATCTCTCTCTTCGAAATATTTATAAGCAGGAACTGTCAAAGAAAAATTACGCTATACGCAAAGCTGCAGGTGTTTGTACCAAATGTTCAAATCCAGTCGCGGAAGGGCATACATATTGTGATGAGCATCTTTCACAGACAATGCCAAGGGTTAAATCTGATAAATACCGTGCTCGGAATAGACGTCGTTATAATAGCCGCAAAGCTGCAGGCATTTGTATTAGTTGTCCAAATACAGATCTAAACCCAGCTGTAGAAGGGCGTGTACGATGTGAAAAGCATCTCTCTCTTTGGAATATTAGTTCACGGGAAACGTCAAAGAAATATTACGCTATACGCAAAGCTGCAGGTGTTTGTGCTAAATGTTCAAATCCAGCCGTGGAAGGATATACAAGATGTAATAAGCATCTAGATGCTTGCATTGCGAATTATCATAAACGCTCAGCTTCTGGGATCTGTGCCTCGTGTTCAAACCCAGCCGCGGAAGGATATACAAGATGTAATGAGCATCGAGCTATGAATATTGCGAATTATCATAAACGCTCAGCTTTTGGAATCTGTGCCTCGTGTTCAAATCCAGCTTCAGGCTCGCATGTGTATTGCGATAAACACCTAGCTCGTTTTCAAAAAGAAAAGGTGGTCGAAAAGGAGGCGAGACTGAGACTCAGATTAGAGCAAGCGTTAAATCAGAACGTATTACAACCCAAGGGCAAAGAAGCCGAGAGAGAAGACTCTATAACAGAGAGCATATCACCGCATATTGAAGAGGAGATGACAGGCACTCCTATCTCTCAAGATATCGGCCTTGAAGAGAAAGAAGCGGCGCAAATTCTTATATCCATGTACAGTCAATTTAATAATTAGACTCATGTTCAGGGCGGATAGTTTTTTCCATCATCATGAGATTAAGATCCTTTCTTTTTAGTCAACCTAGTAATTGAGAGTATAGTTTAGCATAAAAAGATACTATATCAATATTCAAGAAACTAATTTGTCAAATATACCGGACTATTAAAGGTCTAAGAAAATTTAGCTTATTATGATTTTACAAAGACACTTTTCTCCATCGTAAAGCGCGGGTCAAAGCTTTAGTTGAAGTTATAGCAATAAAATAATAAGGAGCCCGAAATTCAGGTGAAAACATTGCGTCCGAGAGCCAGTTTACTGGAATATAATTATTAAACCAGTATATCATTAGATCGCACAGGGATCTTCGCCATATTCCGCTAACAAAAATCCTCTGAGCTCGAGATTGAGTGCTAGGCGAGCAAAGGAAGCTTGCGAACGCCACGATCCAAAACGGTATTCGAGTCGACTAATAGGACCCTCAAACCCAGACACCGTGCCGTGATCGATTATATCGTCGATGTCGTACACGAACTTGCTTGAGAAAAACCCATCCAAGTAGTCTCGATTAACGACCTGTGGATCTCCAGCAATTAGAAGCACGCGGCTAGCATAGCTAGGAGCACCTTCTTCTCCAACCCTATTCCTGTTCCATTGCACCCTTGGAAATCTGCCTCCAAATGTGATTCTTCCTTGCTGTATTGCATTGAAGAGCACCTCGGCGTCTTGCCGTTTGAAGAAACTAATAGATGCCGCAGCGGTACTGCTGGTTTCGTTAGGGCCGTTGATTACAGTCGAACGAATCCTGCCCGTCTTGGTGATCGCAGCAAGGAGTTTAGGGACAGTAATAGACCCAGGTAGTTCAGTAATCCACAAACAAGTATTCTTTTCTTCGGGGACATCAGTCCCTTTATTTGTGGACAAATTGCGGTCTCCTCTGTAGTTTCCATTAAACCGGTTCGTCTTTCGGGATGTGTTAGCAGCGCCTGTCAACTGCTCGGACGGCTGGAAGTATCGGTGCTCCAACTACAAAAGCATTGTTAAAATAATTTCTTAGAGGCATTCCATACCCAGAATAGGTATTATAGCCCTCATTGGTGTATACCTAAACAAAAAGGATAATAATGCAGCTAGAGAAATAGGTATACGTACAGTGGGGATCGGCGTAGTCATTTTATCAAGTGTGATGATGTTCGGGAAAACAGCTTACACAAATTGATGCCTTTAATTGATAGGAGTGTCCTTCAAGCTAAATAGCACCCAAATGATTGCGCAAACTTAGAAATAGTTATGTCGTTTGACGAGATGCACTTAGGCTGCTCATTGAGCTACTATCTGATTTCAACCCCTTTCTAGTTGACCACGAAGGAATAAATTTATAGTAAAAAAAAGGAGCAGAAGGACCAGTTATATAGGTACTATATTGAACCCCTTAAGTGAAGAAGGGTGAATATCGCGCGTCTAAATATGCATTGAAAATGCCTTGAGCAAGATAGAAAAGTCACCTAGCAACAATATATGTAGTCACCAGAACAATTAAGGGGTCATGTGGGTATGGTATCGCAAATATAGTTTTAATGTATTGAATATCAGCATTCATCCGATATCTTTTCAACATCCCATAGCCTGGTGTACGGAGTCGGTATTTTCATCTTTTCTTATGGGTTGTAGCAAGCTCCACATCCAATGCTAAGTGACAAACTGCCAATATTGTGTGAAATGGAGATAGGTTTGACATGTTTCTGGACAGAAATTGAAATGAAGCAGGAGTCACGTCAGGTTTGGCTTCTTCGCTCGTAGTATATATCTACTAGAAGTCTTGATCCAGTTGTACTTGTATTTCCTCACGGCATAGGATTTCTCCTTGTTGCATTCCTATAACAAAACTATATGATCCATCCAATACACCAAGGCTTGCACAGTAAAGTACCAGGATCATAATATTTACGCCTCGATCAAGCCAAAACGCTCCCATATAAAGCCTAGGTGATATATTAACTTATATACAACCAATTACCCCGATAATACTTTATATCACTAGCTGTACTTATAAGTCAGCTTCATCATAAGGTAGCCTCTACAACGTCAGCCTATAATATAAGACACTACTAAACGCAGGCCTTCACAATATTGGAATCATATTACGCCTTGTTCTGTATCATCATTGTTTGTATAGATGGGTAGCAATGGCCCTTAGAAGGATATAAATCAAATCTCGTTTGTTTCTAGAATTAATATGATGAGTCACGAAAATTGCAATTTGTATCCTTTAATACTATGTCCCTGTAACAGGAATAGCTGACAATAAGTGTATCGTCTTTTCCTCATGAAAAGCGTACAAGACCTGGAAACTGACACTGTCATGGCTTTTTTGTCGCCGTCACCTAAAGTAACAACTCTGCACAAAAAGATCCATGACTCACATAACGTCGATAACATTGCCATGGAAAGAATTCCAGATCATGGCTTTTTATTCACCAGTGACAAGCATAACACATTGCGTCTTCTATTTCGACACAAATCATGTTTGGGTAACAATACAATAACTGGGAGAAATCGCGCCTATGATTTATTATTCTTCACATGTTCCCAACCTACCTTTAGTACCCTAGGTATTCTGGAACACAACCTATCAAGACGTCGGATTCATCATTGCAACTACGCTGCAACTAGTTCAAATCCGGGAGCTTTCTACTACACTCTGTTCATCACAATGGAGCTTCAGTACAACCATAGCCGTGCATTTAAAGTTTCTGTCAACACTCAGCTTCAGGAACCATGGAGCAAGACATTAGAGCGCATTCTTCCATTCCTTCAGTGCGTTGATGAGTGCAATTTCGACTCACAATATCACCCAAAACATCGCGCCAGCATCGAATATTATGTGGGAGATCACTTCAAACCTATATTGATGAGCTATGTTGGACGAACGTTCAATTCCTGGAAAAAAATCCTAGAATCTCGGGTAAGTTTGAGCATCCGATCTTACAAACCCCAAATACAAATACTGACCTTCCTATAGACTCTTAAAAAAACAGCACTGTTCAGAAACCAATGCAGATCACCTAAAAAAGTCTTCCACACAAAACAAAACCACAGGGCTACTGTAACGCCAAATAACCTTACAAGGCCTAGGAAAAGGACACTGGAACTTCTTGACTTGCCGTGCGAAGTTTTTCAGCATATTTTCGAATATGTCGTAGGCTCTTATGAGTTAAAAGGAGACCTCCTCCGGCTCTGTCGCCACACCCCTCCCAGCCGATATGGTCAAAACACCTCAACACAGTTAATCCTCTATAAGCCCCGGGCCTGGGCCGAACTAAAGGTTCTTCGGATTTGTCGAGCGTTCCGAAATTTGGCCATCTCATACTATGGTTTTCCACAGGAAAATAGCTTTCCTTTCAGCCCAAGGCTGGACGCTATAGTCATTCAGGGCGAAGAGTTAGATTGCTTTGGCGAGGAAAGGGCTCACTCCGGTATTTCCTGTTTCGCAAATCTCTACTTGCAGGATTGGAACAACGATGACCACTGGCTTTATTACGATGGGGTCTATAAATTCAACGAGAACAGATATGGTGTGAGACCGTGGAGCAAGGTCACAAAGATATCAAACGAATGCCTCCGCAGACTGAATGAAATCACGATAGATATTCACGATGGCAGCACATATAAATCACACTGGAAACATATCTGGCATTTCCTCGGCCGCACGTTCACCAATACAACGTGCTTGAGATTCAATATTAGCCGAGTAGATTGCTGCGCTCGCAGGGAGTCAATAGAGGAACAGGACCTGGGTTTGAAGAAGAAGAAGAAGTACTATTTGAGTCACGACATAGCAATTCTTCGTGAATTAGGCTTGGCAATAGAAGAATCTCCTCCAAACCGGCTTTTCCCCAAGTTGGAGGCTCTGAAGCTGGTAAGGGTCGCAGACTATTGCACAGACGTATGGTCACCGGAAAACCGTAGAACTAGGCGGCTGCTTGGGATAAAGATGGCGCATACAGACTAGTTGCGGTCGGGGGGCGGTTAGGTTAATAAAGCTAGAATGAGAAAAATAATGCTGTAATATAGTGGTCAATACAGCAGCAGAGATAATCCAGATCTATCTTTACTAAATTAATTTTCAACGTATGACTGTGTATAGAATAGTGATGTAGAAAAGGGGTAACTAACAAATAAGACATCAATTTCTTTATGCATATTAGGGACATATCGAGTCGTATATAGATAAAAGATATATGGGGTATCTGGGTATTAGGTCATGCATATTTAGGTAGGTACTTCATACTTAACATCTAATTATCAATTCTGTATTTTTTTCGCGTCAACCTTCCAACTACGCAACCAATACTACCAAAAAATATAAACACAAAATCCCACAAACATTTACCAATCTCAATGGCAGACAAATCTGCCTCTCCTCGCGCCCCACGAGGTGATTCACCTCCGCCTCGCAAACGGAGTAGAAGCGACGATCGAAGCCAATCACCACGTAGCCACCGCGACAGACAGGACAGAGATAACCACAGAAGAAGCGACAATTATCGATCGCGGGATGATGATAGGAATCGGGGTACAAGACACGAGCCTGGGAGAAACCGAAATGATGAGAACAAAAACGATCCCGACCGGTTAGGACAAGACGTGGAAAGACAACGTGACAATCGCGGGGAGAAAGATTCAGACCGGAGAGATGCAGATAGGAGTGAGGGTAGAGATCGAGACCGGCCCAGACCAAAGAAGAACTTTGGGGGCTTCAAATTTAAGGATAAGCGTCGCGATGAGTTTGAAGACAGAGGCGATGACCGACGTGGTGGCTCATTTAGAGGTTACCGAAACCGCTCACCATCCCCACGTCGCCGAGATCGAGATCGAGATCGGGACCGCGATCGCGAACGTGATACGGGCGCATCTTCGTCTACTAAGAAATCCAAGTCGAAATCTACCGGCGGAGATACCTCCCAGCCTCCTGTTCGAGCTCCCGCAGCTCCCTCCGGCGGCGGCGAAGAGATGATTATCGTCCATATCAACGACCGACTTGGTACTAAGGCAGCTATTCCATGCTTTGCTTCAGATCGCATTAAGGAGTTCAAAATTATGGTCGCGGCGCGCATCGGTCGAGAACCCCACGAGATCTTGCTCAAGAGACAAGGACAACGGCCTTTCAAAGACATGCTTACACTTGCCGACTACGAAATTAGCAACGGAGTCCAGCTTGACCTGGAAGTTGACACTGGTGATTAAGCAGGGAGATAAGGAGAAAGCTATATTGCTATTATGGGCCATGATAGATCGTCGAGTGCAAGCACGGATACGCTTGTGTTATCAACCTGCGATGTATTCAATGAGACACCTACATGGCAATCTAGATATCTAGGGTCAGTGCAATATAGGGCCTTGTCTTCATTGGTACTACATTCTGTAGTATCATATTCCAAGATCAAGAATGAAGTATATCTCCAAACCACGCTGTCACAGTTCTTAATTCCGGCAGGATTCTCATATTTAACAGATGATTACACAATACTTTGCCGTCAGTGCCTGCCCGTGCATCGGAATATTTTTCTTAAATTATGTAAATTGTGTAGACGAGAATCCCTAGAAACCATCTCTCAAGGGCAAGATGAGTATTAATTCCTCTGACCGCTCTGTAACTTCCAGAGTTGATCATGCTGCTCTCGAAGACGCCTATCCTGCTCTTGGATAAAGTGGTCCTTCTCGCTGAGCCTCTGAGTCAGTCCCCTCTTCTCATCACACCATTCTGCCCTTACACACGTTTCAACATCCTCTTTCCAATCTATACAGGTGTTAAAATATTACTGTCTAGGTACACCTCACTGTCTACATCTCAGGGGGGCAACTTACGGTCGTAACATTTGTTCTCCAAGCACGGCTTGGCTTCAACTTTACAGCCGCACCGTGAGCAAGCATCTACGTTAGTAAGAATAACTGGTCAGTGATCCAGTCACGTTCAAGAGACAGATCATTCTTACGAGTGTCGCAAAATATTCCCGTGCAATTGACGCACTCTGGGCAACCCTCGCTCCGGCAAGAATCTGGCCAGGATAGTTAGTTGTGGTAGTACATAGAATGACTCTGAAGGAAATAGAGGGGACACTTACGGAGCGGACAATAGCGTTCTCCTGACTTCGCATATTCACACTCCTCCTCCCATTCGCATCGATCTAGTAACAATTTCAGTCAATCACTCATTTGCTCGCGAAGCAATACAGACATGTGCTTACGATCATCACAGTAGTCATGTTCTCCAGACGAAATATTACACCCCCTTTCGCGACATGCATGTTCCATGCAGTGAAGTGAACCTTCTATCTTCTGCAGTACGCATCCAGGAGTCTGACATTGAAGGTCTAATCACCGTAAGTACTTCCATGAGGAAGAAATCATGGTGAGGTAGTTTACTCACGCTCTCTGCAATATTTCCTGTTCCTTTCTTTGGGGCGGTTGCAGATCGGCGGTCCCCATTCACATCTATTGTCTAGCCAGTCGAGTTAATCAAGAACCCTAGTCTCATACGGGAATGCCCGAGTTTATAAGACCTACGTTCTAGGCAAAATGGAAACGGGGGAGCAGCTATATGCATGCAATCCCGAATCTGACACTTATCTATCTAGCAGGTTAGGAGTTGAGGTTCGTTTAATTATATAGGGTATATCATATCTCACTTACGCCCTCGGCAGCATGTAGTGCCTTCTAGAGCCTGGTTAGGGCAATCAGTCGCACGACAGTTATCTTTAAACCTGTTAACATATCTCATGAACCTTGTTGAAGGTCACAGCTCACGGTCGTCACAGAACGGGCGGTATTGGTTTGGTGCCAGCATAGGGGCGCGCTGGTTAGGACATTCCGTTGCAATACACTTGTCTATTAATAATCAGCACCAGCGACTTCTTTATGATCTTGATAAAGAGTCTTACGATCGAAGCAGTACTTTCGACGTTTATATTGTGGTGTCCCAGCTCGGCCTCGATCGTAGTACTGCATCCTCGCATTCATACAACCTATTGCTATACATACTATGTCTATATACCAGTCAGATAAGTCTCTATCATCGAAAGACACATTTCACTCACGTTGAGAACAGACCGAATCTTCCGGCTGCTTGTGGTTCTGGCATCGCTCTGCGTCGAACAGCGGCTCCCAAAAGTGCTCGCATGTGTCTTGAATTGCCGTAAGTCACAGAACATTTCGATATATCCTTCGTCAAATATGACATAAAGGCCACTTACGTTTCTTACAATGCTTGGAGGAAACTTGGTCCCTTCGTTCCACCTCTACCTTACAACACGGTGCATCACATAACTTTTTGGTATGGCACGTAGTTGTCGATCTTATAAAACAAGGCATCGACTTGCATGGCGTTGATTTAGAAGTAGTCGGTTTAGTATGACATCCTGACGGTTTACATCCCGCCGGCTTCGTACGGCACCCCAGCATGTCGAAACGCAACTGGCGCTTATCAAACAGAGGATCTAAAGATGATATCTTGTGTCTTTTTAATTTCTGAACCCCTTTAAGGAAGGCCCTTTTTAGAACCAGCCACAAGGTCACAGGAACAGGTTTCCCAGGGATTCATCGCTATTTTATCGATCTGCTCAATATTTCGGTGAAGATTTACTTGCATCTTGGGGTGCTTCATGCTCACGTCGATGGCACTGAAAAGTGCATATTTTGCTGACGTGCCTAAACGGCTACTTAAAAAGCGGAGGAGGCTGTGTTGATGTTAAGTTTATAATGTAGCACTACAGCTGCATTATATGTGCACTTTTTGCATAGGCCACCGGCACTGGCCCCCCTATCACCTTTCCCGCTGCCGCTAGCCCCCAATTCGCCGTTCACGAGTCTTCTACCTACTCGATTATTATAATAAATGCAGCTGGAGATAGCATTAATAAGCATGTGGGTAGTATTACTACGCTGTGTGTATAGAACCTTTAAGTTCAAACATTATAATTTGTTCAGTCACATTTACAATTTTCAATAAAACCATTTGTTTATAATACCGAGGTGACCACTGACTTTGGAGCCTTATCAACGTATATCTTGGGGTGTGTACTCGTGAGATAATGCCTTACCCAAGCCACAAATTTCACCTCATACCAAATATGGGTTCTTGCAGCTTGATCGTCCCTACTACCTTAAAAGGTTCCCCGAAATGCGCCATTTAAACACGTTTACACGCCGGGGATTCCGGGTGGCCATGCGCATCCGGAAATTAGCATAAGGTTGGGTACCTATATAGGTATTCTTCGGAGTAAGTATCCAATGTAAGGAGGTCCAGTCGTAGAGCCATGCGGTCGAAGGTCCAGTTCAATCCCCAAGGCGACCCCGTACGCCCGTAGTGTCAATACTTCAGCCACTCTAGCCTTTCAGCTCTCAGCAAAGTCCCCCCCTTCTCTTAACAAGGTACCAATCAGCCATAGCTGCAGCAGTAGCTACGGTTGGTTAACACCCTAAACGATATAGCCACTAGTCCTAGCTGAATTCACGAACCTAATATTTATTGTTACTCTGGCCCTAACCTTTATGGCATTATGGCATGAACTCGTAGTTGAACCAATGGGTCACTCGGGCTTAGTCGAAATCAATAGAAGCTTGCATATTCCCCTCCAACGAATAACTCTTCGTGGATGCTGCGCTCTTATCCAAGACTTCAATTTAAGCACCCAACAAACCGAATAAACTCGCAAAGTCCAGTGTAGTGAAATAGGCACTAACAAGACTACCGGTGACCCTTAAGAACGATCGGATACAGTGATAGAATCCACTGTCGTAGCTAAGGAGGTTTTGTCCTAAGATAGGAATGCATTCATCACGTTGTTACTCTACATAGGGCGTGTTTCTGAAACTACAGTGGGATCTAAACAATAATATTTGTTGCCATATAGATAAACAAGAGTTTTAACCTTATCTTTTAGAAATAAATATGAGATTATGAATGACTAGTTCTTAAAGTAATGTATGAGTATCTACAAGCACCTACTTAGAAAGGCAATGTCCACCTAGGTATATCCCGCATAGATGAACTAGTTGCTAGATTAGGTAGGATGAGCCGGTTAGTAACCATATTCGATTCTCCCCAAAGGTGATCAGCAATAAGTTTAAAACATTCCCACCTAGATTGCGTCTTCTCTGCATATATAGGTACTTTAGATAGGTACTAATGATAAAGGTTAACCCTGCGGCTCTGGGCTCAGACTAAATTAATAGGTAGTTACCTATCGTTAAGTTGTTTTTCTGTGGAGCGACTCTACAATCATTGTTTGTTATTGTTTCTATTCCGGTATAAACCATTCCTTTGTTGTTATTTTTTCTCTTTACATTTACTGATTCGTGTACTCGGATTGTTTTTTCTCCAAAGCACATGTACCTGAACAGTTCCTGCAAGTTGACAGACATCATGATCATATAACCTGATACCAAGTATAATAGGATGTCCCCCAACTTCTAATAAACATGACTTCCATCTAATCTCCCAGGGAAGCCACCCAAAAGACCTATATTCTAATTCTCTAACATACGATTTATTTAATCACTCACTTTGTACCAAGATGTCCCGTAGGTCAAAGATGTCCCGTAGGCCTCCCAAACATTCTCCCAGCCATCCAATCAGAGCACCTACGCTTTCGGGTGATATCATTTTCTGTATAGTCAGGAGCAACTTTCACACAACGGGTGTTATTAATAACTTATCAAAAACATGTCGCCTCTACTGCGGGGCTCTGGATTCATTGCTCTATAAAGCTGACGTACTTATGGCGAAGCAAAGAGTCGTTGACAGGAGATATCAACATTTTTACGCCGATCCCTTTTTGAATCTCTCGGTGGGAGCTGAGTCATGTAACCTATATGATTCGGGGGCGTCAGCCCTTCATTGGGCCGCCAAAGCCAATGATAGTGTCGGCATAACAGTAGCTCAGAAGTCCATCAAGGCAGCGCTAGTATATTGGCCGGACTATCTCCACGTTCAATGTGGGAGAACAGCCGCAATGACACCGCTTCAATTAGCAGCCAAATATGGTGCGGACGAGATAATTCAGGAGCTGATAAAGGCCGGTTCTCTGGTTGATACGCAAATCATATTAGATGTTACGAGAAACCCCTGCAAAAAGTTTCGATTGTCCGAGTTATTGCAATATAGATGTTTCAAAGCTACTTCGCTCCATATCGCTATGCTATATGGGCATGTGCATACTGCTGAGACCCTAGCTCATCTTACGCAAAATCTTGAGGATTCCCAGGAGACTCCGGGTGTATTCTCACCGCTAAAATTGGCCGCTATGTGCAAAATGCCATCGGTCATTAAAATACTGCAAACTCGAGGCTACAAAGTTCTGGGAAATGAACGATACTTACGTGACATGAGATATACACCCATTCATTTTGCAGCCAGTACCGACGGCAACGAAGAGACCCTTCGGTTTTTGATGAATACCGGTTATAGCGCCAAGGCTGTCGACAACGACGGTCGTTGTCCTTTCGGGACCGCAATTGCGTTTCGCTGCCTGTCCAATGCTTTATTCCTAATCAAAGATCTCTCGGCGGAGGAAAAACTGGACGTAGCTGATATGCATTTTGATAAACTGATACGGAAAGATGTTTTTCTTCCGGTCGTCAAGACCCTATTAGAGCATAACAACATCGGGCGACATCGGGCTCGTCGCTACAAGAACGTTATATTAAAGCACTATAACAACCAAGATTGGCGTAAATATATCCTAGATACGCTTGATTTCTTAATCCATCACCCAAATATTATATTCTCGAAGAATACACACGCTAGTCTTGTCGCGGGGATAGCCGAGACTCGGGAAGAAGCTGAACTAGTTGGATTTTTCGTAAACTACTCTCATAGATATAAAGAATAGGAGGTAGGCAGGTAACTTAGGTACATACCTATCTTATCGGCAACCCCTAATGAGGCTGGTCATGTGACTTGGCGTCTTGTCTTTGTGATGTCAGACGAGGGGCAGACGCGCCCTTTTAGTGACATCGCGTAATGAGTCACTAGGCGCTCATTTCCTCATTTCCTCATTGCATTAGGTACTTATTTAAGGTACCTTATAGTAAATTTCTTAGCATCCCAATTTCTAATATATCATATTTTGTCGCCCCTTAACTTGTCTAAATTCTACCAAAGTGAAACCAGTATTGTATATTAAATAGGATCCTCGGCTACTATTAACGATTGAGAGAGCATTATGGCCGTGGGCGTAAAGCGGAAGCGCACTGGCGAAGCTGTAGATGCCACTATACTTCTACCGCAAAAGATAGCGAAGCCTGTTCCTAATGACGTCGCGCTTCAAGAATCTACTGCTGTTCCCGAAGATATGAAGCCTCAATTACAGCGTATTACGGAATCAGACCGTACGCCCTTCGAGAAGAAAGTGGTGAGTCTTTGGGATATCCTAGGCCAATGTCTTCTTCTCTTCTCTTCGCTTTGTCCTTCACGCGCCATATTCATATATACTACCTGTTTAGAGAGCTGAGACATGATATGAAATACGAAAGCTCGCTGACATCTATACCTTTTAATACAGTGGAGCCTTTTATGTCAAATACCCCGTGGTCATGTATCAACGTATGCCCTGCTCGCGGCACATCTAGGGTCGTCCCCACGGGCTGTAGGGAACGCCCTGCGGCGGAACCCATTTGCACCCGAAGTGCCATGTCACCGGGTAGTGGCGACAGGAGGTTCCTTGGGTGGGTTCAAGGGAGAGTGGCCTAAAGATGGCGAAGGCATCACTCTAGATGAGAAGCGGAAGCTTCTTCGCGGGGAGGGTATAAGAATAGACGACAAAGGCAAGGTACTCGGTACGCCATGGGCAGTATTTAACTAAGTAAAGAATACATATGGAAGACTTTTCGGCGACTAATATAGCGAAGATGCTGGAAGTGTGGAGCCCAAGAATTGCCTTGTGGTCTTAGATGGGATGAAAGCAGCTTTATGAATGGTGACATAAATTGTTTGATGGATGATAAGATATATCCAATGTAACTAAGACGTGAGCAGATTTTCATACAACAAAATGTTTCCGTGTATTCTAAATGAATCTCCTTCTCTCTCTCCTCTTTCCACGTGTTGCCGTAGAATGCCGTGAAAAATATTTCCTACAGGTTTAAGATATATTATATTGTTGTCCCGCCGATACCAATGATGGAGGCACTTTTCAATCCACTCGCAAAAAGATTTATTGAAGAAGTAATTACAAAATTTGTTGCGGAAGTCTTTGAACAACTTCCTCATATTCCTTTTTTTGCAATGAATCCACCCAGAACCAATAGACACAAGATGCCAAATCTCAATGCCCCAGACACCCCACGTCGCCAGCAGTTAATACGAAGGTCGCATAGTGTTGGCTCGGCGCCTTTACAGTCCGAATTTGAATTTGAAGCAAATACAACAAACGCCTCCGATGAAAATAAAGAAGACGCACATACCCGAGAGTCAAATACGACGCCGATTATAATGCGAGAAATCACTTACTATGGGCACATGAACATCATGCCTCAAGTTGGTATTGTGCAAGGCGTTGGGTGCAATGTGCTCAATCAGGAAGGCTCGTCACCCAGCATCCCAAGTCTTGTATTTGTTAGTTTCATCGTGTCTGCGCTCAGCTTCCTGTTATCGAAACTACTGGGATAACGAGGCCCCTCCAAAGTCACCACAGAGGATACTATTAGTACGCAAGCAAAGCTGGGTTGGGGCAGGAGGAAGGGAATTATGAATGCAGTTGCGTACTCTCTATGTATTAAACCTGCAATTTTCTGCAGTTGTGTTAAAATCGATCATACTATGGCAAAGCAAAGCGGAAGCGACAAAAACAAATTGGGGGATGGAATTACCTACCTAAAGGACCTTGATATCAGATAGGAATGAGTACCTAACCTAAATGGTGGGCATGAAGTTAGTTCGGATTAGAATAAAACTACGATGATTTACACTTGAGCGTGAATTAATTTCTCCAATTAAGAGTCCTTTTACGTGTTTCCAGATTCAAGAACTCGTAGAAATGTAAGCTCCCCAAGGAGAGAAACCCCTTTTAAGTACTCAAGGGCGTTGGGTTTGCATTAATACCATGTAGTAAGAAGTAACGAAACAGCAACTATGAGCACATGAAGCAGTAAAGCACGTAATACAAACGGTTCGTATTAGAAATCACCGCAGGTTTCATGGAGTAAGCAATATTGCACAGCCACGAGCGAGCGCCACCGGACGCCTACATCAAGAGTGCTGCCGCACATCCTCCTCTCCCCCCCCCCTCCTCCTCCCCTCAACCAGAGGGTTGTCATCCGCGAAACCTAATAATTATACACAGGAGTGGCTGCGCGTCTCGTGCGCGTCAACTTAAAATCATCGACTAATTAGGTTTCTTTTCCCTCCGTGACGCCGTCCTCGTAAAAAGAAATGCCGAAAACTTATAGTCCTCGTTAGAAAAAAGGTTGTTTCATATGCACCTGGGCATATTTGATCTTGCATCATTAATGCTCCTTGGAAATAGAAGTTTGGTATCGGGGTTGGCTCTAAGCAATGCGGAAAGACAATGTGTCGTAAACGTGAAGGACAACTCCGAAAGCAGAAAGTAGAATGCTATGTGCATATGGAAGGACAGACTCGGCAAAGGTGACGAGTTCTGATTAGAATCTATGCGTTGGCCAACCACACCGGAAAAGGCCGTAAGAGATGAGTCTAGAAAAATGAGGGTTTCGTAAGAACGCGATATTCGACGTAATCTTCGCCGTCGATGTTGATGATAGTTCCTTGGCTGACAAGTCTATCTTTGAATGGTCCGTTCTGCTTTCGTTCATACTTGATGCCTTGGTGCATCATGACATCTCCATTACCGTGGCGACTAGCCGGTCCCATTCTCATATTCTCTTGAGCCTCCCAAACTTGGTTCATCTTGAGAATATTCTCGTCGAAGTCGCGCCGGTTATCATGCGCGTTCGTCAAGGCCCCGGGATTTACCACGGAGCTGCGGTTGGCCTGGTGGCGATCGGTACGCATCTGCACCGCTTCCATTCTCGCAACTTCGCGGTTAGCATAACCCTGAACGCGCTCAATAGGATCATTACTAGTGTTACGACTAGCCTGTCTAATCTCCATTTCCGGGTGAGAATGTCGCATTGATTGGGCTGACTCGATGTTTCGGGACGCAACTTCGCGTCGAGGCTGTCTCGGTTCGTGGCCGTCACGAACATCCTCACGGCTGAGACCGGACGAAGGGCTAGGACCTGCATGCCCCTGGTGAGGCGCCCGGATAGGACTGGCTGCTGAAATCGCTGCTGCTCGTAGTTGAGCCTCGTGAACTGCTTTAGTCTCATTCGCAACTTGCTCTTCCCTCTTTTCCCCGGCATCAATCTGAGCCTGGCGAATGCGGACATATTCCTTGACCTCCGGTCTGGTAAGCTGCTTCAGATGACTAACAAAAAGGACCTCATCGTACGAAATCCATAACGCGCCTGCTCCACTGGGGAAGTTATCATCTGTATAACGACCATCCATTGTCTCGCGGACAAGTTTGACACGGAACATATCATTCGCGCCCAAAATACCGTAGACCGCAAGTTTATCCTCATCTTTCTGCGCAGTAGACTTGGCCCAGCAGCCAACAAGGATGCGAGTCGGTTTTCGGGGTGATTGGGGAATCTCCGATTGATTATGGGAGATAATAGGAAGACGTTCGGAACGCTCAACAAGCTCGACATTATCGGCTTGCTCAGCTTGTTCGATACGCTCGGCGCGCTCGGCGATAGTGCCAACACTACTACCATAACGACGGCGCTTTGCCTCAGGGCGAGAAACCTGTGTTTGTTCGGGTACATCTGCGCCCCATGCTATAGAAGGAGGTTGAGGGGTCTCAGGCGGGGGATTGAGTTCCAGACGACGTAGGGCTTCTGTTATTGCAGCCTGGTCGGCTTCCTTTGAGCGGTCGTGGAGCGTCTCAGCTCGGACTTTTACATACTCCTTGATCACGTTGTGATCTCTTCCAATAAGATGGTCTAAGAATACGGTACCCGGAAAGGTAATCCAGCTACCACCAGGACCCGAAGGGATAGGAAATAGTTCAAGGTTGATAAGGTCACCATTTAGCGCCTTAGGCCTGATCCGTGTTCGTAGGCGATCGCGCACATCGATAAACCCGACCACCATATGCTTTCCTTCCATCTGAGGAACTGGGGAAGAACGCCAATAGCCAACAGGCACGTGTTTGTTGTCTTCGTCAAACTTTTGTCGTGGTTTCCCTTTAGCTAAACCCTCGTCAACATCATCTACATCTTTGACCTGGCTATTTTCTAGCTCTTCATCGCCAAGGTTGTTGTAAAGTGATGCGCGTTTGCGCTTCGGGTAATGTGGAACAGGCTCATCGTCCTCCTCGATGTCAGGCATATCGACGTCTCCTCGCTCGGAAGCGACTCGACGGGCAGGGGATTTGTTTCCGTTAGCGCGTGTACCAACAACAATCTCGTCGCCCAGCATATCAGGGTTAACGCTAGATACTGAGCTGCTCTCAGGAGGTGAGCTTAGTTCAGCGTCCTGGACTGCAGCTTCAGTCGCATCGGCGGCAGGGACAGCTTCTTCCGAAGGTGCAGGCTGCTTGGGATGAACAGGAACGGCACGTCTTCGGGATATGTTAGCATCTACTTTCCCAGGAAGTGCACTGAGAAATAACATGTATGTTTGGTAAAAATTAATATCGTGATGGGATGAGGTGGGGTGGGGGTAAGGGTAAGGGTTAGCTGTCAAAGTATTTGAATGCGGCTCAACCTGGATTACGACTGATAAGTTGCGGCGAAAGGAAGCCACGATGCATCTAATATGGGTCCTAGACGCGTGAAAGGAGCGTACAACTTTTTCGAAGAGATTGAAAGTCAAGTAGAAGGAGATAAATAGATAGACACAAGGTAGAAATTGTATACTTACTTTTCGTCAACAGTAGGTTCCACCGTCTCTCTCTCTTTCTCCTCGGTACGAGTAGGGGATAACGATCTCTTGTTATCCTCTTCCATGATTGACAACTCGTGCAAATCTAAAAGTGCTACGATGAAAACTAGCAACGGTGCAGCTAGAGATGTCGGCGATTGGTAAATAAATATCTACGATGTTGTTAATAAATAATTCAACGGGAAGAAGGAACTCGGTCATTGTCATGCGTATAATTGTAAGCACGGTGCAAGAAAGAACCTATTGCTTGGGAAGAAGTTTTTACAGAAGTGGCATGACACAGTACGTGGCTTCAGTTGGCAGTCGGTCACGGTCCTGCTCTTATTCATTGAACAGGAAACCACTTGACAATGACATGGAAAGTACTTGATTGCTTATAACCAAGGCCCACTGCGTTATTACAAGTGTTGGAAACAAGAAAAAGCGGGACTCACTAGGTATGCGCAAGTATCTCCAAAAGAGGAGAGTAAAAGACTCAAGGAAGCCTTATGCTCGAAGCAAGACGCGAAACAAGACTCGTTGACTATTTGTTGGCTATTCCCCACCCGGCGGGCGAGTTTGTGGAGATTGTAGCTAAACTACTTTGTGTATAAAGCTGTGCCGGATAAGATAGCCTTGAAGTCAAAGAGCGGAGGTAGCAGAGACTAATCTAATCCTAGGCATAGAGTTAGTAAAAAATAAAAATAAAAATAAAAAGACCAGCGTGGTATGTTTCTAAATAAGGTCCAAGTGCGACCAACAGACTAACGAGGGACTCGAGTGGAAAATAGATATATGTTGAAGCCTAATAACCTTTTTTTTTTCTACCGTCACGTAGCAACAAATCTGAAATAAAATTAATTGACGACACTTGTCGAGTTGCCGAGACCGTACGGTCCAATTGGCGCGCGAATTATGATGGACGGAAAAGGGCATACGCGGCGGAGAAAAGAGAACGAGTAGTTTTGCAGTACTTACCGAAACAAGGTTTTGGAATATGGCGAGTTGCGGAAATGAGAGTTGGCAATACGGGGGGAGAGAAGAAGATTAGGCACCTAATAGTTATTCAACCCGAAGAGAATGGGAAAGATAATAACAAGTCTGCGTGGATCGGGTCGTCTCTCCGGCACAAGGTAAAATTAGTTAGAAAAAAAAGTTGAAGGTGGAAAAAGGTTAAAGGTGGGAATGGATATCGTGTGAGAAGTATCCGGCAAAAGTAAGCGTTTGTAAATCAAAGTTGTCTGACCTAAAGGAAACCCGAGCAGGGGGGGTTAATATTGTGCAATACAGGCTCTCTTAAACTAAGGCCCGACTAGGGGTAGAACAAGTCAGAAATTTGATTAAGCTGATTGGTGATGTGCTAATACAGCCCACTTGCCAACCTTAGCTAATTAATAGTGCGCTATCGATAGAAGTTGGAAGTCCAATAAATGTCGTGCTCGTACAGAGAGCCACGTACAATTCTTTTTTAAAATACTAACCTAACCTAGGTCAATCAGTTGATATGTAGATACCTTTACTCGAGGCTACCCAATGCTTGATACCTACTTGCGACGCCCCAAGAGCCCCAAGAGCCCCAAGAAAAGGAATATACGAGCTGACACTATTATTACTATTCACTATACATGACAGCTATTACTCAGGTTGTGTGACCTACGCATTTATATAATGCTACGCACGAATGCATCGCCTATCCAGATTGCAACCTAACCTCTTTCCTCTTTACCTATTATGTTAAATATGTTATCAGCTAAAGGCAGGCTTCTATGGTCCTATATCAAAGGAGCGTGTGGCTGGCTGGATTAGAGTCGCTTCGCATTGTGTAACGTGCACTTTCTAATATGAGTAGAATATCAATCCTACTTAATCCTCCTTCACCGACAAGTTTAAACCCATCGCATCGGGAATAAGCAAAGAAACCTGATAAAACTATCAGGTTCTCATTCGAGATCGTCTATGTAAATAAATCTGCTGCTTATTCGTTTTAGGTGGATAAGTCGATGGTATGAGGTAGGGAGGGATAGAATTGGGTAAGAGTATTAGACAAGGCTTGGCAACAACTAACAACTTTACATGCGCAGGAGTGCGAAGTTCGCGTTTGCTTATCTAAGTCGCAAGTTAAAAAGCGTTAAACGGGAGGACGTTATTCTTGGCTACGACATGTCTTCCTTCCACCAAGATGGGCTAACCTAGATAGGTACCTAGGTAGGTAGATAGGTATGTTAGGTTAGGTTAGGTAGTTGAAGCTTTTAAGTACAAAGAGGTAAAAAACGTTGGCTACGTTGTGACGTTGACATTTCGAATGGCGTACTGTGGCGTTAGGGTTCCCTTTTAATAACTCCCAGCTATCACTAAAGACATTCGAATCGAATACTACGGAGAGGTAAAGGGCCAGTCTGTCTTGTATACTATGTATACTAAATAGCCTAGCCCGTGGATACAATTACTGATCATTGGAGACAAGAATAGGCAGGTTAAAGTGCTATGCCGCGCTTATCTTCCAACATGACATGCCTGCGCGAAAAAAAAAATTTAACATGGGTCAGCACCAACCAGCTTCGAGAAATAGTAGTAGACGTTTCTAATAATTATAGCGTTGCTATCCATTTAGCCCCAACCGGAACTATTAGCATTGACTGATATTGAGCAGTATGCAATCGGCCCCACGATGCTGCTGCTGCTGATACCTACCTCATAGCACTAATAGAAATAACAGTTTCGATCGCCGGGTTGCGCGTCTACCCGATCATCAATTTCCCAGTCTCGAGTTAAACACTGGTGGGGACGTCACAGAAGGTTTGGAATTCGACGCATGATACTCTCAATACGCATCGCATGGAGGCCAGGATGCAACGTGGACACAGCTATGTATGTATCATACCTACTGTAGGTAAGGTATTAATGCTGCATGTCTAAACTAGATTATATATCTCTCAGTAATCGACGGGCGCCTGATAGGGTATGATGATACACCAATCTTACGCCATCATGTCATCACTTAATCCTCTGCTGATAAACATTACGTGCCGGTGCGACAAGACCGATTGATTCGACTCGAGTGAATACCTAAGTCAATCGAACGGCGTAATAGAAATGACTCTATGTCGGTCTGACCGAAGGGGGGACACAAGGTGCCCGCCAGCAGGTAATAATAAAACTCAATACCCCTCTCAAACTGCCTAAAAAGCCCTTTCCGCGATTCCAAGTGTCATGTTTATGCTTTACGCTCGCTCATCAGACTCAGACTCCCGAGTTTCACAATAGTAACTCGGTGATGACAACAATAACACGACGAACATAATTCGAATGCCCGGGTGTTAGATTCGATTATGGTTGAATCATGAACGTCAACTCATTTCTTATGTATGAGACGAGTTGCACTGGGCTGATTGGGTGTGGAAAGGCAATTCAATATGTAGAAGCAGGGGCCAAGACTTTCTCTTTACGAGGACCCCCTGCCTGCAAGTCCCGGGTGAACTCGATAAAGTACATGTGTTTTATTTTCGCAATCATGTGATAATGCTATATAAATCTGACTTGGAACTCTTCTAACTGTTACGTCACGTGTATCTATGTATCTATCTTATTAACACCTGTGATAATAGTGACGAAGACAAAAAAGTGACAAGTTATTTAGGGTTATACCCAAATAAATCCATTTACGGGATGAAACAAACAAACTACAAACAAGAGCGACAGAAAAAAAAATTATCAAAGAAAGGAAATTTTTCCCAATCTTAATTCTGTCGATACCGTCGTAACACCAGGACTCTATCGTGGAACTTTGGTCTCCTCGTGTTCCAACAGGTAAGACAGGATATGTACATATCTGCCGACATCAACTAACTGTATTACAATAAGCCAACCTACAAACTTGCAACAGTCTGGCTAGTTATCCAGTTTCTCTTGAGTAGTTTCGCATCATGTGGCCACAATTAATACATATTAGTGATACGATTGCAGCTGTGTTACAGTGCGAGTCGAAGGAAAGGCTTTTAGGAGTCCAAGGTTTTGTTTTCTCTTTACATAGATGCACCACATTTCCCCCACCGCAAGAATATTTCACGGATCTGAAGTTCATTTCGGGTCGGGGTAGGTATTAGCTAAGTAACCTAGGTCCAATTATATGACTAATCCATGTACAACAGATTTAGTGTTGGTTTGGTAACATCATATCGAGATGATAGACAAGGGTGTTATTCTGGGCCGCACTAAAAACGTGGGAGATGTTCATTCTTTGGAACATAAATATTTTCAAGGCATCTGATCTACGTCTGTCTCTCGAATAGCAGAGGGGAACCCATGTGTAGTAGTAATACATTAGGGTAGGTACCTAAGATAGGAGGATTCGCTAGGTAGTTAATCGTCAACATACACGACAGGTCCAGATACGAGAAGTGGAAATTACATATCATCATATATATTCAACGTGATTATTCGTCGAACACGAAGAGAATCGACACACATAGATACAAGTAATAATTTGCATTTTCCTAACATTACCATTGAGATTCCGTTGAGCTTGTAGATTGAACTGGGTACCTACCCATCCCGTCAATTCAACAAGTAGGATGATGTCAATATCGCAACTATCATCACTTCTCGATGGCCAATAGCCACACCTTCAAGAAGTTCAATCCCCTATAACCCAGACATAAACTCATCCGCCTCGTCCTCTACCCCTCCCACCGCCCCGTCCTCCTCTCCCACCTCTGCCGCCTCTCTTCCCCTTGGCCCCCCTGCCCCCACCAACTTTCTCGTACAACTTCTCCTCCCCAAACGCCATCTCGCCAAACCGGACGTAGCTAATGAGCCCGCGATCCACGACCGCGATAATCGCATTGCGCCACGCGTGTTTAAGACGGCGATACATGGCCCCGGCTCCTACCCCATCCTTGCCGTCTTTCACCTCGGGCGGATCCCACGGTGTGCAGTGCTCTAGAAGCGCCGTCAGTTGCTCGAGAGTTGGGACGGATGAGTTGCGCGCGTCTGCGACTGCGATTCGGAAGTCGGGAGATGGGGGCTTGGTTTTGGGGAACGCGGTGCTACTCTTCCACACGTGGAAGTGGATCCGGAACGGCTCTTCCGGCGGTGGGGTGAAAGCTTGGGGGTTGGGGGCAGGTGTGTGTCGCGGGAGCAGGGCGAGCTGTGTGAAGATTGGGTTGTAGGAGCGGTACAGGCCTGGCTTGACGAGCGGTCCGCAGGACGGTATGTGCGTTTGCGATGATATGGGTAATAAAGAGAATAACCACTGCCATAGAGCCTGGGGTAAGGATTTAGCGGAGACTGGCGGTGGTAACGATATTGAAGTCGCTCTCATGATTTTATATCCGGTTCTCCGGAGGTTAGCGTAGACCTGGTATTTCTCGAGGCTAACCTTGCCTCTCTCGCCGTCCTGGCCGATAAGAAGTGCGTATGCTGCCTGGAAACTAAGTGGTATTCCGAGCTCGTAGTCCTCAAACTTTCCGCTAAGTTCGTCATCCTTCTCATTCGCTCCGTCCTGCTTTACCGGGAGGATATCCTCGATACCTCGTGCCGGCCACCAGAGATCCAACGAACCACGTTCGACCAGGTATAAAGCCTCCTCCGGCAATAACCACGTCTTAAGCCACCCCGGCGTCTGCTTATACCCCTCGAGACCAGTGACAACTCGACCAGTGTTCTGGCCAAGGGGCCCCTTGATCTCATTCTCCACGACCACCACACGCTCCCTAGCAAACAACCCCGCGCCCTTCTCGCCCTCCGTCTCCTCCGCGAGAGGTACGTCAACCCATTTATCCGGGAAGTACCAGGCGCGAGTGTGGTCCTTGGGCTTGTGAGAACGGGTGTAGCTCAAGACCTCGTGCATAGCATCGCGGCTAGCGTCCAAGGCACCTTGCTGCGCGCGCGTGCCATGCGACTCGAAATCCTTCTCGCCGCGACGTAGCGTCTTACCCCCGGCCTGCTTCTTGTCGAAGAGCGAAGCGAACAGCCGGAAATCCTGCATCTCATCCGTAAGGGCATCTTCAAGCGACGGCGCCTCATCTGTTCCTTGGTCCCCAGTAGTGGGCGCCAAAGCCGACGATGGAGTGGGATCTTCGTCGTCAAAGGCCATTATGCTTGAGATTTGGGGGGAGTGGTGACTCGGACCCCGGTAGAGTTAGAATCTTTGCGATGGTGTAATTAGTGAAGGTTATCACATGTGAAGCTTGGAATATTATTGCTTAAACAATCTCCCTTCACTTGAAAATAATTGATTCCGGTAAGAAATAGTAAATGCTGCCCCACTCTCATTAAATGCATTTAATATGTCATCAGCACCAAGAGCTATTAATTTATTCTTCTTCTCTTACCTAGGTAAGCTAGATGTTAGATGTTTGCCTTGTGTCTGCGTAGAAGAATCTTAGCTTAGGACCCACTAAGCTCAAGCCAGCCTAGACGACTCAGGTTGTCCAATTAACTTGACCTTTACTCTGTCACCCATATGAAAAATCCGACGGCTGAGTACTTTGCGTTATATACTAAAGCACCAGGTCAATTCTTCAACAAATGGGAGTTTGGCCGAGTGGTTAAGGCGTCGTGTTTAGGTCTTCGAAAGAACACCGTATAACCCGCGATGGGAAACCGCGCAGGTTCGAATCCTGCAGCTCTCAAAACAATTTATCTTTTGGTAAATTCGCAGTCTTTTTTATTAATCAAGTTCCCTACCCCCCTTGGAAATAAGTGTTATTATGTAGTTTCGGCAGCGTGTTCAGGTATTTTTATTTTATTTTTCCATTTTGACTAGCTCGGAGGGAGCGGGGTAAAAGCTTCACAGATACATATCGTCATCTATAATTCCTTCTGATATTTGGTACATGCCTGTAAATAAACTGCATGTAGGTATCCTTTTGTAAGTGACTCAGAAAATCGAGATTTCTCAGCAAGCAACCTACATCCCTTACTTCATAAGTAGACGAATAATATAAATCATTATTTAAAAATTGGCCTAATACGTAAGTTACCTATATGCCAAAATACTTAAGCAGCCTTTATAAGATGTCTTGCTGCCCTATGCGATATGTAGAATAGCGCCAAGGATATAGGCCAAACTTCTTTCATGCAGGAATTCCTTTCCATGCTAACATACCCTTTCTTGTCCAAGCCGGATATCGTAAAGTTGCGGCGTAAATACGCGTAGATGCAATTCCAATAACCCAACTTCTACGATATCAACTCCTTAACCTAGACAGATGCCTTGGTGGCAAGACGAAATAGGTTCCATAATGCATTTCTCCTTTAATCCCGTCGTATCCGTAGGCTGGTTGGCCTATCAACGGATAACATGATATTTCTGTGCTCGTAATTAGAGGAAGGGAGAAAGTAGAGTTGAGGCCATCCAAATAACCGTATTTCCCATGAACGCCCGGATTTCGATGCGCTGGTATCCTATTCTCCGATCTTGCACCTCCCTTTGGGAATATTTCATGACCGTAACGCCGCAAAATCCGACACGACAGTAGGCGTGCCCGTTAAACGCAAAGCTGTTACAATCAAGCCGCGCATTCTCTAAACTCCAACCCCGTTTTCGCATCCCACTCTGAAATCTCTCTGGACGAATATGATTACTAATGAATCATGCCTATGCTTTATTTGTTCGTCTGCATAGACCGTATAAAGGGTTGACGGTATATCCTACTATAACCCTAACCAGAAGAGCTAAGGGGCTAGAAGAGCCTCTCGAGCCCCCTCACCTCCTTAGCAGGTATGTATAATATGAGCAATCAGTTCCATTGCATTATGCATTGGCCCAGCACTCTACTACTGTGGTAGTAGTTCTACTCTTCTCCCATACCAGTTCGGGCCAGTATGATGGTGAAGAACCATTGGCCCTTCGGATGCACGGAAATTCTTAGGCGAGACAAGTTTTCGAACGTCTAAGCCTATGAAAAGTACGCGCCCGTTCGTTAAACTCGGCAAACCGCAATGTTTGGGTATAGTATCCCGCGAAATTGAAGATAGACGCCTCGGCCTCATCAAATTCGTATGATGCCATTCTCATTCGATCAATGGTTTCTTCTGGCCTCCTACTAAGCAATATCCTAGAGACGCTAAAGCATTCGGGTCGTCGGCTAAAACGATGGTTCTCGCCGGCAGCATTGGATTATTTTGGTCGACTGCGGAGGCATCTTTCGCTGCCTGTTCTATGGCATCCATTTCTTCCTTGCATGCTTGATGATCTAGTGGGCATATAACGATAGGCTGTCGAAGGGTGATATCACGGGCCGATGCCAATTGAGCCTGTGTTATACCAAGTGTTAACGATCATCTGCAAACAAAACCCTTCACAACTTTCACCACGCTCGTATCTAACATACCTTAATAGTAAGGAAGAACTCGATCTTGTAGAGTGTAGATGTTGTCGTGAATGATGTGACCTCGTAGTTTGGGAAAGCCGGTTGTCCTCTTCGAATGATTCCATTCGCATCCCTTAGGTCCTTATGCGGAAAGATAATGCCCATATTAGTAACATAACCGTCTTCCGGTAATTTGGCCCCTATCGTCTGTGTATGTTTCTGTAGCCTATTCACTTTCTTAGTCGGCTCATCTCCTTCGGGATTGTACGTAATCTCTTCCTCTATCGCGAGCGTGATCTTCTGTATGGTCACCTTCCTCGCCTTGGCTAGCCAGTCGAGATTAGGGGCCAACTTAATATATACCGTAATAGGATCCATAGGTCCGTAACTCCATCTTGGGAGCGAAATGCCGAGCGTGACTATGTTATCGGTGGTTACGGCCTTGTGTTCGGGTCGGTTATACATCCCAAAGGTCGATAACGTATCGTATCGTTGCAAGGGGACTGGAAACGCATATTTATTCTGGATGCTCTGTCCTTGCTGCACGGTAACCACTAGTTCGTAATATGTCTCTGCGGTCCTGCTTGGGAGTTGTAACGAAGCCGGCGGTATCCTTCTATTCGTTTCTTCACCGCCTCGTCCAAACGGGATAAACAAGACGAATGGCAGGTCCATCGTCATGACATTCTCTGCTTCCCTTCCTGTTGCGCACCGGTATAGTAAAAGTTCCTTTCCAACAACGTCGGTAGTATCGCGTCGAGGTGTCCCGAGGTGGCGCTTGGCTACATTTTCGGCCGCTGGGTGGATTGTTTCTCTTCTTTGTAGACATATACGCACTAGAGAGATAGCGACGGGAGCGGAATACCCTGATGCAGGCCTAATCTCGACCTTACCTTCAATGCGCGGCTATAGACATGCGTTAGTCGAGTTAGGTAGTTAGAGAGGCTTCGAGTCATGCTTGAATTCGGGTTATCCAAGCCGCGAACCCCACGTCGAGGAAGCGGAAGTGGAAGTGGAAGCGGAAGCGGGAGTGGAAGCTAAGGCCGAGATAAATGGGATTGATGCGCAAACTCACCAACGTCGCCGAAATACCAGGATACCCAACCAGAAAACTGCTATTTGGAGGGCCAGAAACCCGAACCAAGGCTTGCACTCGTTCTGCCATCCTCCTTACGCGCTGTGTCCGGTAAGTGGAAGAAAAGGCAAATGTTTAGTGTCGGCCGGGCGCATCTATTCCTCGCGGACGGCTGTAAGCCGACACCCTCTTGCGAAATGCGGTCTCTGCACAATCCGGTATATGCCGTGGAAATGCGCATTACATGTCAAATATTAGCCGTCGCAGTAATGTCGTCGAGGTTCGAGTATAGGTGTGATCGGTAAGCGAAGTTATTATCGTCGAGAGTGGTGTCGCTTAAGTGTTACCTGTCAAGGGAATTGAGGGTGGAGAGTCGCAAAAAGGCGGGACGCAGCAATTGGTAAATACGTATTAGGTACAGATTAGCTTGGTGACTTGGTTGCTCGGTAGCTGATGGAGACGGGCAGGCCGGTGGCTGAGATAGGGACGCGAAATCGACGGGCTGTGGACTGGACTATTGACCGGTGATCGACTGGCGGGTAGGTGTGTAAAGTCACAGCCCGCTCAGTTTCCACAAAGATCGATAGGCGAATTGATAACAAAATGGTATAAAAAAACGAGCGGAGTGGGCTATCCCCTGAAGGTTACTGCTCTCGATTTCTAGGTGTTGAAGCTGGCAGGTTTGTAGCTCCGTAGCTCGGCTGCTAGGACTTGGCTTGTATTGCTACGAGTATGCTACGTAACGAAGCCGGTATACACCAAGATAACGTGCGGGCAGCCAAAAGGTTCACCGCGGAGAGGGGGGGAATAAGGTTCTGGAAGACAAGTTTACATTGAATTGGACCTTTTTGGACCTTTTTTCCCTCCCCCGGAATATGCCAGAAAGTAAGTGAATGTATTGCACCCGTGTGCCAGTGGATTCAACTGCTTTAACCCCACAAGTCCTATGGGGGGTGGGAAGCAAGCCAGGGATTCTTCCTATGAAATGCGTGGTAAAAGGTAAAAGGCGTCTCTTAAGACTTGGATGTTTAGGGATGTTTAAAGATGTTTTAGGGAGTTTAGCATACATACATGTAGGTAGGTAGGTAGTATGGACATAGTACCTATGGTACTGCTTACTGCCTATGTACGTAGTACCTAAGGTATGTACCTAAGTGAAAGATGGGAAAATATGACAGATACCACCTGCCCGAAAGTTTAAAGCTGAAAGGGGAAAATGGCAAGCTGTAGGAGCACGAGGATTTGGAGAGACTTCCACCATCTTTGAATTAAAACCAATAGACGGCCGTTCCGATTTGGGCGGTTAGGCGTAGTGGAGGTACCTAGTACATATCTGACATATATCAGGTACCTACAAAGACGAGCCCCGAGTATAAAATATCAGGTACCAGTAACTTACCGTATCGTACCAATGTTACCCACCGACAACCTATTAGATGTACATAACGAGTACTTCGCTGGGTATTTCTCTATGATGTACCTAAGGTACCTATTGAAGGTATGATATGTATATTGATATACTTGGCTTCACACTTATAAATCTTACCTAGGTAGGTATGTCTTGCGCAACTGTGTTGTTATAGTTGGGTTAATTGAGTTGTTAATGACGACAGAAGTAAGCTACATCAACCATTAATATCAGCCAAACACATTGACATCGCAGATACGATAGGTAGGTATAGAACTACCGTAGAGCTGATTTATCATTACAATAAAATGAGTAACCTTAGGTAATAAATTGTGCACTTGTCTTTTCTACTTAGAAACACGCGTACATATCGATACTACCTAGGTATGTTCTTTTGGAGGTAGACATCCCGCCCCCTCGCAATATCGAACATTTCCTATTTCAACAATTATATAACTTAGTAACACGGAAAGATAGACGGGGAATTAGTGTTATAATGTGCATGACCACACGTGGGAGTGTGACTTCGGGCGAGTGAAACAAACCGCCATTTGCATAGAAGCCTATTCCGACGCAGACGTGTACCTTCACGAAAGCCTACCTACCTATGAGGTATGTACAGAAGGGTTCTTAGCTTGGGGGCCATGTACTATGTATGGTAGGAGCCTGAACCTGGCCAACTGGATGAGGCTGATGACCCTGAAGGCTACCCCTGCCTAGGCTGCTAGGTACTGTCGATACCATGCAGGTGTTATTTTTGCTCTTATCAAGTTGTCTTATTACCTTCATACATAGGTATGTAGGTAGTTAATCTACTAAACCAACAAGTTAGGCCTTAATCACTGAGCAAAGCTGCAAGTATATTAAGTTTCTAGTCTTAACAACTCGCTTGTAGAAGAGAATATAGCTACCAATTAATCTTTGTCAGGATAAACCGAGCTTAACCCTTCAACTTCAGCCCTCAGCTATGCTTAGCGCTTACAACCCACAACTCACAACCCACAACCCATAACCAGTTCTATGTAGGTATGTAAAGTCCTACATGTATGCACAGCACCACACCAATGTAAAGCCGCATAGGTACGCACGTCTGGCACCTTTGCCGCCAGCAGCAATGTAACCCCCCAACGCGCCATCAATTTTACGGCGGGAACCCTACCTATGTTTCCGGGAAATCCTGGGATGATTCGCAGGTGTTGCTCCCACGTGTCCCCGCGTTTTTAATCCGTAGGTGGTAGTAACTACCTCCTATGTAGACAAAAGAGACTAGGTACCTAATAGATAAAAATGATAACGGGATAAGATGATAGACCGCAAATGTGACCTGCATGTCTAAGTCCACTGTCTTTTACTATGTACATGCGTACATGTGCTACCACCTACCAGCCCTAACTAACCCTTGTCCAATCAACTTAGGGCATATTAGCCCCACATCGGCCCCTAGACTTGGATGTTTTAGCCTCCTCCACTCCGCGACCCCCACAACTCTTCATTGCTGAATCGTCACTTTTTTTAAACTTCCGACTTCATGTCATTCGTCATTCGTTGTTTCATTAGGTACGATCCCGTAGCACTAGACAGACCTGTGCTAAGAAGTCTTAGGGTCCCGATCCCGTAGTCCCAGTTTCCCGGATATGCTGCCCGTCTTAAGAGTTCTTCGACACAATGTCCGTCACCCTACACACCACTCAGGGTGATCTCAAAATTGAGGTCTTCTGTGAAAGCGTGCCCAAAACCGCTGAGGTACGTATATCCATGCAACTTGAGCCTTCACTTCGACACCATCAGCCAACTTACATTCATATAGAACTTCTTAGCATTATGTGCATCAAACTACTATCACCAGTCACCAATTCACCGACTGATCCCTGGGTTCATGGTTCAAACAGGTGGCCCAGCAAACCCCACGCCAGATAACCCAAAAGGCGGCCGGTCAATATGGGGCGGGACATTTGAGGATGAGATCCGGCCAGCCCTTAAGCACAATTCCCGTGGAATTGTATCAATGGCAAATAAAGGACCCGGGACCAACGGCTCGCAGTTTTTTATTATCTTCGATAAGGCGCCTCATCTAGATGGCTTAAATACCGTGTTTGGAAAGCTTATTGGGGACGACAGTCTCGCTACTTTGGCCAAACTAGAAGCACTCGAAGTGGACAAGAAGAATCGACCAAAGGAGAAGGTGTTGGTCGAGAAGGTGACCATCCACGCTAATCCGTTAGCAGCGTGAGTATCATATCATAATCTTACTCAACAACACCACATGAAAGCCCGCGGCCAAACCCTATCCAAACACGTCTATATTTGAAGCTTCTACGTCTTGGACTTCTATACGAGCTATACCTCATGGACGCCCAACTATTAAATTATGCGGTCCTAATTCATCCAACGGCAAATAAATAGTGTGCAATGGAAAAATTGGTTGAGAAATGGGGGTATGTTCCATAAACGAGTCTAATTCTCCGACAATATAATATACCAGAGAGGTCCAGGCTTGTTTGAACTTGTCAGTCGAGTAAATGCGTAGTTGCCGTCGACAGGTACGGCAGAATTGCGAATCGTAGATAGGTAGGGTTGAAAAGAAAGAAGTCTATTCAACTTAGCCATTAAATTTTTTTATGCGGCTTTAGTGGGCAACTGCCTAAGCACCCAGTCCTCTTGAACCCATAATCCAACAAAGTGCAAGAACAACTTGAGCAGGCGCGTACTTGCGGTTCCTCGTAGATTCGAATTCAAGCAGGTACCTTTTACCTACCATAGCGGGAATACTCGGTTTCGAATATATATAGTTATATGCATAATGCTTATTTTCTATAATAATGCCTAATCAAATGCTAAAAGTGCATAAACCTTAATTGTGGTACAATGCTTTCAGTTTACACAATGCTTTGAGAAGGTACAATGCTAATATTAATACTTTTTAAAAAAAAAAAGTTTAAAAAAATAAAAGAAATTTCCTTTATTTTTTAAAAATAATTTTAGGAAACGTAATATATACAAATAGACCAATCTTGCTTAATAAAATAAAAATAATTAAACTTTATATATAATAAAAACCTTGTTTTTCTTACAAATATTGTTAGCATTGTACTTTCCGAAAGCGTTGTACAACCTAAAAGCATTGTACCGTAATCAGGCATTATTATACAAGTCAATCATTTCAAGATTACAACCGTTACACGCCACCATATTTTCCCGCTATGGTACCTTAGGATGTAGCTACCTACATATAGGCATCAATTATTTTATTCGAAGTTATTTTCCTATCTCTTTCCAATATCAACCACACAACCTCTCACTCATCACCAGATAGTGTCACGCGGATCAACTCCTCTAGGTCAACCTTCCCGATATTTTTGAACTTGATTCCAAGATTACATTAATATATCTTACCTGTAAGCTAGGTAGGCTTCGTTTCTGCCTCAACTATCATCCAAGCTGCAAATAACTCTCCTACGCGTCCACCATCATGGCCATCCTTGAAGCCGTTCCTAGTATAAAGGTTACCGTGCGCATTAACGGTGTAGACTGTCCGGAATACGATGACCCTAATGCTCCCGAGCAGCAGCCCAGTCGTCCAACATCGTCGAAATACATTGAGTCACCCGATAACACCGAGTTTACTCTTTGCGTAAGCATAGATAAGGGTTATGACTGGGGTGACAAGAGCGACTGTCTTTATTTCACCATGCGGGTCGATTCTACTTGGATTCAGAGTCCTATCATCCATAAAAGTGAAATCACGAATGGCCATTCTGAGGTGGTGATCAAATACAAAAGCACGTTCTGCGAGAAGACTAAATCCTGGTTCAAACATGCACTTAAATTTTCTACGGTAAAAATCGGTAAGTTAGGGTTAGGGTTAACGTATAGATGGAGATTTATAATTCATAAATATCGGATACTAACTTTGAGTATTTAAGTCGAGGGCGTGACGAAAGAACGCATGGAGAAAGATCAACAGGTAGCCAACAACCTCGGACTAATCGAGGTTGAAGTAGAACGCCGAATCTATCTTGGGAAGGATCCCAACCACCATGAGAACATTGATCGAGAGGTTTCTTCTTTCGAGTTTGCCGAGAAGTCCCTAAAAGGCAAATCGATTTCCCATGGAACCATGTGAGACAGCAAGCTCTATTCTCTCTGCATAATATCCTAATTTACTACTCTAGTTTATCCACTGGTATAAAGGCTCCACGCCCTAATTTTGTGCAAACCAGCCTCCTCCCGGGTGATGATGGGCCTATTGCCAGCTTCCAATTTCGATACAGATCAAAAAGTAAGTTCTCTTCGCAAAAATCATTCACTTCTCTTGCTTATCACCAGAACTAGGGGCTCTCCAGCAAGAGTTGATAATCCCACGGACTCCACCCAGATCACCAAGTCTAGACGGGCTTTCTACAGCTGAAATAAACCGACTAGCAAAGGAGAGGCTTAATGATATAAATGTAAGTTTTAGCTATTTATTATCAAGTAGCACAACTAACTATACATCTAGGCAAAAAAGCAGCTCGCCAAAGAAGAACCGAAATCTATCAAACGTGAGATTGATGAGGTTTATGATCTAACTGAAGATGATACATCAGTTCGCCCTACGAAAACTCGACGTCTTACATCTGAATTTATAGACCTTACTGATGACTAAGTTCAAGTCATGAGGTATCATTAGGCACTTTACGGTCCATTCAAGTTAGCTAGTAGTGCTACGTCGATTTATAGGGTGGTCTTTTACCTATTATGTCAAAAGCTAGGTAAACACCTTGAGTGAAGCTCGGCTTGCTTGCTGGGCTACTATAATACTCAAGAGAAAGAAGTTCGCGTACAGATAGGTCTACTGCTATTGCAACTTGCAAGGCCTTATACTATTTCCAATCCAAGATTTTGATAACGAGCCCATAGAACATCTTAGTTTTAGCGAATAACAATTCGCTGAGATAGAAATGACTACACATTATCCCCTAGATAGAAATCTAAGAGTGAAGATTGTCTGATAGGGGGAAAAGAAACGCGTTGAACTTGCGCGAGTGGCGGGAAATTTAACGGCGAGCCCGTAAATATTATACCGAGTTCATATCGAAAGGCCGGGCGGGATGTAAACATCGTAGGTCATAGTACACTGGCTATAGCTGCCAGGTGTATGATCTGGAAAATATACCTACGAGTCTTCGGACTTCCTTGAGATGTCAAAGGCTAAAAGTAGAGATGGAATCTATGATGATAGAGATCCAGATCCCAACGTTGGACATTCGCCATTCAATGAGGTCTGGAGGGTCAATATATCTTCAAAAGGTATCTTCATCATGTCTGCCCACTATGGTCCACGACCTATTTAGATAACGAATCCAAATATCACTATATAGGCACCTAATAGACGCCATGTAGATGGAAACTTCGCATACCGGCTTAAGGAGCGTATATTATCAACCCCCCCCTTATCTAGTTCTTGGAAGACGAAGACTTCCTATATGTATAAATGGAGATGAATAACAAATTACTAGGTTAGGCAACTTGCGACTCAACGGTTGAAGCTTTTGTTTATATTATGACTATCAGATATACTTTAGAGAGTTCACAGGCAACTATATTTAAAGTGACCTGTAGGACATAGCGTTGACGATGTTATAGAATATCTACGATAAAATTATTACTCCGGTCCATAGACCTAGTTAGGTGCTCTCGAATTCCCCAACGCCTCATTATTGTACCAATACCTACAGAGTTTCATTCGTGGCATAAACCAGTGGCCGTGTAATGAACCTTGACCAAAGATATAAGATATCCAAAGATATAAGATATCCAAAGATATAAGATATATACATTCAGAACGCCAGTGACAGAGCCAGATGCCAATGCAGAGAATGGTAAATGTTTTCAGATTAAGTTCTCTGACATAAATCCATACCGTACTAACTTTGCCACAACAAAACTAACATATACACCGTGCTACTCTATTAACCACCAGCTTCCTAAAGATCTGTGTGTTTTCCGCTACGGACCCAAGTATAGAACGGATTGACTATGGAGGACCTTTAACTCCCACGCTCTCGACTCACCGAACCCTAACGCTACACAGACATGATTCAACAGATTCGATCTACCAAAGAGCTTAACTCTCATAGCAGTATATCGGTGCGCTTTGACGGCGCCACCGAACTATATAGACCCGGCGCCTATGGCCACACTTTGGCTGATGGATAGTTCGGATCTTGTCAGCGCAGCACGGCCGCCCTTTGGGATGCTGAACTCTGTTGCTCGATCGAATCTGAGATATATATAAAGGGGCTACCCCCCGCTGGACTTGAAGAGGAGCAAGGAAATGAGATAGATCTGTTCCGTGTTTCTTTCTCCCTACTTTAACCATTTATTTATCTATTCAAGCACTCGAAACGACAGGGTGCCTAGCCAAACATTCATGATGAGGGATGGCATTGTCCTGCAAGAAGGGTATGTTCTTCTCGACCGTAACTATTTTTTTCACTGCAACTGACAAACACAAGTCCCATTACGGATTTCTCGCCTTTAGCTGCCATGACATCGTCTGGCGTCGCCTTCCTCTACACCGGCATTTTCGTCTACTCCTGCCTCTGCATAACTATAGGGTTCAAGATAGCCCACTCGAAATGGAAAAACAAGGATATCATGGGCATGCCGCCGCAGGCCACCTTTATCCTCGCCGGCGTCTGCTTCACGCTCTTCTTCGTCGTATTCCTCGTGCCCGTCTTCATCGTGTGTCTCGTATACACAGCAGCCCACGGGCACGCGTGCAAAAGCCGCAGCCGCCGCAGCGATGGCACAACAGCCTCGCGTCCGCGTCGCAATCGATTGAGGTATCTCAACCTGTGGGATCTTAGTTCCAACCTGAGCTCGAGCGGTAGCAGCTCCGACGATAGCTTCAGCGACAATGCTAGCGAAGCCTCGCTTTCTTCCCACGGAACGGCCCCGCCGCACTATAACCAACACCGCAGAGATACCCGGGTCGATCTCGAGACCGAGGCTGCCCGCCCCGAAACACCCCCGCCGGCGTATTTCCCCCCAGATCGTATTGCGGGGGAGACGCTCACGGACGGGTGCGATCGGTGGTCGAGAACGTGAGTAACAATTCCCATCTGGTCGAGGTCTACCTCGCCAACTAATACTTGACATAGGACCTACACTTTACGAGAATCGGAACTACCATGATCAAAGTAGATACCGATTTACCTAGGGGTAGTCATGGCATATGCAGCGATGGTATTTAGCATTTGGATTATAATAAGAGTTGGTTAAGCGGCTTACTTAGCCACTCGTTGCGCATATGTAAATGGAGGCTATCTCCAAAATACCTTATACATTTAAATATATATTAGAAAGTCCTTTCAGACAAGATTGCCTTTGTATTTTTGGGAATGCATCAAACGGGTTTATCCTTCATGGGTATTCCGGAGGGGGAAGATAGTATAGCATTTCACCGTAGTTATTGAATAAACACCTTAACTATTTAATTACTATGAAGTCAATCTAGATCAATCCATATGAATCGTGTCATAGGTAGAAGACTCAAGAGAGCATAGACCAGACGTCGACTTACAGGAAATCAGAAAATACGGGGAAGTATAATATTATTAAATGTCGGACAGGATTATATATTATATACAAGAAGACTGAAGAAAAATGGGCATTCCGTATCATCACAGGGGCAGGCAAGCGAGCGCAACCACCGGCATCGCATATGTACCTATGTATCATGACATGTCTCATGGCAAGCATCACACGTACTGAATTAAATACAGCTGTGTCATAACCCCGTCTCACTCTTAGTCCCAGCTGGGCTACGCCACTATGAGGTGCCTGGCGCCTAAGCCGGGAATAACCTCGTACAGTACGGGAATGATTTCGACGGCCAGCCAGCCGATTCCTATGATACTTAGTTAATATATATCCAAGAGATACCCCCGCTAGTCTCGGATAATAATAAGATGTAGCTTATTTCGAATAAACACAGCACAGATAAAATATTGAAGCAAAGGGGGGATACTTACCACAGTACACAACCAACTTCGTAACAACCTCGACATCATACCGCACCCGCGGCTTTACTAGTCTAGAGAAGACCTCCTTCTCACCCAGCTCATCATGTTGCCCTACTACTATATCCGGCTCCCCACCTGTCTCGGCCGGCGAGACCACCACGGTGCCCTCTCCCATTAGTTTCTCGTAGTCGCTCGGCTTATTATGAGCGCCGTTAATATTGCTAACGGCCGAGCTCCGCGCATTATCAATTTCTTCTTGCTGCCGTAGATCCTGCACGCTGGCTCTATTACGCAACGCGCCGTTACTCGTACTGCTATTAGTAGCGGCATTGTTTTCTGCATTTCCAGCTCCCGCACTGACGCTTTCCCTGCGCCTGCGCTCGCGGTACGCCAGCGTCTCGTATGCGTCGGCCGCGCTCTGGGGACCAACACTAACGGAACGGCCGCGGCCGGGGTGTCGTACAGCTGTGATTAAGCTGGGTAGATCGCTCACGTTAGGCATAACGTTGTCGACGCGGAGACGCAGAGGAATGTTCTTGTACTCGGAGGCGGGCATGAAGAAGCGGCGGGGCAAAATGAGGCCCCAGATTTCGATGAGCCGAAACAGATGCGGTAAGCCTTTTAGTAACGACGGCTTAGCTACCTCGCGCCATGCGAATATGACCAACACGCCGAACACGATACGCAGCGCGACAACCGGCCATCCTAGAGCGACAGCGTCAAACGGAATGTCGGCCCACGATGATCGTGCAAAGCGCCATGTACCAATCTCAAGTCCCATCATGACACCCGCAAAGGCCACGCTGTCGTCGAAGCAAGGGCAGTCATCCGCGGGTTCAGGGTGTACACGAATTAATATTATAATAAGAAGTAATAGACCGCATAGGCTTGTCCAGCTATCCTCGAGATAAAGATCGAGGACAGGACCGCCGTAGAACTCGACGAGAGATATGATAGCGCCCATGAGGGAGCCGATAATGACGTCGACGAAGCCGTGCATACCGCAGTAGAGGCGGCCGAAGACGATGCTAATCGCGTAGAAGTAGGCGAGCGCCTCGAGGGCGGAGCGTGCGGCGGGCTGAAAAGGGTTATCGGGGTCGTGGAGGCATAGGATAGCGTAGACGGCGACAGAGACGGCGTTGGCGGAATGGGTCGAAGGGAAACCGTACTCGAGCGCTGCGGATCCAGACATGGTGATACGTTGGAGGGGCGGAGAGAGTGGTCGCGGTAGTGAGAAGAAGTCTTTAACAAAGCCGGTGAAGAAGACGCCCGTCGCAAGGATGTGTACGATTCTGGTGGTCCACGTCAGTAGCTGGTCGCATTCCTACTTCATCTGGTTTCCTCTCAATTGGGATTGGGATAGATAACCGTACCCTTTCCCAAAGGAAGCATTCCCACACCAGAACATTATAGGTAGGCCGATCATGAAAAAGGTATGGGTGCCGAGGTTAGCCGTGATGGCGAAGTAACTGTCGAGCGCAGGCGATCGCAAAGTGGCCTGTAGCCAGGCTAAATAGGGTGTCTCCCATCTGACGAGAGGGAGAGCTCGTTGTCGTAATTCGTACCGCCATTTCGGAAGAGCGCGCTTGTCTGTAGCAATACAAGATAGATCAGTTTCCACCTCTTTCTCTTTTACTAGGTTAGTAGAATAATAATGGTGGCACATACAATGATCTAAACTCCGCAACCCGGCATCGATCACCGGAGGCTTCTCTTCGACATCCTCTACGCTCTTTATAGGCCCAGCACCGCCGTTGGCGTGGGCATAGTTAGTTATATTCATCGGATCCGGGGGTCTGTCCTCTTCAGTCTGGACGCTAGCATGAACGGTCGGGAGGCAACAGGCGATGCTCCCGTCCCGGTCGGGGTCGGGTCGGGGTCGGGGTCGGGGTCGAATCAATTCTTGGAGTTGTGAATCGTGAGCGATGTCGACGGTCGCGCATCGAAATCGATCCAATCTCGGCGGTTAATTTCGGACTGCGATGGTCTAGAAATATTAATCTAGGTAGTAATATTATAGAGGAAGAGAAGGCGACTAAAAGAGGAATATAGGGATGTAGGTAATAAGGTAAAAGATAATCAAGAATAAATGTGAGTAGGATTCAGTTGATCGATTAATCGTCCCAAGCCACAAGGATCACCGCATAGAATCGTAGTTGGTTTTCCTTCTTCCCTCTTCCCTCTTCCTTCTTCCTATAATCTTCCCAATATTTCGCATAGATCGAACCTAGGAGTTAAGTTTATGTGGATTTGGATTTTATCTTTTTTTCTTATCTTGATTGCAATTGTTTTCCTTTGAATTGCTTGCTGCTTGCTTGGATTATCCCCGTCCCGTCCCCGTCATTGCACATTGCAGAATGGTAAAGTTTTAGAGTTGGCATCATCTCAACTCTAAAAGTCGTAGGTCCAACCACAAATCAGAAATACATTAGGTACATGTAGGTTAAGGCAATTGTGTTTTCCTTCAAGCCTCTGCGGACCCCTAAAAGCCGTTGGAGGTGATCATCTTTCAGGGGAAAAGTTGCATGTACTATGTAACTTGCAGAAAGGCTGAAAGGCAAGCCACCTAAATCTACCTAAGAGCTTGGCGGTACCAAGTTACTTTTCCCGGATTTTCGTATCTTGTACGAATTAAATGTCACTTAATCGAACCAGTAGGTACATTAGGTACATTAGGTACATTAGGTACATTAGCTTTGTTTAAGCTTACTATACATATGCACGTGATCAACATTTTAGGTACATATGTATCTCCGTATTGAGAATTGAATATGGCTTAGGTACCTACCTAATGGATAGAGATATGAATGAATGTGGATATGGAGGCATCGCTACTTGTACAGGTACATACCTAGGTATGTAATAATGAAATACCAATAAAGAAAAATGGTAATAATTTCCATATCCTCCCATACAATAGAATAGAAGAAATGCAGTCCCTGGCCGGAAAGCATTGCTTCATCTCGGGCGGCAGCCGGGGTATCGGATTAGCCATCGCCAAGCTCTTCGCCGCCCAGGGAGCAAGGTGCACCCTTATCGGACGTAATGAAGACACTCTCCTCAGTGCTGCAAATTCTCTACACCGACAAGAAGGCTCCTTACAACAGCATTCCACGGCCGCCTTCGACGTCTCGACGCAAAATGGCTGGGAAAAGCTGACATCCGATCCCAAATTAGTATGTATTCTCTTGCTATGTTTCTGTACACGACACTGATATGGATATGATATCATAGCAAACCTGTGATATTCTCGTCAATGCTGCTGGCATTTCGCAGAACTCTTTCTTATTCAACACTAGCAAATCAGACGTGACTGACATCATTGCCACTAACCTCACGGGTACCATATGGGGTTGTAAATACTTCATACCCAAGATGATGAAGCAGAGAAAGGGTAAGTTGGTTACACGCCGACCTTTTCTCAACTTACAACTAACATTTGCACCTTGTTATTACAGGTTGTATTATTAACGTGGCTAGTCTGCTAGCTACTCACGGGGGACGGGGGGCAAGTGTCTATGCCGCGTCAAAAGCCGGCGTCGTCGGTACGCACTCGGTCATTTCTTCAAGCTCGCAAGCTAACTAGACATGCCTGTTCTAGGTCTAACGCGATCTCTGGCCTGGGAAGTCGGCCGGTTTGGCATTCGTGCCAATGTCCTCCTGCCCGGATATATCCAGACTGATATGACGAAAGGTGACATCTCATCCTTCCTGACTTTTTTTTTTCTCTCCCCCCGCCTGCTCAAACCCGTTCCCCTAACCGATCCTCTTACAAAGTACACGATTACTAATATACAGGCTCGACAGACATGGATCGGAAAAATGAGCTATCTGCTCTCATCCCTCTTGGACGCCTCGGTTTGGTCGAAGAGGTAGCAAATGCTGCATTATTCCTAGCCCAAAATTCCTACGCACACAACTGCGTGCTCAATATCGACGGAGGCTTAAGTGCAGCGTAAATCTCGTTGAGTTCTCATTTGCCAAAGGCGACGAACACTCAATCGATGATTTCTATCGCGCCGGTACCGGCGTCATCATCAATAATGACCACGTCATCGTCATTCTTCACCTTCTTGGCTGCTGGAGATGCTCCATCTTCCGTTATTAAACGCTTCTTAGGGTCCTTAGGCTCTCCATCAGCAGCACGCTTGCCATTAGTCTGGCTAATCCCGTTGCTCTGAATAGTAAGCACCCTCTTCGGTTGACGAGGGATGCTAGGTTCTTGGTCGACTTGGAGACCTTCAATGGGTTTATCCGCGAGCTTGCTACAAAGGGAAGTTAGTTATTAGTATAGTGAGAATTGTTTGCTACGACATACGCTTCCTGAATGTTAATAACAACGTTGATGAAGGTATCGTCATCATCCTCATCTACGATAGTGACAAAACTGTTTTGCTTGACGCCTATAAATTATTAGATATGTCAATAAAGATGTGGGCGTTGGAACCGACCGAGTTCGTTAAGATTTTTATCAAGATTATCCGTCTCGTCAGGATCATATAGTAAGCCAGCATCACTATTAACGGCAAATTCCTTCTCGCCGTAACCTAGTTCTTGTTTAATAAATTCTACTAGATCGTTAAGCGTCGCTTTTGATAGATCAACATTAATATTAGCGTTGTAGGCGCCGCAAACTGGGCATTCCGGGTTTGGTAGTCGAGGACGATCTGTCCCTAGTAACCTCTGAGGCGCAAAAGGCGTCAAGAATACCTGAAATGTCAGTGGTATGCACAAGTCTAAGGAGCTACACCACTCACCTCTCGCGCCTTGTCATATTCCCCTCGAAGAACTTTGAACGACTCGAGGACGGAAAGGCCAGCAACGATCGCGTTTGTGGTCGCGATAGCGGGAATAATGTTGCCGGCCATCTGTTTGATATCGAAACGTGACTTGGCTTCTATTCCGAAGATATGCGATCGAATGTTCGCGCTAGCGGCGACGAAGTCGAGTGTGTCCTGATCATCTTTATCAAAAGTGATAGTAGGTTTTGGCGAGTCTTCACTACGTGTCGCCAGTAACTTCAGCATTCGCTTACTTAAGCGGTCTAGGCTATCGTTGAAAACTGCCAAATTTTCCTCCAAAGTCCATATGCGCTGGCCATCCTCGAGGATGTGGTCTTTCGATGCGAGGGCCTCAGCTGCTTGGCTTATCAACGTCTTGTATTCGAGAGGCTTGGGTGGTTCTCTCGACTTCCACATATCCTTCATAGAGCGTAAGCGAACAATGTCTGCATTGAAAACCTTGTCGAATAACATCTCCGAGAACTGCTCCGTGCCAACTGATTCTCTTATCTTTCTTAATGATTCTGCCTCCTTTTTGAGCTCTGCAATCTCCGATGCGTTATCTTCGTTCTCGCCGAGATCGAGGGAAGCTTGGTCCTCGCTTGTACCGTAGATTTCGTTAAGCAAGTAACTCTTACCCCAAACTATACAGTGGATGGGTTGACTCGGCGTGCTTCGAATCGTGCAAACGGGGAAGGTCTTAGGCGCCTCCTTTGTGGTGCAGTCATAACAAGCTGTAACACCTTTTTTAATGACTTGAACTTGTCCATTAAACCCTGTTGTTCCGCTCTCGATTAGAGGGACGTTGGCCGCTAAACACATTCGATTCACATGACGTCGCGCCTCGAGGTTGTCCAACGCATTAAACACTACTTTGAAGCCTCTAAACCATTCGACATGAAATTGTACGTCCTTAATATTGGCGTGGTGCGCGACAATCTTGACGTTCGGGTTGAATACTGCCGCCGCCTCCTTAGCTACCTAACCGTGTGGTCAGTACGTCATTATACCATACTATCCTGTTCGATCTATAGTTTGCTCGTACCAGGGCTTTGGACTTCCCGATATGTTCGTGTCGGAAGAGGAACTGTCGGTTCAGATTGCTCAAGTCGATTGTGTCGAGGTCAACGATGTGAATTTCGCCGAAGCCGGTGAGGGCGAGATTTTTTAACAGTTCACAGCCGATTCCACCTGCGCCAACCATAAGAACTCGGGCCTGTGAATCTAGTGTTAGCGTGAATTTAGACTCCAAAGCCGGATGTAGATCCATCTTGCAGTCTGATGGATTTGAATACACAATAAAGTGGGCACTAGTGTAGGCTACAGGTTGGAAACGTGGACGAGATGTTGTTGCGCAAGGTTGCTGAGGCTGTGGTGATAAATCGCAAACAGCCCATCTAACCTAAGATCGACCGTTCACGGTGCGCGCAGCGGGAGGAAGGGTGCAGGGCGCAAACGAGACGATGCCGTGCAGGATGCAGTTCGGCGACTTACCTCCTTGACATGCGCGTTCAGCGAGGGGCCAAGAGATCGGCGGTTGAAGGTATCTCGTGCCACTGCCATCTCGAACAGCTAGCTACCCAAGTCACTATCTGGGAAGATCTATTCGTCGATGCATATGATGATGTAATCTGTAGTAGAGTGTAATATGCGTACTAGATAGGAAATAAGAAATACGGCTAAGGATTAGTAGGGGGGGTAGAAAAGAAAGAGAGAGAGAGAGAGAGAGGAGAGCAAAAGAATAGAGTAGACGGAGTAAAAGGGAAAAAGAAGCTTGGTGTGAAAGATGATGAGACGATGGAAAGCAAGATGTATTAAAGAAGGCGCCGCCAGCCTTGGAGAATGCTCGAACAGTAGTGGCTCAATTGGAGCCGGAAGTAATAAGTGTGACGCTCCTTGCTCCTGCCTATGCTAGTATGACCTCGCAACTCGGGGCAATCGGGGGACTAGGTAATGTCTTAACCGTAAGCTTTTAAGGTTAGTAACCCCCAAGTTGAATGCAGTTGAATGCAGGCAAGCATTTACATACACTAGAAGCCGCCAAGCAACCAAGGCAGGTCGCAAGCTTCCGTACAGGTATGTACCATGCTACTCCTGCTACCGGGAATTCACGCTATTGGGCTGATGTATCATACTTACTACCCACTAATTTCCAAACACAGTATGCAGGTTGCACATCATTTGGTGGTCCGCGCTTTCAACGCGGAGCACTCTCCTGGGATTGCCAAGCTTGTATACGTACATATGTAGGTCAGGTACCTAGGTACCTATGTATGTTCACGGATCTGTACATCAGGTGTACTAAACCAATATTGAAGTAGTGTATACTAACCTAGTATGTATACTAGTATCTACGTAGCTCAGAGCTAAAAGAATTGAGTGCAAGGACCGATAAAAATAGTGTACATACATTTACTTGAGCTGAAGAGAGATGATGCCTCTTTTTATTTGTATGAAATAAACAACAGTTACATTGGATTCTTTTGGAGTTTCATTGAAACGCTTCCTCCGCGTAAAGTCCTGGGTAAATATTTTGTCAAATACTTTTCAGGTTCTATTTAATGTTTGTAGTTCCCTTCCCCACCGCGCCTAAGATTTGGGCTCAAGAACCAAACAACTGGATCATCTTTTACAGGTTTACTAACTACACATTTACTGATTACGGTTCAGACCTGGTCCATTTCAGCTTGCTATAATGTCGGATGACGAGGCGGATCCAGAGCTTCTTGCTCTTCTAAGGCATCATTTCCAAGGGAAGCTAATCCTGGATGAAGAACCAGAGACTGGCGTCTTGGAGGGCGCCGAATATGTCTACGACAACTCCATCGATGTAGCTTTAAACATGAGTGCGTCCAAAAATGCTGCAGCTTTGATTTACCAGCAGATGCAGCAAAAAGGATTCTCGACCGCGAGTTGGTCCGAACATGAATTACATCCCAAGACAAAAGATGAATCCACCATTGCCTTCATTTTTACCATGGACCTGCTCAATTTCTCATTCTGGTCCCTACACCCGGAAGAGGAGCGCTTTGCCATCTCATACCGAGATAAGACCTGGACCGGATACTGGAGTCTAGTAGCTTCATTGCAGAGAGCACTAGAAGAAGGTGGGTTTACTATATCATACTATATTATCAAACACTCGACCGCTTCGTTACTCGGAATTTTCCTTGGTGTCAACATAGCGTGTCTTCCAAGATGAGCATTCTCAATTAATCAATATCAAGATATCCCCATAACCGATCCGCATTACTGGCAGAACGAAGAGGAGTGCAACCTTGAGTCCCTCAGATACGTTTTCAGGTCGTGCACCGAGGAAGAGATCCCCCTGCTGGAAGCAAGGCTTTCTTGCCTAAGGGAAGCAGGAAAAGTTCTATATGAAGTAGGTAATCCAATCAGAACTACAGCATGGAGATAACGCATCGCCAACGCGCTTCGGCCTCTTGTAGAAATACAGCTGCAGCTTTACGAAATGCATAGAAGCCGCCAATAAGTCGGCCGCGGGGTTGGTTAACCTGCTTGCGAGGGACTTCAACTGTTTCAGAGACGAGTCTCGGTTTGAAGGGCGACGCAAACCCGTCCGGTTCCTCAAACGCGCCCAGATCCTAGTGGCGGATATTTGGGCCTGCTTCAACGGCGAGGGCTACGGTGAGTTTAAGGACATCGACAAGATCACCATGTTCGCAGACTACCGTGTCCCGCAGATACTGGCTACGTTGGGTTGCATAGGATACAGTCCGCCTCTATACGCAATGATAGCCAGGGGTGATATTCTAGAGAACGGAAGCGATTACGAAATACAGCTCAGGGGTAAGTATCAATGTTCCTAGCATCACTCCTGCTTCCAGACACTGCTAACAGGCTCGATTAGCATGCAGCATCTGGTGTGTGGAACTTCTCAAGCGCGAGATCAAACGTCACCACCCTGACGCGAGGATCAACGCTATCCTGATAGATTTTTTCCTATACGACACCATGAAATCATTGGAGGCGCAAGGGAAAGAGACCATTCCACATCATCGAACGAGGAGTATTTGGTACTAAGCAGTTTGGCTAAATGGATCGAGATTGTAGTAGTCTGTACATTAGGTGCCTAGGTAATCCGGGTTGGCTATTAGCGAAAACATGATTGATATCACACGGTATATCACGCTCAATTACTGATCATTTTCAGTGACTCTGGCCAAGCAAATGAAATATCAAGATTCCCCAACGCCATCGCGTAAACCATCGTAAATATCATAAAGACTAGGGTCTTCAATCTCCTCATCTCCCGTTCATCGTACACACATCCCTAAGACCTAAAACACCCATCGCCCTAACTATAGCTTAGCTGGCGTCCACAGTGGTTGAGTTGAGAATCTCATCCATGTGCGCCTTCTCGATGCCCGGGGTGCCTTTAGACTCCTCCTTCTGCAGTACGGCGAGGACTTCCAGCGGCGGGTTTAGACCCAGCTTTTCAGCACGCTTCCACCGCTTCATGCGAGTAATTCCGACACACGGCTGTTATGGATCGTTAGAAACTGTAGAGTAACGTAAAGGGGGATAAATGAAACCACTTACTCCGTACTGGGAGCTGACATCCCAATATCGCAGCACCTTCTCCGCCAGCGTTAGACCCTCCTGGTGCACCCTCTTAGCAATACGCTCGCGCTCTAGCTGTCGCCAATACTGGTCAATTTGACGATCGGTAACCTTGGCCGCGCGCAGCTCTGACTCCGACTTCTCGGGTTGGATATGGGGCAGTTTGACCAAGGGCTCTTCGTCTTCGGGTTCGTTCTTGATTACCTCCTCCTCTTCCTCCTTGGGTTCCGGTTGAGCGGAAGAGATATGGTTCCCCAGCGGACTCTGATTTACTGGTTTGGAGACCAAGTCCTTGGCGGATTTAGGCACGGGCTTGGTAACCCGGTGATTGAAGGATAGGGTCGACTGCTTGCCAGTGGTGCGGTTGCCGCCGCTGGAACGTCTCGTATTGGTCATTTTGCGGTAGTTATTGAGAACTAATAACTACAATAACAATAACTTTACTACGACGGCTATAATGGATAATGGTGCTGTAACTGTGATCATAAGATATACGATCCAATCGATGTAATGAGATATGTTTGATGTTTGTGCGACGTTGTCGATCTCAGATGGGTTCAATTGTGGAATGACGTGGGGGATTTTCAGACAACAGCTTCCTTGACCGTTTGATCATTGGCGGGGCAACACGAAATCCGGGCGCTGTCACGTGGCATTACGTACCTAGGCTTCACTAATTTAATATTCCATAATTGCATAGGTAGATCCATAAACGCTCCCCTTTATTCATAGCAAGACCCTTCAGATATGTTAGGAATAAAAATATAGAATCTAGACTTGAGCTAAAGGCAAATATAACAATAGTACGATATTCACTACTGCTTTCTAGATATTAGCCAGCCAAGGGATAAGAGACTAAATACAAAGGCCATTCATTCGAAATGTTTTTCTTCGACCCCTGAAGTCCCCCTTTTGCTGGATTGACACTATGCCGGCAGTATGTGACAAGTGAGCAGTCTATGTGAATGATTGGGCCAATAACTTGGCTGAATTTGATACGGTTCTAGTGACTCTGATAGTTCACTCAACTGTTTATAAGAAAGTGAAAATATTAGAACAGCCCTGATAACACATCATCACGAACCTAATACAACATCTTCTTCTTTCTCTCTGCTTCCCAACTAAGACTGGGAGTGGTCGATTTGGATTTTTCAATCTTTTTGTATTGGACACAACAGAAAGAAAGAAACCTAGAACGGAAAAACTAGGTGCCTAATTTAGTGAACACTAAACTCCTTGTGAAAATGTCACGATGTGAATGGAACTGCCTCCTCGTCAAGTCACGAATTATCTAACGTAGGACTCCCTTCTCTGAACGGCATATTACTGTTTAATTAGCATGACGCATTGGTCTTTTCCAGTAAGCTAAATATCTCTTGCTGCCATGACATTGCCCTGGGATCCGCCATCGTCCCTTACTTTGTCCCCCTTTTCTCATCCCAGGATTGTCTCAGAAGACATGCTTTCCATCTCCATTTTGCTATCTGCGTAGCTGATTTGCAACGGCCTGCCACCCTTCAGAGTACGCTCGCTCACACTTCTAGCTTCGGCCATTGCCTTTGCTCGAGCTGCCGCGGCTGTCACTTCTGCAGCCTGGTGCATCTCGATCTCTGGGGGGAGGATTCAGTCAGTCGGGCATGATATTGTCCTCCATCCGCGTTGACTTACCAGCGTCGAGTTCGGTTTGGCAAGCCTCTGCTGTCTTATTAACCATGGTTGCAAGCACGTCGATGGGTCGGTTGTTCAGTCTTCCTGCGATAGCATGCGTGAGAGGATCTATATTAGGCAGCCATGTCAGTAAATCATATGTCTAGCTTTTCTCTTCAAGCAAGTACACACGGTCAACAATGAATTCATAGAGCCCCTTTGCCGAGGTGTCTTTTTGGTAGAGCTGATACAGCTGATCAAAATCAGCAGGTGTGATGCGGTATTTGCCTGATATCATTGAAATGTGTTCTCTGGCAGCGCTGATGATATCTCGGATCCGTTGTCTAGTCGACATGATGGCTAAAGGATGCCGAGGTCTCAAGGCGCCTTGTTGTAGGACAGTTAAGTTGTATCAAACTGTCTAGCATGATTTGGGGCTGTATTGTGACTGCGAACTTGGCGCATGATCTGCGTCGTTGTGGTTCGCAGATGTGTATGGACTGCGCGGGTCCTCATCTCCTTCTGAACAACGTTAGACGGTATCACAAATTTCAGTCGCCCTGTTGTGCGTTGCCTGGCGGGTTACTACATTAACGTAGTGACTAGGGATTCACACCGCCATCCACACAATGAGCACTCAAATCCAGGGATACTGAATTTATACCACTGCTCAGTCTCCCACCTAAAGCCTCCGGATCGCTGGTGGTCTACCTGTCAGCTGTTACATATACCAGAGTACATTTCCTTGAAGCAAGCTTGGCTGCTGTGAACTCGGGAATTCGTACCCAATAGGAGCAGCCAGAAATATTGAAACAAAATTGTTTTTTGTAATGGTCATCTATTTTTAACAAAGCTATATCAGTAACAACAATATGGCATAACGTACAAAGAAGCTAGAACAGTTGGCATTAAATGTATTACTTCGATGGTTATTGAACAGAGCCCGTTAGCATCTCCAGCCTTTCGATTTACGCTCTACATAGATTACTATTTGATTGTCCCCAATTGCTACTCTATTTTTCTAACGACGGAGAATCCCTAGGCTCTATGTACCGGTGAACTAAAGATCATAGCACCGCTGACCTATCACTGCATTATACAATAGTAATGAATCGATCAGAGAAGCTCATATATAGGTCTTAGTGGCAGGTGATCTGAGCGTGATCCACGTCACCTGGCACCTGGAGACTGATTAGGGCACGATTAGGATGCTATATAAGTAAGGCCTGCAAGGCCACCAGACTTAACAATAAGCAACGCACTTTTCAATCATTGACCAGTATACAGGTCTAACTTTGTGTTGCTGCTTTAATAACTGTTTGCCGAGGAATCGTATTTCAGCATAAATCATGTAACTTCAACGACTTGAATTAGTTTTCATAAAAACAATCAAAGTTATATCGACAAATAACTACCCCAAGCCTCAAAAACGTTCTACAGTCTGTGTCACGATGTAGAGCTATAAAGCATGGAAGTATATTTGTTGATAGCCTGTAGCTATACATGTTGTAGGTATCCATTGTTTGAGATGTCTCATCTAGGATTCTAATAGTTTGACTAACGATCACTAATAAACAATTAATATTTCCTTGAACCGTCCCTAAATATTAATGGTAACAAGACGTTTATAAGTTATACGTTGATTTAACCCTTAAACTACTAGCATCCTGAAAATGCTACTTCATTTCCTATAAAGACAAGTGCTTCAAATTGTATTAGCAGAACTTATTGATATCATGAAGAGGAACAAAAAACTACGGCAGGAGATGATAGTTCATATGCCCTACTTAGCCCTACATTTACACAACATTATTCTAAAGGTTATTAAATCTCTAGGTTAGACTACTGAGACACAGGGTAAGGCGCATTCAACTATATCGGCGTTGGTGGCCTAGTCTTAACTACCTAGGTTCATAGTTCCCTACACCTCGACGGAATTATGTTGCCACCATTTATTATTAATGTCTTCTCCTATTGGATAGGCGCCCAGCTACGTGACCCTATGTACTAGCAGTTGTCACTGTATTAAGAACTTGTATTAAAGTATGCCATAAGGTAACATGAAAGATATCATAGGTCCCCTGAATTTGCCGGTTCCAACCCCCTGAGTGTGGACTTTAAACAATTAACTTGGTCAACCTGGCGAGGTTGCTGTTATGTACTGGGCATGAGTTGCTATGAATGATATGGAGTTTTCCTTGTCTGTTTGCTATCTCTCATTTTCTGTTGTCACTTCAGGGACAATTTGTAGGAATAAATGATAACTTGCTGGAGGCTGAAAAGCTTAACTGTATACCTAGCTCTTATCTTTTACAATAGGTTGCCAAATTTTCTATGAAAGGAAGCATATTCTTCACGTGTAATACACGAGCTAGGACCACCATCATTCTTAAACAAATCACAATTTAACAATCACATAATCATTAAAAACGATGCCGAATCCGACCTCTATGTATGTACTGCACAAAAGCGTACACGTAACCTAAAATACAACGAAGCCCTCGATCCTGGTGTCCTACGACTGAAAACAGCAATTACAAGAGGGGGAATAAAACGTCAAAAACACTGTCATAACCCACAGCTACTCTGGGTGCAACGCCAAACATTCATTATCCAGTGACTATTCAACTGATCGCCTAGAACAGCGTGAACCCGGCTGTGAAGGACAGAGCGATCATCGCCGGGATGACGATGGCGGCGGCGGAGAGGGAGCCCTGAGGCGCCAAAGTAGGGGCGGCATTGCCAGATTCAGACGAGCCGGATCCGGTAGAGCTTGAGCCGGAGCTGGTGCTGGGGGTGTTGATTTCGTCACC